TGAAGGAACAACCGGAAATCTTAGTCCCTCTAAAGTATAAACCATCTTTGTGATTAATCGCTAGTCAAACTGCGGTATGTGTATGTATAGTGATGAGTTCAGGTGTTTTGTGACAACTATGGCAAGTCCCAAGCTTGGGTCACGGGCAGAGCATTGCCAGATTATGAAAAATCAGGGAGATGGGAATTGAGGTGCGGAAAAGGCAACGCTATCCGCCAATTCTACCGCGAACGGAACAGGCTGTGTGTGACGGAGATTGAGCTTTCAATTTCATATGCTTAGTCCTATAACATTTATTTAATTAATTTAGTTAGATTAATAAGATTAGGTAAGATAGTTAATTATAATAAATATTTTTTAAAAATATCTTAATTATCTTTTTCAATTTTTTTCTCTCATACTTGGTTATCATTGTATTTCTCCGGTTGTAAATATAAAACCTATTTTGCAGTGCAAAATAAGCCTTGTATTTAGGACCGGAAAAATACAATATAAATAATTTAAGAAAAAAATAACAAATATATAAAATAAATCTTATATTTAAAATAGCTTTTTCAGGTTTAATATCGTTTGGATTTATATTTTTGAAACCTGACTTTTGAATTTGAGTAGACTTTTAGACTGAAGCTCATATTTTTAGCTTTCACGGGATGGTGCGATTGGGATCATTAAACAAGAACAAACAAACCGTGTATTTCTCTCCATTTGTGGCTGAAAAAAACAAGAACAGTGGCGCTGTGCCTTCCAATATTTCTTTAAATATACTCCTCCGGTCCTAATTATAAGACCCAATTGACTTATTTGAGGAGATTAAGGAAGTAAGTTAAGTTGATTATTTATAATAAATAAGTGTTGTCATTCCTAAAATATCCTTGCTAATTAAGTATATTGGCTAAAACTATCATTATTAGAAGGATTATCTTGGAAAAAAATGCATAAATATAAGAGACAAAATGGATTGGGTCTTATAATTAGGACCAAATAAAAAGTCAAATTGGGTCTTATAATAAGGACCGGAGGAGTACTTAAGTATCAGTATTTTTCAATTTCTTCCTAATAAGCTTTTTTATTTTAATAAAATTTATTTTCAATATTTGTTTTACAATTGTCACATTATATGCATATAATATTAGATATGTATTTCTCAATAAAATTCATGACTTTTTATTTTTTTTCATTAATTATTTAAACAACTTTCAACTTGTCAAATCGATTTTTTTACAAAAAAACAATTCAAACACAAATCACATTATATTATCTAACAAAATTAGATTAAAAAAATTATTTCTGTTACTGCTAATCCAAACACATAGTAAGTTTTTATTTATAAATTTATAAATTCGTTTCCCCAGGGAAGCATTTACTTATATAGAATTCTTTCAATCTTCGAAAACAAAGTACCAAAGCATTAGAGGCAGAGACTGGATTTCGCAATTTAAAGCTGCTGATAAAATGTCGTGATCAATTGTCAGTGCTGACTGCTGACCCCCTCGAATTATTTCCGTTATAGGAGATCAATGCCGATTAGATTGGATGTTGTTGCTTCTTCTTTAACCATGATTCATTTATTATTATTTTGCCTTGTATTGCAGCAAGAAATCTTGTTAATTATTCATGCTCAAACAACAACAGCATAAAATGTTGATGAGATCAGGAAAGAATCGAGACTTATGACGGATGTTAAGCTGCAATAATACCGTAAGACCACCAATATATGGTGCATCTACATATAATTTCTATAACTCTGCTTTCATATTATGGAACAATATTGTGTTATATTTTGATTGAAAAAAACAGAGAGAGAGAGAGGGGGGGTAAAATTTTACTCTGAATAAAAAATCTAACCTTTTGGTTTGCTTCAAAGTTCAAACAACGGAAAATATCCTTGAGGCCTCCTCTTTTTCCCGAAAAGAAATTGTCTGAGACCGTTTCTAATTTAATTTACTGGAAACGGTTAGAGTAGACACTGCAATTTTAAAACAAACATTGAAAAACAGTATCGCCTGTGAAAAAATTAGCCACACGGATGAGCGTAAACTACTAGCTTGAAACGGAGCTGTCAACGGGGTTGGGGGCGGGGGAAAATTTTAAAAAAGTTAACCGCAGAACATGCACCGAAATATCAATAATTGAACGTTTTAACTTGTAAGTGACTTCCATTCTTTTTATTGATTCAATTATCTGGACAGAGGACGTGAGTTGGTACTTTGGTAGTCGCCAAGAATTTCTCAATGGACATGCTGATTTACTACTATTTGCTAATTCTTGTCTCTTCCGACAGCCCACCTTTTTTGCAGGAAGGAGTTGGGCTCTGAGTAAGTCCAGCTTGATCTTAAGTGAAGGTACAAAAAAAATCCTAATCAACACATTGATATTTTCTTATATTATATGATGCTGGTTCCGGTTCTAATTATAAGATCTTATTTGGAGTTTATGAATAATGTCTCATATTTAAGAACGGAGTTAGCAATACTAATATTACATCTCCCTCTCGACTCATTGTAGCGGAACCAGTGACAAAAACCGACTACACTGCCCTAGTCGACTTGTCAACCTCAACCATCATTTTTGGTTGGGAAAATGTCATTTAAGTCCCATAACGTGGACTTAATTTGTAAGAAGTCTCGAGATATTCTAAAATTTGTTTTCAGTCCCCCTATCCCTATATGAAAATAAGTTTAAAAGTAAAATGTTCATTTTGCTAATCAAAATTTTAGCAAGAAGAAAATGGTTGATAGGAGTTTTTAACAACTGCATGTATAAAAATTTACAACAAAAAATAAGAAAATAGCAATTGAAAATATGAAAATTTATAACAAATAATGAAATATTAACAACTCTGCATATGAAAATTTGCAACAAATAATAGGATATTAACAACTCCACATATGAGAATTTATAACAAATAAATAAAAGATTAACAACTCTACATATGTAAATTTACAACACAATAGAAAATTAACAACTGCATATATGAAAATTTACAACAAAATGCAACAAATAATAGAGGATTAACAATTCCACGTATGAGAATTTACAACAAATAATTAGAAAATAAGAAATGAAAATATAAGAATTTATAACAAAAATAATAGAATATTAACAGTTCCACATATGAGAATTTATAACACAATAGAAAATTAACAACTGCATATATGAGAATTTACAACAAAAAATAGGAAAATAAAAACTAGAAATATGAAAATTTATAAAAAAAAATAATTGAATATTAACAACTATATATATATGAAAACTTGCAACAAACAATAGAATATTAAAAACTCTACATATGAGAATTTACAACAAATAATTAAAAACTGAAAATATGAAAATTTGCAACAAATAATAGAAGATTAACAACTCCACATATGAAAATTCACAATATAATAGAAAATTAACAACTACATACATGAGAATTTACAACAAAAATAGAAAAATAATAACTTATTTTCGTATTATGTTATAAATTTCCATTTTTTTAGTTGTTATTTTCCTTTTTCTTTGTTATAAATTTTCATATATGCAGTTGTGAAAAGCCCTAATCGACTCATTTTTTGCTAAAATTTTAATGAGTAAAATGGATATTTTACTTACGGACTTATTTTCATTTAGGAGTAGGAAAACTGAAAACAAATTTCAGAATATATTAGAACTTTATTACAAATTAAGTCCACATTATAGGAGTTAAATGACATTTTCCCTTTTCGGTTTTATTTTTCTAGAAAATCATGGTACCTTGAATGAAATTTTGGTCAATCGTCACTCAACTGCTTGTCAAGAAAAGCTAAAGCTTAAGCGTAAGCTGAAAAACAAACGGTGCTCCTGCGATGGCATTTGAAGTACTTTATGGAAGGTTAAAATACGGGGCTAAACCTAGAGATAATAAATTACAGCTTACAAATCGTCGTATTACTGAAACAGCAAATGCAGAAGAGATTGAAATATTTCACCATCCAATTTCAATTTCCCGCCACTGTGCGGACTTCCTAACTTCCCTAAAATTATATAATGCAGAAAGTAAAATGATTTTTAGATGGATTAAACAAAAGCACAATTACTTATATTAAGTTGACTGACGAGTTATGTTACGCAAACTTCAGGATTGTAGAATTCTTAAAAACTTTCAAAATTAAGAAGATAAATTATATAACAACCACCATTTATAGGACATCATATGCATTGAAGTGAGTATCTGGATAGAAACCAAATCACGATTTTAAAAGTATTTTTATGGAATACAAAATAAATATGTAAAAGAATTTGTCTCGTTTAATGAAAAAATACTTTTTAGAAACACTTTTTTACTCAAGATTATTTAGGCTTACTGTTTTTGCTTCCTGGGGTATCTGGCCCAGAGTTTCATTAACCAAGCCCAATAGTCATGGGGTACATACAACTGCAGCACATTCTTCCCCTCTCCATTGGAATATTTTTTACCTCCTTATTCAGGTGCTGCTTAATAGAGCTAGTCCAACCGGTCAGCCTACCAAAAATAACAAGTTAGGGTTAGCCAAAAAACCAACTCATCAATAAACAAGCATTTTCAACCCACAATACCAGGCCCGTAAATCACCGCAGGTTAGCCTGCCAACCCGTAGGCTCCATCATTTCTTTTTTAATTTTTTAATTTTTTTAATAATTATCATTATATTATTATATATTATATCTTATCTAAAAAATTTTAAAAAATACCTATATAATTTATTTGGTGCTTTCAATCAAATATTTTCAAAAAAATAAAAATTCTATCATATTTTTTTGGATATTGTATAAGAAAAAAATATTAAAAAATAAAAAAAATTTCAAAAAAAAAGAAAAGAAAAGAAATTAGTGTTAGTAGGTTGGCGGGCCAACCCACCAACTCAACTTAGCGGCCAACCCATCTTCAAACGAACCTTTTCAACCCGACCCATATAAGTTCAATCCGCCACAAGCCAACCCACAATCAGCAAGTTGACTCATATTACCAGTCCTACTACTATATCTGGTCCATTCAGTAATTTGGGATTAGAACTGGAAGCCTCCGATTTAGACATGAAGAATGCAGAGGGACAACTAACTGTTCAACACTTCAACATAATCCCAAGAGAAAATCCAGATCCAGGTCGCATTGCAGTCTTTCCCGCCAACTTGTATCGTATTGAACTCTGCATGCAGGTAAACATTTGGGATGCTTCTCACCAATGACAAGGCTAGTCTCTCCCCATCCCTTCAGAGGCCCATCAATAACTAGTTGAATTTGAATGTATCAAAATCCTACGAGGTCTCTTGATATAATAACTAGTGCAGCACCCCGCCCACTACACATAGCTTATGTGTCACAGGGCAAAGAATTAAAAAGGGTACAATATGGTAACAAAATTACTCAGTGTCATTCAATTTAATCATACTAAAAGCTTCTCGTAGATGATAGCTTAATTGTTGACCATACTGTATTCTAACGGTGGGTTGAAGGATGAAAGAACGAAACTACTTTGCCACAACATCTGTATCACGAATTATCTTCTTTGAAGGAAGAACAATTGCAGCTACTGGTCTATCTTCAAATCCACCACCTTCATCAATAATCAGCCTCAAGCCATTCACATGGAGTTTTGCATGATGACCACTAACCACGACAGTTGGACTTGCACTTAGTTCCTACGAGAAAATAGAAGCTAATTACTAATTAGAATGAGTTGAGGTAACCAAAACAAAGTTCACAAAAACAAAAGAGAATGACTTTTAACAAAATTGCACCAAGAAACAGACAACATTCTGTTTTGTCGTACCAAGAAAAAAAAAATACTTCAACCAAAGAAGCAAAAAGCAATCACCTCTGGTATATTCCACACACTGTCTCTCCCGCTGAGAGGCACTACCTTAGGCACCCGAGTATCCCGGGATTTCAGAAGTTTTAATTGCTCGTTCACATCTTTCCCTTTTTCCAGACCAGCATGAACAGCAATCAACTTGCAGCTTTTGATTCCATCATCGGTCTCAACACAAACTTCATCCTAGTCAAAAGGACATCATGATCCACAGAGATTCAGTAGTTATCTTAATATACATCAATTTGCAATCTCAATAAGGAACCCAGTGTTCCAAGGAGCAGATGAATAACTCGCAACCTAAGTCAAATGATGAGGAAATTGTCTTGTGACGAGACAGAAAGGCAGAGAAGTCGCACCTCTTCATGGACCCAGACTAAGTCAGCAAGAAACTTCTTATGCTCATCAGGAACTGCTTTAATCAAATCTGTACGCGATCGCAGTCCTTCAGTCTAAGGAATAGAACGAAAGAATGTACAGTTTCAAAGAAAGGGCCAGTCACAATTCAATAGCTTATAGCAGTAACAAACCCGAGCAGAGCATAATAAAAGTAACTCGTCTTCTGCATTACACGAGTCGCACTGTACGTGCACAATATGGCTTATCAGACACAACTTTATGTGTGTGGATACATTAATTGATTGAATTGTGTCATAAAAAGAGCCCCGCATCTACATCAAGTTTTGCGGACACAGTTGACCTAACTGATCATCCTTCTAGTCCATGTTATAAATCATTTATAACCAATTCACACACACTAATAAAACAGTTAAAATCATTAAATTTATCATAAAATTCGAGTGATTTCAAATGTTACCTTTACTAATTATATTAAACTCCAACATCATTAATACTTATTCTCTCACTACCCTTATAAAATATGGTCATACAGGGGAAAAAATATTTAATGCTCCTGGAACTAAACAAAAGCCTCGTAAAAAATAAAAAGTACCAAAAATAGTTGTTAGCTGATGACTTACATAGGGACTTAAAAGAATCGAAAATTTCGTAATGCCAATGTCACCGAAATGTTTATAGACTCAAATCAGTTCAAAACAATCAAACTTCGTGATTGATAAAGCAATATCGAAGCAGTATCAAACCCATGAAAGAGGCCAAAGCTAGCAAAACGAGAAGCATACCGGCAGAACCATGAGGAACCCCATAAGATTCAAAAGTGGGTGCAGCATCATAGATGGAACCCTTATAATCAATGCCCTTGGCTGTATTGTGCTTGACCTTGATTGAACCAGCCCATCGCCTCCCCTGAAGATGCATATTTTCATAACTATCACCCTTGTACCATCCTTCTCTATCCTCACTGGCCTCGAACTCTTTCCAGGTGTCGGAGAACTTCGAGCCATCGGGCGGCGGAGGCAGAAGACCTAAAAAGGCGGCGAAGGCGAAGTCATGGTTTCCGGAGAGAAAGACGTGTTTCTGATTGGGGTACCTAGAGGGCAATTGAATCAGGAAATCAATAACTTGACAAGTATCGGGACCGCGGTCGCAGTAATCTCCCAAGAAGATAATGATGGCAGATTGAAATAACGAAGGATCGATTTCCTTTTCGAGGTTAGACCACAAGTTTTGGAGCTTGGTCATGTAACCATGGGTGTCACCTATGCAGCAAACTACCCTGGCCATGGCTTTCCGTCGATACAATCAATTACTGACCGATTTCGGCTTTCGATTTTAATCCCATCCTTGCGGCTTTTAATCTTATTCGGAATCCTTATTTTTAATATTTACTCGTATCGACCCAGAACCTTTTCGTAATTATATTATAATAATTTATTAAACAATGACGATTTCAGCTTCTTCGTTTTCTTCTTCTTCTTTTTGACCTGATGCCAATTTAAACAAGACCATCATAAATCATAAATAATTAAATTTATGGAGCCGCACTCATTTAGATACTCGAATTCTTTATTCTGTTTGGCAGAAATTTATTCTGGATTTCTGTTTATGCTTTTATTACAAGTTTTAACTTGAACTTTTTATATCATTCCATTTCCATCCTCCTTTGGCCTTCCCTGCACTCCAACAACTAATTTACACAGTATTCAAGTCAAAAGCAAAAAGCCAGTTGACAGCCAAATAAAATCGTGATACGCCTCGGCAGTAGATTAGATTTTTCTTTAAAATTAAAAGGAACATGGAAGGTCGAACCAAGAATGGACCTCAAGGTCATACGTACTCTTTACTTGCACATCTGCACAAAAAATCCTAAAACCAGCGTGATTGTTGCAGGCTATCTTCTTTGATAGTTAAGGAACTTGATGCCATAGGCAAACACGAACAAGAAGAGAAGAACCCAACCAAGGTGAGCGGCTGCAACTACTGGAAGGAAGTCATAGTCATAGCCGAAGCTTTCTTTTAGGAATTGCTTCAATCCCATGCTTCCAGCTCCTGGAATTTCCAATTCTGCATTTTTGTCCCCTACTTGGGAGGTAATTAGGCCGTAGAGGGTCCATGCAACCGGAGAAGCCCAGTAGTACCATCTCCACCAAATAGGGATTTGCTGTAATATTGGACAGCATTGGAGTTACGCATGCAAGCCAAAATAGTATCAGATTGTGAATTACCGAAATGGTGGATCCGTCACTTACAGTCCTAGGAACAAGAAAGCCAGAGAACAAGTTCCAGAAGTTGAGGAAGAAGGACATGCAAATGGCAGCAATTTGGTGTCCCGGAGTTAGCGCCACGATCATCATCCCATACAAGGTGAAATAGAGGAAACACATGAGTATGAAGTAGAAGAACCAAAAGAATTTGCTTGCCTCCCATTCGAACCCGATCATGGAGTAAAGCAGGAGTGTATAAATGGCTGTTTGAATTGCATTATAAACTGCCTCTATCGCCACCTGCAGGAAGTATGCCGGGTACGTAACTCATATATACTACAAATCTGCGTCTTTAATTTGTTCATATATTTAATGGATGTAGATCCTTTCTCATTTATAATTATACCTGACTAAATGCATAAGGTAATGCGGAATACATCCCAGCTGCTCTTTCACGATAGAAGACAGTTCTCTCAATGGCGACAATAGGCTGCACTGCGGAAGCGTTTGTGCCTCCAAGGAAAAGCACGGCAGAGTACATGGCCCCCAAAAGATTCATTAAATCTTGTTGTTTGTGCCTGCCAAACATTTAATTTCACAATATAAGAATACTACAATATCAACTTTTTAATTAATAATCTGACTCGATTCAACCTTACACATCCCCTCATTTAAATAAATGAGATACTATTTTATTTAAAACATATGGTTTCAAAGTAAGATCAAACCACCAGATCAAATTATGGGACACTAAAATTTACAAGACTAGTGGAGACTAGAGGTGCCAAGCTAATATCACTCACGTTTTATTGCCTTTACCCCAGAAGATAAGACCAAATAGAACTCCAATCACAGTTGTCATGAAAAATCGAACCGCATTGTACTGTGGATTTCTCCAGTAAGACCAACGCTGTTTCCAAAAGCAAGCTTTACACTGGACCAAAAACGATTGGGAGTTTTGGTTTCGAAATACAAGTCCTTGGAACCTGGTGCTGGAGTACTAAGCTCCTTGATAAGTTCTTGATTCCTCCTGAAGAAGAGTACAAAGATGCCAAGAGTAGTAAAGCTAAGATTCAGGTCACATGAACATGAACATAATAGCAGGACCATTGGGGGGGGGGGGAACTTACTGGTAAAGGGAGGAGTTAGCATAAATATCCGCAAAATCTATATTTTGTCGTGACTCAATTGCAGGGGTGCTGATCTCAAGCATCCATGTGGCTGGATTATAACCATCCTTAATTTTAGGAACCCCAGGGATAGCCTGCAGTGGATTAATATAGTTATAATGTGAAAATTTCAACCGTTGAAGTTTTAATGCAGCTCATATTGCTCAAAGGTCAAAGCAGGAATCCGAGATTTGAAATTTTTTTAATCATAAATTTACAAAAGCTTCTACACTCACTTCAAAATACTCTATAAGCTTATGTGAGTGATGACCAAGAGGTCCACCATAAATCACTTGTCCACCTCTTTTCATTAGAATTAACTGTAACAACAATGAGATCAGAATTAAGCATATACGACAGCGGACAAAAATCGACCAAAGGAAAAACAGACAAAATGTCAGTGGTCTATAGAGGATTGAGTTCAAATTACCTCATCAAAGGTTTCAAAAATGTCTATGCTTGGCTGGTGAATTGTACACACTACAGTTCTCCCCGTATCCACTGTATTTCTTACTGTCCGCATTACAATTGCAGCAGCTCTAGCATCAAGGCCAGAAGTTGGCTCGTCCATGAAAATGATTGAAGGGTTAGCAACCAGTTCTACAGCAATAGTCAGCCTTTTCCTTTGCTCTGTTGACAAACCATCCACTCCTGGGAGACCCACTAGAGCGTCTCTTATTGGATTAAGCTCAACCAATTCCATAATTTCTTCAATAAACATCTACATCACCAGTAGAACACGAGTTAGATCATTATTCTAATGAAAAAGAACAATGAAGATTGTGTTGATTGATTAAGGCCAAGAGAAAAATGATTGTTACTTAAACTCACCTTTCTTCTTTCCATTGTTACACTTGAAGGAAGACGAAGCCATGCCGAATATAATACAGACTCATAGACAGTAACATATGGAGAATGAATGTCATTTTGTTCACAATAGCCGCTAACTCGAGCAAATGTTGCTTGGTTCTTTGGATAACCTGAGATGCTGATACTTCCTTCAATATGCCCACCAGTTTTTCTTCCAGCTAACACATCCATGAGTGTTGTCTTCCCAGCACCGCTAACACCAACAAGTGCTGTTAATATGCCTGGCTTGAAAGAGCCACTGACATCTCGTAAGAGTTGAAGTCTATGCTCTTGAATTCCTCGACTCTTCATTTCCTAACAAAAACAAAAAACAGCAGCAAAAATTGGTACGAAAAATTAATTGGTCTAAAAACAAATACTAAGCTTAAATTGTCCATATAAAGTTATGGCTGGAAGAATTCACTGTCTAGAATGGTCACGCACTGCAGGCATATCCACGTAGTAGTTCACGTGATTGAATGCAAGTGAAAGGGCCTGAAAAGGAAGAACCATTCCTCTTTTTGGTCCTTGACCCAAAACATTGTCAATTCCTGAAGAATTTCTCGCAATACCTGTGATCCATCAGATAGACATAAAGCGATAATTGTCATTGAACTGCACGAGAACCTTGTGCTAATGACATTCTCTAAACATCAACAAAGTCTCAGACCTTCTGTGATATGTCGTTCGGCGGCTGACTTTTTATCCTTCTCGTCAGCTTCATCCAAGATGACTGCTTTTGAATCTCCCAAAGCTGAAATTTTGGTTTTGACATTAATATGGTTATCGGTTTACCAAAATTGAATATCCCACCCGGTATAAAAATATAACTTACGATTTAAGTAAGCCAATGCCCAAATAAAGAGAAGGTTGAAGAGAAGAGAAAACCCAAATAAGGCACAAACGCATATCCAAAACCAATAATCGTTTGTGAAGAAGCCTCTAGATTGAAGAAGTACTTTTCCAATTGTCGGTGCGTCAAATCTGAGGTCTGTATTTGGCTGCATAAGATTAAAATGGTATTTAGCAACGCTAATGTTCTGGCACGCAATTTAAGTGAGTAAAAACTTTTTCCCCCCTTTGACAAATGCATGTATGTAATGTTATGTTGGCACTAAAGAACCATGCGATTGAAAAAAAGGTTGAACTTTAACCTTGCTCCATCTCTTATCAAGAAACTCGTTTATGGCAAGAGCATTTTGACCATACATCATAGGGGATACGTAATATCCCCATATCATCCATGGTTCTATGTCATCTGCAGCCATAAAGTAAAAACTTATTTAATTCAAATAATGAAAAACAAGCATAGAAGAAGAGTATGCAAAAATCCACAGTATAATCACAATATTAAAGTAAAAATCTCCTACTAGATACAAGATTTCTCAGAATTTAAGAAGTGATCAGTGACTTACTTTTGGAAACAATGAAACCTCCCAGCACAAAAACTATTAACAAGGTGAAGGTACCCAGTGTATTGGCAACAACTTGTGTTCTTCCAACTGCAGCAATGAACCGGAATAGCGAAAGAGCCATCTGATGAATGCTGAAGAATGCCAAGAACTGGCGAAAAAATCTGAAGAAATAAATGGGTTTACATGCGCGTTGAAAAAATTTGTTCATCCGTGAAAAGTGCTATCATTACCAGAGCCAAAAAAGGGAAATTAAAAAAAATAATTAAAGAGAAAAGTAAATTCATTTAATTACCTACTAGCCTCAGGAGCGAATCCAATTGTATAGTACGTAAGGATAATCCATATTCCCGATTCCAAAGCGGAGAGAGGGATCCTGAGAACCGAGATAGGTAACCCAAATGCCCAAGCAGGATAGAACAAGAAATCCCTTTGCTTGTAGAATACAGGAAGCCTGAAAACAGTCATGGCAAGTTCTGCCATCCCATTAAACATTACATTTATTAGACTGAAAAACAATGCTCCAGAGAACTTTTGTCCTCCTTGAATGGTGCCCACTTGCATTTCTGTCCTAAGAAACACAGTGAAGGCAATGACAGACATAATCGTTATTTGTGTCGTCTTGAATATGTAAACGAAAGAACTTCGTTTCATAAGCAACCATTCTCTGGAAAAGCATGCCTTAAACAGTTCCCAATTAGATAGACCATACTTTTCTGTCACTAATGCTGTCGGGTGGGCTTTAGACTTGTCATAAGGAACCCGAAGCTCAGCTGCAAGCTGCTGTCCTATGTGGAAGGAAGTGAAGGATTGAGCAAATTCAGGGACAGAAATGTATCTGTAAGGTTCGTTCTTTTTAAACCAATATTGTTGCTGGTCTTTCTTGGACGTGACTTCTTGCAGAAAATCAGCAACTCCTTTCCTTTCTGGACATTTGAAACCCATGTATTCGAAAAATTGTAGGACATTCCGGCGTGGACCTTGGTAGACGATTTCACCTTCCGACAGAAGGATAATGTCATCGAAGAGATCAAATGTCTCTGGTGCTGGTTGTAAGAGAGAAATTGTCATGGTTATATCCATGATATGCACCATTTGCCTCATGAACTTGCAGATTTGAAAAGTGGTGGAACTGTCCAACCCTGTTGATATTTCATCCATAAAGAGTGCCTTTGCCGGTCCCACCAACATCTCCCCTGCAACGAATTTTCACAAAAAGCAGTTAGTACAGGACAATGCTTATGTACAAACCATTCATCGGAAATTTCCTGCGCCACTGTAAGAAGGGCTGAGCAAGTATTACCTGTCGTCACTCGCTTCTTCTGTCCCCCCGATATTCCCCGTCTCATCTCATCTCCGACCATGATATCAGCACAGATATCCAATCCAAGAATCTGTCCGAATTCAACAGAAATCAGCGAGGGCAGAGGCAATGGGGGGAAAAAAGAAGAAAAAAACAGAGATACAGACCTTGATAACACAGTCTGTGACCAAACTAGTTTTTTGGCCTGACATTGAAATGGCCTTCATGAATGCATCAATATCAGGGTCGGGCTTAATTCCCTCTTTATCTCTCGTCTTGAAAGCTCTGCCAACATTTCATACCTGGTGCCCACACCTAAACAGCGTCCAGAAAAATCCAATGTTTCTCTAACTGTCATTTCTCCATAGTGAAGATCTTGCTGACTAATATATGCAGAGGTTTTTCGAGGAACAAATTCATTTAGCTCATGACCACAGTAAGTGATACGCCCAGAAGACTGTCAAAAACAAATAACTCACTTAGTGGGAACTTGTAATGAAGAAGAAGAACAGTAAAAATCTAAAACATAAAGAGAATGTCATGAAAAAAGGGAAGCGGAGAAAAAGGAAGAAAAATACATTAGAGAAACAAAATAGGAATCGAACCTTCAAATCTCGGTCAAGTTTCCCTGCAAGTGCTAGCAGCAATGTTGTTTTGCCTGCGCCGGGGGTCCGAGGGCGAGAAGCAGGGTCTCTGACGACAACGTATCAAAGAGTTATCAGTCTCAGATTCCAATTATGGAAGAATTGAATTTTTCAACTGATGAAAGAATTTTTTTTTTTTTGTTAGTTAAGATACGCCCAGAAGACTGTCAAAAAACAAATAACTCACTTAGTGGGAACTTGTAATGAAGGAAGAACAGTAAAAATCTAACACATAAAGAGAATGTCATGAAAAAAAGGGAAGCGGAGAAAAAAATACATTAGAGAAACAAAATAGGAATCGAACCTTCAAATCTCGGTCAAGTTTCCCTGCAAGTGCTAGCAGCAATGTTGTTTTGCCTGCGCCGGGGGGTCGAGAAGCAGGGTCATCCTGACGACAACGTATCAAAGAGTTATCAGTCTCAGATTCCATAAAATAAATTATGGAAGAATTGAATTTTTCAACTGATGAAAGAATTTTTTTTTTTTTTTTTGTTAAATAATGAGGCAGCAGAACTCGAATTCGCAGAGGCAACTGTGGTTACTAGCGTATCAAAGAGTTGTCAGTTTCAATGTTGATGCTTTGACTACCTTGAAGGTCTGACTATTCCGCTGACATCTTTCAGAATCTGAATTTTTCTCTTCTCGGACGGGGCAAGATGAACAACTCCCAGGATACTCTAATCGTGCACGATAGAAAAATTATAAAATCATTTCGGATTTTAAAATTCAACAAAATCACGAACTGGGTTCCAATCCAAGGATTGTTCTCAATTATATCAGAAAGTAACTACCTCTATAGTGTTCAGAGTAGCATTGAGCAGGGTTGGAAGTGCCCTGCTTCCAACGTGAACATCTCCCTCCACGGACAAATCCTCGTACCGTACTTCAATTTTCGGAGTTTCAATCCCAACCCTGTACAAACACCAACGGAGTTATTCCAATCTCGCAATATGGGTGAATTAATAAGAACAAAAGGGGACAGTAGTTATATAAACACCTATCAATTCTGTCTCGTAGCCTGCGAAGGAATGCCTCATGATCTTCATCAATCAACTTTAGTATGTTTTCCATGATAAGCTTCTTCTCCTGCATGCCAAGCTGGGTAATATCAACTTCATCATGCACAACGTTCCCATTATCGAGCACTTGCTTCAGAATGCCTTTTCTTAGCCGCTCAAACGTCGGCAAGCGCTCCACGGCGGCCCACTTGAGGTCCTCCTCGTCATCCTCCTGCGTGTGCCGATCACTCCTGCTAAAAGCATCCGGCGGCGGCGTCCACACATCCCTGAAACTCCCCGATGCCCAACTTCGGCCACTGCTGATCGATCGAGCCAGATCATCCCCCGCCAATGCTGACGCCATAAGTAAATGGATCTGAGTAACAAACAATAACCGATTAAAATGAAGAAGAGATCATAAACTCGTCACGCAGGGAGCTCTGCCTGGGGGGTATTGAGAATGGTTTAAGTGGCTTTATGGGAAAGTGAAGATGAAAAGGAAAAGGGTGGAAATTTTGGTGGGGGGAGGATGGGTATATATATTATATAAGTTAGAATCTGGGTGATGTGGATGGTCACTTTCTTTGGCGGTTGTCCGCATGGTTTGAATGCTAATCATGCTTTGTGTTAAGCGTGATTATTATTGTTCTTGACGTAATTCACTCATTAGTCCCCTCGCGCAATTTTCTTGAAGTCCGTACTATTTTGTTCTAAGCAGCACTCTGCCTCACGAGGTGGAACTATTATACTGTTCATAGTTGGCTAAATAAATTATTTAATTATGTATATAAATATATTAATGATATTATAAATATATTATAATTAATAACTAACTACCTAACTTTCTTAATCTAATAAATTAGTTAAATAAATCTTATATTAAATACAATAGTTAAAAATTAGAAAGGGCGAACTATGAGGATTTGATGATATTACGTTTCTTCTGTGCCATGAAGAGCAGGGCCTTAGGGGTTCTCATTTCGAGAATGATTTACATTTTGGTCAAAATGTGAGTACTTTGACGTCATGTGTCTTTTTTGAGCACATTGCACAGACAATAAAAACCAAAAAGCCCTATTCATCTGCTTTTTAGGGAACGCCCATCACCTTTTAAGAGTTCTTTCTTTTCCAATATCTGACTTGGCGCATCTATATTAGTAAGTGGTTTCTATTTTTTTTTTATCTTAATTATAGTGTTTCATAAATTACCAATTACTGGATGTCTTTTCCATATCTTTGACTCTTTTGTAATAAAACAATAGCAACAATTTTTTTTTTACCACCTTTCCACTTTATTTCTTTGCTCAAAATCATCGCCTATGGGTCAATAATTAGTTGTGTACATTTACTTTTCAGTTTTTAATATAAGAGTCATTTTAATTTTTAATTTAATTTTAAATAAAGATCTCAATCTTCTTTGTTTTTCATATTTATTTATTTTTTTAAAATAGTTCTTGTAATAGTTGCACATGTTAACGGTCCTCTAATTAATACATGTTATTAATAAAGATATTTTAAAAAAATAACACCTATTTATTACAAATAATTAACTTAACAAATTTTTTTAATTAACTTAAATTAATCATTTGGCTCTTATATTAAGAACAAGAGGTAATATACACATTGCATGCATTGTGTGCATATATATACATACATCCATAAATGTTATGTTTTTATTACACCATAAAAACTTAAATATAAATCACTGCCCGCGTTTCATGTTTTTTTTTAATCACTTCAAGTATATATAATATTTATTTTTGTTTCTTTATTTTTTTAATTTTAATTAATTGGATGTTTGTAATAGTTTTCACGAATTTAAACTAAATTGTTTTGACAAAAAAAAAAACCTAAACTGTAAACGAAAAGACAAATGCTACCGTGAACATCACAAGATAAACAAGTTTTATAAAAACATTCAAATTAAAAGACAATATCAGTCAAATCAGAAATTGGCAAATTGATTAAATATATGTGTGTATAAATAATATTAGAAAATATCATCATTCCACTTGGCATGCATGCCCTCATTTTTTATTATGATAATTTCCTGTTCAAACTCTAATATGCTGACTTGGTATTCTAGAATCTCTACTTTTAACCCCCTACTTTTTATATATTATGTATGAATGCGTGATATTTTAATTTTAAAATACTACTAGCACGTTACTCTTACATTGTAAGCTAAACCAGCGTCGTTAATGATCATTCAACTATATTTGAGAAAGATTCTTCTGGCCCTTTCTTCTTATATTTTCTGCAATCTCTTACCATATTCGATAAAAACGTATAGTCAATGTTATTATTGACGACGGATATAAAAAAAATTTTTTAATTTTTTTTTTTTTGCACTGGTGTGTAGTGGACAGACGATTTAGTTCTGTAAATGAAAGTGAGAAAATAATCAGACCACGATCAATGATTAAAAAAAAAAAAAAAGAAACATGCGAACTAATAGTATCTATACTTATTAACCTTCGAGCTGTTTTATGTTGCCAAATTGTAAAGTTACATATTTTTGTATTTAAATTTTCCTTTTGTTCGATATTGGTCTCTATTTTGATGATTATCTGCTGCCTAATCTGTGTTCTAATTGTGACAGAACAAGCAATCAAATCAATCAAACTACCTAATGAAGAGAGAACCTGTCGCGTTGTATACTAATGTATAGAGCAGGTATTATGTTATATATTGAGAGGTTAGGTTAATTTGAAATCTCTTTTTTTAATAATAAAGAACAAAAAAGCCTTTAAACCGCCAAAAAAGAAAAAGAAAAGTTAAGCTTCGAATCAATACAAGTAATCGAGGTCAGACAATAATAAAACTCCAATGACACGAATTTGAGAACATTAGAGCCCTGTACCAAGTTTGAAAATAAACCCCGACATCAACATATGATTTATAAATAGTGTGAGATCTTGTTTATTATATTTTGTTGGCGGTAAATTAATGTTAGTGCATATATGGTTTTGGGAAAGTGAGTAAATTTTTTTTGACAGTTGGAGAAGATGATTAAGAGCTGGTCCCGCGTCCAGCTGGATTGAAGAGTCAGTATTGGGTTAATGCTGGTCATAATTTTTTTTTTCCTGTTTCTTTACCAACGGTCATAATTTTTTTTTAAAAAGTAATTTAGTCGCATAATCGCATTAGTTCACACATTTGAGGAAATAAAAGTATAAAACAGTTGACAGGCATGGACCATATCAAGACAAGAAAAAAATAATACTCCTTCGGTTTTTAGTATAAGACTTAATTTTTAAATTAATTTTGATCCTAAATATAAGATTTATTTATCATATTTATCGATTTTTTTTAAATTATACCTATGGATACTCTTTCAATCATAATCAAGTAGAAGAATAAGAAAGGATATTAAGGAAGATGATTATAGTGTTTAAAAAAAAAAGTCATATTTCTTATAATTAACTAACTTACCTAACTTCCTTAATCTAATCAAATTAATTAAATAAGTTTTATATTAAGGATAGGAGGAGTAATTGATATATTGCATTTCTATTTACGTGCTTGTGTGAGTCAAGTTCCATTATTTGTCAACTTCCATTATTTTAATGGATATACGGGGGAGAAGAATTTATTTAGTTCAATCATTCAGTTCTTGAATTTAAAAAACCTGCGATTTTATTCCTGGGTAAAAAAAAAGAAGCATGAAATCGATTCACTAGCCACTGTCACACATTAATATGCGTTTCAAGGACTGATGAACAGCAAACTTAAAATGTTCAGGGGCTGTATTTTTTAGATTAAAAGTAAGGTGGTGTTTGGTTTTCCCGAAAATATTTTTTAAATAAAAACTCTTTTGTGTATTGTAAAATTATTTTGAAATTATGGTTTTGTTTGCCCTCAAATACCTAAATACCTGAATGAAATAATTAAAAAATATAATTTTTAAATTTAAATATTAAATAGTTAAAATATATTTCTCTGATTCTAAAATATTATAAGGATCTTATATTTAGGACCGGAAGAATATATATTAACATGAAAATAAGACCCACTATCAAAGAACGCGCTTTTCTTGTGTATATAGATAAACAATCAGAGACGTATAGGATTGTGCACTCAAATACGAGTATTAATTAAAAGAAGGAAAAAAAAAGCTATGTTAAATACTTCAAACAGTAAGAATCTCGAGTTGGGGTTTTAATACAATCGTGTCAAAAATTTGGTAGCCTCCGAGTCAATCTAAAATATCCTGAGTTTCGATAAATCCTCTAGTTAAACTATTAAAGGGAAATATAAAGAAAATTAATGTCTTGGGCAGCGTAAAATCGGCATTGTCAGAAAAGGGGCAAATTTTCGATTTTCTGATTTGGCTTGATGAGTGAATTCTGCCGCCCAGCTGTTTTTTCCATCAATTGAACATTCATTCATTTCTGTAAAAGTAGAGTCTTCTTTAGCTGTACCTAGCATCTCTTAACATGATTAAGGTGGTTCATTCTCTCTAATCCACCAACAAGAGTTACATCAGAGGCACGTGAATTTTCCAGATTCAGCTCATAGACAGAAAACTAGAAATTTCTCTCCCGTGCGATGCACGGACTAAAATATTTGATTAAATTTTAAATTCTAATAAATTGTATTATTTAAGATAGCTTAAGATTTATTTTTTTATAGAAGTGTGTTTTTTTATTCCTTCATATTGTATTTGAATTAAAGATGTGAAATTAGGGGAAACATATGAAAATTTAAAATTATTTATTTATCTGTACATTTAAACCCCAATTGACATATTATTTTATGATACTTCTCATTTAATTTAATATATTCAAATCCCAATTAAGATATTATTAAAATTCAAAATTAGTTATTAATTTCTTCATTTGAGCCTCCATTCAAATCTCATTTAATAATGATATTCCTTATTTAATTCAATATACCCAAATTCCAATTAAAATATTATTCAAATCTTATTATTAATTGAATATATTCGAATCTTATAATATCATACCCGACCCGTTTTAAATGAATCGGGTATTATAAGTTTTCAATAATATGATTGATTGATTGATTGATGATTGATGGAGTCTAGTCATATTGTAATCCTGCAAACTTTGGAAAACTTTGAAATCCCTTAGCCGCACGATGCAATCGTAAATGTGTCCCCGCAACTTGTTACAACACCTGTCAAAATATCAATCATTACTTCTGTTGCCAAAAAGTGACAGTTCGATTGTTGTCGGATTGCATATATTTGTCACTACAGAGTCACACGACAACACTAATGAAATGCCACCCACTTCACAATATTCGAGTGCCACCGTTCTCATCGACATGACATTGAGGAAAATCACCAGACAATATGGTCGTCCCACAAGCAACTCCAACTCTCAAGATTTCCGTTAATCCCACAAGGGATGGATCTTCCATGCCCCCAACTAAGGAAGGAATATAGTCTGGCATGACTCAATTCGTTCAGTTTGCTTTGGTGCTTTTCATTGCAAGGGTCGTTGCTGCGCCACTCAGGTCTCCACCTCTCTTCCTAGGAATACGTTCAAATGAGTGTGTCATCCTGCTATGTAGCATCAATTGGAAGGTGACATTGCAATAAACACTTGACAATGGAAATTACGCAAACAGGGGACCATAGTGCGAATACACGGGAAGACATTGATATTGTGGTCTATGCCTGCTTGAGCAAACCTCACTGCTATGAGGAAGCAACTTCTTAGTGATGTCATTGAGGTAAAATATCAATTTACGTTTTAAATGGACTCTGCCTTCAAACTGGCTTAGGTCACAAAGATTTGGTACAGGTGTGAGCAAAGTGTACCAGCTCAGATCATCTATGTCAACTACGAAGCCTATCAGATGTTAAAAGATGCAGTTAACTGTTTATCACATTTTATCGCCCATATAGCCGTTATAGAGCATGAGGATTGCAAAACACACACAACTAAAGACACGAATCAGTTCTAAGAAATCCACCCTGGTTTTAGACAAGATCCCGTGGTTGCATGCACCTCAAGCAACATAGACGCTCATAACCAGGCTGCAATATAGACAACAATCCAAGTAAGTTAGCAAAAGAAGGAAAAACTACTACTGGTATTCTAAATGGGTGCCCGCCTCATCTTCGGATTTTGGTTGGTAAAGATATTTTTGGGATTTAATCCCCCTCTTATTTAATTCGTAGTTTAGGCCTTGGCCTTCTTTTGTACCAAAAAAAAAAAAGAAGAAGATTTTTGGGATTTAATCCCCCTCTTATTTAATTCGTAGTTTAGGCCTTGGCCTTCTTTTGTACCCGAAAAAAAGAAGAAGAAGTAATTTAAGATTTTAAATAGAATTCTCAAATGAGATAAAAAGATTATTTATCAAAATTCACCATTATCAACGTATTTAGAGGTTACACGTTGAGAACAGTATGAATGAGATAAAACGGGTTGTTTCGTTATTACTCCGTATGCTTTCATTAATCAATGCTAGAAATATGATAGAGTTAAACTTATTTTCAGTAAAATAATTGCATCCTCAAAATCATGCCACTGGAAAATTTTTAACCACCAATAATGTTTATCCTATTGATCATTAAGCATCACCTGAGCACATAACTCGCAGTCACTCTGAATGAATACTACGGAGCTTCATACAAATCCACTTCATTAACACATTATGAGAGGTACCTTCTTCCATTTTGCAATTAGATTGCGGTCAGCATATCCTTGCTCTATACAGAATTCATACAATTCCTGAGAGATTTCTTTCCTGCGGTAGAGGTCAAATAAGTAGCGGCTCTTCTGATGAGAAATCTTGAATATAGGCCACAGTGCCTCACATTTTCTTTTTCCATCGTTCGGATCACTCTCAGCTTTAACAAGATTGAAGGGTATTATAAAACCGTTAGTTTCATAACATCCCAAAGGGAAGCTTATTAATACTTGTCAAGGCGTTCATAAATTATAAGAGAATTACCTTCTCTCATCTTTGCTTGAAGTTCATTGAGCGTAGACTCAACCAATTCCCACCCTTCAGGATATTTAATGCGGTTTGTCTTTACCTTAGGCATTTTTATTTTGCTATCTGTCAAATGAAAACATGAAACCAGAGAATCGGTTGACATTTTTTCTACAAGGCAATCAGCAATGTAAATATCAGTTCATAAATAAATAATATAAATATTAGAAATGGATGAACTTAGTACTTCACATACAAATTGTCATAGGGAAAACAAATAATGCTCTACTGAAAAAAATTCATGCTTAGACATCATTAGCTCACAGAAGAGGAATCGTATTGCCTGCAATGATACAAGTTTGCAAAGTGTACCATATCAGCAAAGTAACTCTTCTCTGACCGGGGAAAATAACTCCCTAGGTTCAAATGCCTCTAATGATTACTCCTAACTAATCTTAAATTATCCCGATAATGAAAACAAATACCAAATTAATAATCATCTTAACTATAAAATATCCAATGTCTTTATTTTCTCAACTTGACCACCTTGTATTCAGCCACCTCATGTTATTCGGAACAACAGTTCAAGTTAACTCTCTTTGATGGTATCCTCTGGGGACAAAATAGTGCAGCTCAATTCATTGTTTCAGATAATATCTTATTCTTGCTTCTTCCTCGGTAATATATGTTATTTTCTTCAGTCTCCCAAACGCAAAGAATGCGCCATACATTCCAAAATTTGGTTATAAGACATTAATCACGAAAACGTATTAGTCCAAGAATCAAGATGATTAACTTGATTATGTGACCGCATGTACCAGAGTTATTAACTAGTGAAAGCAATCTCAGGGACAAGCGCTAAATTCGCTTAACTCCCAGATATGGGGGGGGGGGGGAGGAAAGAAATGCAAGCTTGTGAAAGAATGAAGATAAATTCGTGAATTAGTACGGCATAATGAGTCGCCAAAAGTTATAATCGATCTGACATTTTACTCTTAAGAAATAAATCTTAAATAAATATAGACATTACAGAGAAACAAGTAATTTGAGAATTAAAAGAAGCTTAAAAAGAGCACAAAAAATTAAAGAAGGACACAAAGATGGCGGGAGGAGGAAGAACCAATCAGAAACTGGAGAATCGACGAAAGAAGAAGGGAAAGAGGCAAAGGCCTACAGAAGCATGAACGCTGCAAACTTGCGCGGATTACTGGCCCTATCAGAGGGCACAGTGCAGTGAAGTGAAGCCTCAGGACGTCGGAGACGGAAAGCAAGTACCCGCCTGCCCCAGTTCAAAGCGCAGCGTTCTATTCGCGGTTGTTTTTGGGCCATTGGATCTGAGTTATGGGCTCCCTGGCCTCAAATGTTTTTGTGCATTGCAAAACATGAATCTGTCAAATGAAGCCTAATTGATGGACATGAAATGCAATTGCCATGTTTTTTTTTTTTTTTTAATTCAAAAGAAGGACGCAGCCTTAACTAGAAATTTAAATAAATGGGGACTAATTCCCAAACAATCCCTGTCAGCCAAAGTTCGTAGATGCATCGGACAGCTATCCAAAACTCCTGTTGGGTGTAAGCCTTCTTTTGACAACGCATCAGCTAAAGCATTTTGGTCCCTGTTAATCGAATAATCCAGTCAAGCTCAAGCATTGATTTAATCCAATTGCCAAGTTGTGTGTGCTCATTGACCATTTTTCATGCACTTCTTGTGTTTGGTAAACAAAGTAAGAGATCATGATAATCATATCTAATATGCTTAGCAGTTTTTCTATTTAGCAGAGATAATAAAGTCCAGGCAAGCAACTTTAAAGCCTACGAATTTGGACCAACGGCTTGGGGCAAAATTTCTTATTCCTTCAGGGTTAAGTCCAAGCAAATGATGTTGGCCCAAAAAAATAGCCGCAGCAAACGAATCCACGCTTCCCCTTTTCCACCACATTACTTGTTCTTCAAATCAATTAAATACATGTGGTCAAACTAAGCATAAAGATGCTTCTTTTCCTGTGTTAAAATTCAGCCTCAGCCTCTTCCTCTTTTTTCGATTATTATTTTCTTTGTGAACGTGATACAAAAAACGAAAAGAACAGAAACAACGAACAAAAAGAGAAAGGGAAGATAGGGAAGGGAACCCTGCAAGCGAGCATCTAATCAATGCATACAATTATACAAAAAGTAGAACAGGGTTACCAGGAGTAACGGGATCCCTCCGGCGCTGAGATTATGAGCAGCAGAGCATTGCTTGCCTTGACAGTCCATATTTATTTTTCATTAATTTTAATTTTTTATGACACCTTAAAAATAAATTCTCATTCTTCATCTTTTAAATTTCCAAAAAATTATCAAAAACAAACAAAACAAAACAAAATCATCTTGATTTATTTCCTCCTTTATTTACTTTCCGGGCAAAGTTATAGCCACCACCCAAAGATAGCTCTTTTTACTTGCATATCTGGGTTAGAGCGCTATGAGATAATGAGAAGTGTGACTACCAATGGAACCCACTATTTCTCGACATGCAGCAGGAAGAGAATCCAAACCATTTACGACTGTATAGCCCGTAATGACTCAGAAGTCAGAACTATAATGATGACGACAAGATCCACTTCCCAGTGACAATGCTCATTCAGTGTCTGGGCTCCACATCAAGAATTAGGGTACGTAGATGGGGACACTGGATGCTCTGTGCCAAAGATTTCGATAGATGTGAGCCACGGGCGCGTACCAAACAACAGTGTCATTTGATTTATTTCCTCTCATGGCCATATCGTCTCTGTTCGGCTTTGAACAAAACAAACAGAAAAGACAAATACATTCAGCAACGTGGTCGAAGATATCTCATTTACCGTATTTGCCAGTTGCCAGGCCAGCTAGTGTAGGTACTTGCGCCCGATAGCCAGTGTCGGCATCGCGAGCTTCTGGTTTATTCTCTTCTCGATGGGCCGGGTGTTTAAAATGCTACCATACAAACTTTGCCCCGCCTAACTACGAAAATTTTGGATCTAGGGAACTTTCGTTCCTCTAGATGCGAACATCGAGTTGTAGCCATGTATGAACTTCCTGTGCCTTAAAAAGACATACTACGCCGTGACATAATCAAAACTAATATACAACACAGGCTTACATATCAGTGACATCTCGATACATGAGGCCAGGAACAAGAGAAACCATATCAAGAATGCCACAATCACCGAAGAGTCTTCTCTTCAGAACAACTCAAATTCCACATGTTCTCCTGTTGCTTTACACTCAAAATACTTGCCCTGTGAGGTGATGTCTGGAACTCCAAAATCACAAAACTCCGGAAGCTCTGGTGGGGGAGCACATCGAATTAATGCCCAATTAAGGCCCTCGAAAAAGGGATGCTGTTTAATCTCAGCAGCTCCTTTCTCTGAACCCAAACGGTTTTCAGGTTCTTTAACCAGCAACCCTCTTATGAGATCCCTGGCTTGGAAACTCACAAATGGACTGTCAGGAAATCTGAGATTCTGCAACACCACATTCGCTAATGTTTCTTCGTTATTAGAACCTTTAAAGGGTGTTCTGCCATATAAAAGTTCATAAAGAAAAACGCCAAAGGTCCACCAATCAACTGCAGCACCATGCCCATCTCCTTTGATGATCTCAGGTGCCAGGTATTCATGGGTACCGACAAAAGAATTTGATCTTGCGTCAGTAGGTTCAGCCACAAGCTGTGGCAAGGATCTGATCTGTGCAGCCAGATCGGCTTTTAATTTCCTTGTTTTTGCAGCAGCAGGTAAGAATCTAGGGCTGAAGCATGAAACTTGACAGGATGGTTCAATGCAGAATGGCTCAATGCAACTAGATCGGGCACAAGGACCAGAAATCCTTGCTGGATCAGCATCAAAAGATGATTTCAGAAGCGTTGGGCTGACATCACACCTCAGTGACAGGTCAAAATCTGTAAGCATTATGTGTCCATCTTCTCGAACAAGAATGTTTTCAGGTTTCAAATCCCGGTAAACAATTCCAAGCATGTGCAAGTACTCTAATGCAAGAAGGACCTCAGCAACATAAAACCTGCACACATAAAAGATGGATTATCAGCATAGAAGAACAGTTCAAGTGATAATGAATTTTAGAATATTAGATCCAATTATTGATTTAATATAAAGAAGAGGGATCCAGGTCAATCTATAATAAAACACTGGTTGGTCAATGGCAGATCTGTGCAGGTAAACCTATTATTACCAAATTTTAATCAATATTCAATTCAATATTTCAACGACTAAACAACCCTTTTCTTTGTCCATAGTAGCAGTACTTGCAATAAAGGGACTAGCCCATACTCAAATTAAACATCGCAGCATTTAAAACTAAATGAAGTGGCAATGAGTTGCTGGTGGTTTGTTGAAGAAGACCAGGTTGGGCTATACAAGCCTGCAGGACCAAGATGGCCCACTTTTTTTGGCTTGGCCTCTTGGTCAATTGCTTATGCGCAGCCCTACTTGAAACGTTTCCAAAGGAAAGATGCAAAGGCAGAAAAAGCTGTGACATGATATCTTAGAAAGCCCCATCAAGCAGCGATCAAAGAGTTGCTGGGAGGATTTCATCATCTTTTTTCTATCCGATAAAATTTACTTAAGGAATATAAAGTGTCTATTTCAAAAATGATTGGATGGTAACAATACATGACTCAAGAATTCATAAACCAGAAATGGAGTATACATGACCTAGACTCGTGCAACATTCAACAATTCATATTTGATATAGAAAACAATGACCTATGTACTATGCCGAAGATACAAGTCAAGACCCTATTTACTGCAATATACAGATGAAATATAACCATGAAGATTGGCAAAAGCAAGCTAAGAAATTTAACCAGACTAGTTTGTACTATGTACCAAGAGTTATTAAGGCATCATATGAAAGCATTGAAGTTTAGTATGGGGGAGGTTAACACACAATTTGATGGATCATAAATAAAATGCTGACTTTTGTGCACCAGTCTTTAGTATCATACCTGGCTGCTGGCTCAGTAAAACTTCTACCAGGCTGCTTCTGCCGCAGAACATGAAGATCTCCACCTGGACAATATTCCATGACCAGACAAGACAAGTTATCTGATGTGAATTGAGCATAGAGTGTGGGTAGAAAAGGATGATCAAGAATCCTTAATATGTCCCTTTCAGTTTGAGCCCTGGAAATCTTCTTCCTTCTTGCCAAAAATTCATTGTCCATGACCTTGATGGCAAATAAGCAATTTGTGCCGATTAGTTCAGCAAGATATACAGTTCCAATGTCTCCACAACCAAGTTTCTTCAAAAGATTGAACTGCCTCAAGCCCAAGACTCCATCCTGCATGTGAGCTTGACGAATGGCTGCCCACCTAACATCCTTTGACATGTGAGGCCTATTGCCACAACTAGCCCCGCTCACATTGCTCTCATCACTGGTACTTGTACCACTACTGCACTCTTGACTGCTCTTTGAGCTTTGTGAAAATTCCAGTTGCTCTTTCAACCTGGCATTCTTTTTCACTTTTGCTACAGCTTTGCTTCTATTACAGTTAGTTGATGTGGGAGCAGATTTGGTTGCACCGTAATGTGCATTACTTGACCTTACTGCATCTCCAGGATTGGCACAGCCTGGTGCTCCACTATCTTGGCTCTTTTCTTTACCTGTACTCTCTAAAGTGCACCGACATCTCTCACAAACCAGCGGAGCTGTTCCAGGTACTAATTTATTATTCATTTCATTTGACGTAAGAACATTTGGAGCAGAACCAGGATCCTGCTTCGGTTTCTTCTTGTTCAAATTCTTGTTCCTTATGACTGATTTGACTGTGCGGGGGGCACTGTGGGTCCGTCTTACCCTATTTCCACTTACTGAAGAGGATGTCGATGAGGAAGAAACGGCTTGCAACCTCACTTTTCGCCCGACCTTTGACGCAGATGCTTTATTTCCTACTTTTTTTGGCACAGAATCACATTCAGGCAACTCTACTTTGCTTCCATCAGTATTAGAAAGAGATGAATTTGCAAATGTTTCTATTCCTGTTTGAACAGAACCTGATTGCTGAGGCCGAAACCCACTTTTACTTGATGAACTTGCCAAGTCAATTTCCATTGATGAGGACGCTGTATCATTTTCTTTAGTTGCAATTACAGTTTTTGAAGACGATTGAACACTAGCACCGGATGAAGAGGCATTGGCAGCTTGATGAGACTGGCACCTTTTGTCCAATGAGACTGCTTTTCTCTCTTCAGATGATACTGGTATTTCAATTCCACTGCCTTTACTGTCAACAAAAGATGGCCCAGCTTGAGTGCCTTCACCTACAACTGTATTGTACAAGGCCTTGATCTTCCCAACTTCAGATATCCTGGGTGAATTTGTAGACTTCGACAATCGCTTCATAGCAGCCATTTCTGATGCCTTGGATATACATAGGTCTCTTAATGCTTGCTTCAGAGATGCAGGCTCAGAAGTACCAACTCGAGGAGACCGAGGAACACCAACTGTTATTGGCTTTTTTAAGGTATTTTTCATCTTAGGGCTTGTACCATCTTGTAAAAGGCCTGAATCCCTCCATGAAGTCTTAAGGGCAACTGATTCGAAAAGTTTGTTAATATCATTCTCCAGATTGTCCTTGCATCCCAATTGTAGCATTGGAAGCTTCTGGTTTTTCTCGCCCAAGCTAAATTTGGAATTTTTCTGATAAATCCTTGCAGATTTACCTGAGTTTAGCTCTTCCTCCGCTTCAACTATTTCACAAGTTCCAGAGAATGAGCCCATTACAAGGTGAGTCGTATAACTTGATTATGGTGTAGCACAGCTGATCAAGTAGGTTGACCTTCAATGTTCAAGCCTATACTAATTGATTTACATGCAATGAATCAGACACCATAAACTTATGGCATATGAACGAAAAGCTACTCAAACTTGCAAAAACCAGACCATCCTTTGGTCACATAAAATTTAAAGACTGAGCAGTATGCGCGCTCTTCATGCCAGTGGGACATTCAAACCCTGATACAGTGGCCAAAATTTCAACTTGTCAGAAAACCAAAAGAAAACATACTCTGGAACATAAGGAGAAAGAAGAGATGCAGAGGCAACGAAAAGTGAGCATCATCATAAGCACAAAGAATCAAATCGCAAATGAAAGAATCAAATACTGTAACAGTTTATCTATCAAGTTTCTATTGACCCAGCGCATTTAAAAATTACGAAAATAATTCATTTCGTGAAAATACAAGAACTCGAGTGTCGAAACGTTAGATAAAGAAGACGAGGAAGAAGAACTCGGGCAGTTGTTAGAACCAAATAAAAGGGTATTCTTCCACCCAAAAAACAAAGGGTATTCTAATTTGAACTGCGCATATAATCCGAGTTACAAATTTCTCATCAACATAGTTACAAGCTGCAGTTTGTACCAAGCATAATAATTTTTCTTCGATGTTTCTGGAGGTAAAAATAAAGCCAGACACAGTAAACACTGCTCAAGCGGAAGAAAACAAAGCCCTTTAAAGTGGAAAATATTTGCTTATTTTTTCTTTCAAACCGTCCTCAATTTGTCAAATCAATAGATCAGATAAAATGTGAAGGAAAATGAAGTTTCCATTCCCTTATTCTCAACAGGACAGCATCCAACTGAGGAGAAGGGGGGAAAGCATACGACTTTAGGATTGATTTGTCTCCCAGAAATTAAACCCGAGAAGCGGGAAGCAAAGAAAAATCCACCCACACCACTTGCGGGAAAATAATCAGAAGTACAGTATCATCCGCCGAACCAGACCTTGTTTGTACAAACAATAACCACGGTTTCGTATGTGGGAATTCAGAACCAAAAATAGCGGAAGTTCTTAACCCACAGAAGAAAAAGTATAAGTATCACTTGACAGATTCAGAGAAAGCGTCGTCCAAATAAACAACATTCACTAACGAATCAGGGTGCCCGCACAAACGGACAGGGGAAGCATAAAACAAGGCAAATACAATGCGATCGGAAACAAAAAGCAGTACCTGAAAAGGCTAAGAGATAGGGGCACATTGACACGGATTCAAGCAAACAAATCCGGAGAACATGGAAGGAAATTCAAGCAGAGAAATGGAGAAACCCTAGGCTTAGCTAGGAAGAGATATGAAGAGGAAGCTGAGATGACAGAGAGGGAGAGAGAAGGAGATGCGCAATGTATGTTACTGTTTCTGCTTTCGGTACTGGGCACTGATTATTTTGTAGGAACAAGGGCCCCACCGTATATGCTGCGTTTCGCAGTCCCAAACGGATGAATTCAAAAGTCCCATAATATAATATTAATATCTGGTATCGATTAATAAAATATAGGAATATATAAATATGCATGAGCATTCCCAGGAAATTAATGTATCTTAGTAATTTCAAATTTTAATTGTAAATAAGTCGTCGTATTGTGATGTATGCCATTGCCCATACTCTTTCATTCCTGGGCCGGGGTGGGACTTGAAAGCTACCGATGTTGTTTTCCTTTAAAATTATGTGTCCCATTTGAAATGAGGGCGATCTGAGATTTGCGTCCCAATAAAAAGTCGTAATAAACAAATACAGAAATACTCTACATAGCATCCAATGTTCTGGGTTTGGTAAAGCAGTTTTGTTTAATCCTGTTTTTGCATTAAATTATATTTTGAGAGAGAGAGAGAGAGAGAGAGAGACCTTGAGTTACAATACACAACGTCAGCCAGCCAAAAATAAATAAAATAAATAAATAAAAAAGCTGCGGTAAACTGGCAAAGTAATCAGTGGAGTAAAAAGCAGCGCGACTGACGGTTGAAATGGTTGGCCTTCAATCTAATAATGTCGTGGTGAGATCTTGAGACTCAGCTTGAGAAATGAGCTGCTAACTCTCACTAGATGAATGATTAGAGGCTGCAACGTGGCAGGTGGGGATTGGAGGGATTGCGGTGATTGCGAGCCTAAGTTCTTGTTGGGAGCCATTATGGGGATGGATCACAACAGTGAAAGCCAAAGGGAGGAGACAGGTTGAATAGTTTAACAACCAATCAGCGCTCCCTTTTTTTCCATCAGTTTGCCCGCATGGATACAGCTTTTTGTTGAAATTGCCAGCAATTTCCAGAATTAATGGAATTTATAGAATCATCCCTGATTTGCTGTAATATTCCATGCAGGATTAGGAAAATCAACAAAGAAAAAGGCAGATCAAGTGACGAGGAAGCAATTGACAACATGGCTGAACCTTGAGTTAGACTTAAATGAAAAAGTCAAGCTGAGTGGAATTGGCGACTAATCTTAGTTCATACCTAATGACGTGCCCAGGTTGACCTAACCGACATGGAAAACACGTCTGTTAGAAAATCAGGACGCCAATAACTGGGCCCCCTAATTATCTATGGCTATATTTGTTATCATTTATTCATGGGAGATAAGTAGGATAAGACGAGACACAATAAACAGATAAAATTAAATACAGAAATTGGCAAGTGGAAAAAAGTTGGAAAGCGAGGAGTGAGAGCGAAAGGAGGGGGAAATTTGAGAGATAGTTGTGATGCACAGGGCGGACAAGGGAGCTCTTGTGCTTCCTCGTGTCTCACTCTGCAAGATAGCGAAGTTTTGAAAAAGGGGTTTCAGGTTATGTGAAAACGTCAGGTTCAATTTATAACAGCGACCCAACCCTCTCACCTTTCACCGTCATCTCCCTCCCTTATTTATGACCCCCTCCACCGTTCATAAACTGCTCTTTACTCGCCTGCTCCTCTCCCTGTCAATATCACTCGCATTGAGAGGCCACCTGTAGCTGCCTCTTTAATTTAATACCACTATTTTACGTAACCAGATACGGACGCGTCGCCTCTCAAACCTTCTTTGCACTTTTTCCTTATTATTAGGTGTTGTGTTGTTTAAGAAAAGAATTGCGGTTGCTTTTCCTTTCGCGTTCGTCAATACGGCGACCACAATCACATGGTCGTCCTGATGTACGCGTATGGAGGAAAGGAGAGGGTAGCATGGCATGTTTCATTTGGTGTGGCCGTGGGTAATTACTAATTAGTGCGTGAAAAAAACAAGAGAGGCTGGGGAGGCGGGCGCGTGTGTGAATTATTGATTTCATTAATAATAAGTTGGGTCCGGATTAATGATGATGGACTAGAGAGGCCGGTGACGTGTCACCAGACAAGCGTAGCAGAGATTCATTTCGTTTCGTTTTGTTTGCTAGCATGGGAGGTGTCGCGTCCTTTTTCTTCTTTCTTCAGTTCTCAACCCATCAATGGGACTTCATTATTTGGTCACAGGGCTTCCTCATCTAAGGGTATATCTGTGCCAATGCCTTAACTGAATTAATCGACTTGGGGTCCTCAATCAATGTCGTTTAAAAAACCTTCTGACCCACCTTTATTGTGAGAGAACAAGTTTCCTGGGCGGCATAGATTTGTACAGGTGGAATAAGAACGAGGGCGGGGTAACATTTCGAAAAGAAGGGGAAGCAACATGTAGCCACTTGCACGTGATGTGGGGAACTGGACAGCCATGGTGGAAAGAGAGAGTTGGTTAGGAACTTGTCTTGACTTTGAGAGCCCAATCTAAAACTAACGTACTCCCTCAAACTAGCTCTCCTCAGTCCTCTGTGTCAAGACGCAACCCCGCCTAAACGGTTTCCTTCCAAAATCATGCATTTATATGACAGCATTGTTTTTCCTAAATAGCTCTAAACTACCACAAAATTTAGCAAAGAAAATGAGGGCAAAAGAAAAGGAAAAAGAAAATAAGCAGCTAAACTGAGACATCATGTCTATATACCTAACGCAGGAACTTAATCAATGGTTGTCACTGTTTAGTTAACCTCGTTTTATGGCTTACTCAAAAACAAAAACTGTCGTTTTCGATGGCAGCCCAAACTCAATTATGGGCTTTCTTGTGACGTTGGTTCACGTTGGGCTTAACTAAACTATAAGGGTATGTTTGGCTCAATGAGAGGAAGGGGAGGGATTTTAATAGGGAGGGGAGGGGAGAGTGGAAGGATTTTAATATCACCTTGTTTGGATTTATAAAAAAGAGGGGAGGGGAGGGAAAAATATTTTAATATGGACAATTTTGCTCTTATTTTTTTAAGGCATGAGCATAATAGTCACAACATGACAAAATATAAACATAATGGTCATAACATGACAAAATATGAACATAATGGTCATAATATGACAAAATAATTGCCTTTTCCCTCAAATCCTCCCAATTTTGGAGGGGAGGTTGAGGAGGGAGGGGAAATTTTAAAAAATTTTCCCTCCCCTCCTAAATTTGTGTGTTGCCAAAAGAGAAAATGATTAAAATCCCTCCCCTCCCCTCCCTTCCCTTCCAAATCCCTCATACCAAACACACCCTAAGGCTCTCTTAAAAAATTCACTCCTAAAAGTAATACAGGATAGCAAATAAGAGTTGGTTCAGTTGGCAAGAAATCAACTCATAACCCGTAAGATTGTAAGTTTGAATTCCACTACAGATGTGAGAACTTCTTTGGTAGTCGTGTTTAATGATGACTATTATTGTTAGCAGCAAGAAACATTTCATCAGGTACATCCAGCGTCTCAAAGTATGTTGTGGTGCATCAAGTGGCATTGTGAAATATTTTTTAGTACAACCACTACTCTGAGATACCGAATACATCTAAAAAATACTACCTCCGGTCCTTAATATAAGACCTTGTTTGACTTTTATTTTGGTCCTAAATATAAGACCCCAATCCATTTTGTCTCTCATATTTATACATTTTTTTAAATAGTCCTTCTAACAATGATAGTTCTAACTGATACACTTGATTAACAAGGATATTTTAGGAAAGACAATACCTATTTAGCACAAATAACTAACTCAACCTATTCCTTAATCTCCTCAAATTAGTCAACTAACTCTTATAATTAACTAAAAGTAGTACTTTAGAATAACAAATCTGCTAGTACAATATTAATGGTTCTTAGTGGCCATAAAAGAAAAGCTACTAATGGTTATGAAGTTTGGTTTGGGACTCCTTCATTAGGATGGTTCAATAGTTTATCATTTCGATTTTATTTAAATTTAAATGTAACTTGTTACTCAAAAATTGGCTAGAATTATTCTTTCGTAGATGAAATCCAGTGCGTACTATTCACATTATGTTTACAAAACAATTATTCGCAAGTCATTAAAATACTTGGGTTTTTTGTATAAAAAAACGTAGATTTTGAGTCAAACACTAACTCCTTTTAACCAACTGAAATTTCATGTTTTGAACACTAAATGGAGTGCATCAGCTAACACACTACTTCGCCTGGGGCCTGAACTCCTAGGTGATATTAATTGGCATGCCTTAAATTTTTTAATTACAACATGCTAGTTACAATGTAAAATACGTTATGCCAATTGAAACCTTTCAATGCCAAGACTTCCCATTCACACTGAATTTGCCGCAAAATGAGACGTCAATCAGTCAAAACTTATAACAAGAAACAGCCACACTCCATGATTTATGACTAAATAAATTGTGATTTCACATAAGAAAGGCTTGCACACTTAATTCTTTCACTACAAAAAGATAAATTAACCTGAATGACTTTATATCAAAATTTTAGCAATTAAAATCTCTAGATAGAGAATGTTCCGAAGAAAAGTCGAATAATCAATCAAAGAGACTGAAGCCCATGTCCTGCATCACAAATTGACGATCAAAGAGTCAGACGACAATGGACAGAAGCGAGCTAGAAAAGTAAAACACAGCTAAATTCGTGCAGCTTAATGATGTGTAAAGCGTTCAACAAAGTACTCACATCATCGGATTCCTCTTTCTCCTCAACCTTCTCTTCCTTCTTTGGCTCGGCTGCCGCTGGAGCGGCAGCGCCACCAGCACCGCCAGGTGTGGCGGCCATTGCAACTGCTGCACCACCGCCAGAAGGCACAGAGGCCAACTTTTCCCTACCGCTGGCGATCAGCTCAGTTATGTCTTTGCCCTTGACTTCAGACAGAAGAATTTCAATCCTGTCATCGTCAACCTCTGCTCCCACTGCATGTTCACAAATTATAAAAAATAAGAACCCTCGTTGTCCATGAATCTTCAGTCTTCAAGTTTCTTCAAGTTATTAAATACTCCTCCCGACTTAAATGTAAGACCCGTACACTGCAAAAATGGGCCTTACATTTTGCAAAGGAGTATATATACCACAAAATATAACAATCTGCATTACAAATGCAAACGAGGCGCCAAATGTTTTGGTTTTATAATCCAAAAGCATTATGCAATCCACATTTATACAAATCCTTTAGAGAAGATAAAAGGTACCAGATCCAAGTATGCCCTTGAGATCAGCAGAGGACGGACAGGTGTTCCCGCCCAAAACAGCGAGCAAATAAGCAGCGATCAACTTCATTTTCTGCTAAATCGCGGATACAATATCACAATTAGAGCAGCATTACATCAGACATACTCTTCATAGAGACGAGAAGGGCGGAGAAGAAAGCCTACCTGGCGGGGTGGAGATCGGATCCGGAGTGGACAAAGAAAGAGCAACGGGCGACTTCAAAGGATGACCAGTAAAATCCAGTTTCCGAAATAGCGACACTCTTATACTAGGGTTTCTTTTTACTGCCCGAATCTGCCTTTCGTGGACCAAAAAATGGAGCCCAGACCTAACGTGGGCCTAGTTCTTTTCACTAGGGGCTTTTTTTTTTTGTTAAAACATAGATATCTTCTATTGAAGGCAATCTTATTCGAAGAACTGTCGGGCACTAAATGTGAGCACCTCTCTTAGAAGGGATTTCAAACCTTGGTTCGTCATGTTATGAAGAACTAACTTTTTTCGCTAGATCCAATCCTCATTGGTAACCTTGGTTAGCTTTTATTTATTACCATAAGTGAATTCTCCCAGCTTTGGGCCGAAAAAGAAGGAAGTCCATTAAGAGAATTGAACACCCCCCGGGGGGAAAAGAACATACTTTTCAAGTTAGCTTTTTTATAACCAAAAATATATTTTATTCTTTATTCCACTTGCATACAAATGGTACCTGTTTTTTTTCCATTTAATTCTTTTTTCCATCCCTTTTCCGATAAACAAAACTGGTCAGTTCCTAAATCGTGAAATTTACCCAAAATAAGTTTATAATTATAAAAAGAGAAAAGCAATTTTTTTTTGCAGGTATAAGTATTCGAAACATTGTTAAATGCTAAATATAGACACTTTTTTTAATAAAAATTCAAATATTGATTTATCATGTTATAAAAAGCTAGTTTTTTTACTAGACCCAACTTCATTAAAAAATGCAATTACAAAAAAGAAAGAAGGAAAAATAGAAAGGCAGGTTCTGTGGTAAAATGGGCCTGAAACAAGGCTGAACTTGGTCCAGCATCACACTTCATGTTTTGTTATCCGTTTGTTGAGGGGTCGTGGCTCAGATAAAACGAAGAAGAACATGATTGATCAGCCGCTCAATTACCGTTTCCATGCTAAACCGTTGAGGAGGGGGGCCGACTTTTGCAATGCGGGAATTCGCCTACGTGGTCAAATTCTGAAACGTGGCAAGCACAGATACATGGGCCTTTCCTCATAAAGATGTCGAGTTGTGAGCTGGCATGACACGTGGCATTCATATACAATCTTTGGCCTCCTTCTGCTAACCAGTAACAACACCTCCTCCGCCTTCCTTCCCTTGCTTTTCTCTCTCTCCCTCGCTCGGTTTGCAGTTCCCTCCCTTTGTTACCTTTACTTTCCCGCACTGCCATACTTCTTCTCTCTATCTTTGAGCGGTCTCTCTCTGTTTGTGCCAATGGAATCAGAGAAGCGCTTTGCAAGCAGCTCTGCTTCTACGTCCGCGTGGGCGGAGAGGTTGGGTGGCGAGGCGGATCGGTTGGTTAAGACGGAGATTGAAGCGGCGGAGACTCTCGCAGACTTGGCCCGCTTGGCGATGCGTGAGACTGCCTCTGACTCCGGAGAGAAACAGTGCAAGAAAGGCAAACAAGGCAAGAGGCGGCTCTCCTGCGAGTCACCGACTGATGACTCGGGGTTGAACGGGCTCGACTCAGCCTCCAAATGTCCGGATCTCTCTCGGGTCAGTTTTATTGGATCCGTGTTAGACCCTTTCATTTTAATTTTCTTTATACAAGTCACACATTTGTAGTAAAAAAAAAATTGTGGTCCCAATCTAGTGATTTAACTAAACATGGATATAACAATATTTTTAAGTTTTGAATATTGATAGAAAATTACAAACTAATAATAGTATATGCTAGTCGTTAGTTTGGAAAAGGAACCAGTCAAATCACTATTTACATTATAACTGTAGATGATTCAGTTTTCCGAAATTGATCAAACCATAAGAACAGAGCAAAGATTCTTCCGCTGTTCTGAACGACAACTATGTGCTAAATTCTTTGCCACATTATGTGAATATATGCCCCGGCAAGAAGGAATTCTATTTGGGTACAAGTCATAGACTCCTATTCAAACTCGCCTACAAATTTAGTCTTTATCCTGGATGTTAGGAGATATGGCAGTATATAAAGTATTTCTAGTTGCATTCTCCAAGTTCGAGTGAAAGTTCTATGATTCGTCTCCTAGTGGATGACTCTTAATGTCTCTACCCACTTCTGCTCCATTGCAACCAGCTCTACTATCACCTCATAAACAAAGAGCTGGCTAATTTGATTTCACTTATTTATAAAAAAAAAAAAAAAAACACTTCATTGGCGCAGTAAAATTTTATCTCAACGCCATTGCCCCTACGTTATATACTTTTAGTATATCATAAGTGAACTGTCGTGACTGAGAAATCTTTAATGAAAGTAACTAACCTTACCAAACCCTTTTGGAAATTTTCAGGACATGTAATCTATACTGTAGTGTTGTTAATGGAACGCAAACGGCTGATCAGTGGCAGCCATTCGTCTTCTCATGTTTGGTTTCCTCATTTCAGTTTTCATTAATTATCAATCATGTCTTGATTTTAAAGATAAAATTTCAACTTCTGGAAACGTGGTAGGCCTTAAGTCGTACAAATACAAGAAATACGAAGGCATGACCAAGTTGTGTACTATTTCATGCAAGAATTTAGAAATATATGTAATGAATTTATGGCAGGATCAAGCTGTTGAAGGTCACCAGCCACATCAAATATCCGCAAGTGAAACGAAAAAGATTCAACAGGATGTCTGCTTAAGAGAAGTGAAGACGGAGCAGGATGCTGATTTAGCCAAGACAAGCACCGTGTGCACAAGTTACTCTTTGGTTGGCTGCAGTAAGTCAAGGCGAAATTTAACTGAGGTACAAGAAGCTTCGAATGTATTTGATTACAATATTGACCTTAATCGATTAATGATAATAGAACTCTTATGGGCTCTCTGCTCAGGAAGAAAAGGAGGCACGGAGGATACGCAGGGTATTGGCAAATAGGGAGTCAGCTAGGCAGACAATTCGCCGTAGGCAGGTACTAGAAAGGGGTAAATTAAATTCTGTAAGAATTGATTCTGAAATGCTCACAATAAATCTGAAAAAAGGGGGAAAAATTGTGCTGTGTATAATTTATATTTCCAATATTTGACTTTATAACTTGCGCCTAACAGCTCAGTTGGTCTGTTTATCTACGGACCTGCATCTGTCTGAGCTTTTTAATCATCATTCCATTTTTTTCCTGTTTTCTTGTAGCAACTGAGGGGGGATTTTGAGATCAAGTATTTCATCCTTTATCAATTGGGCATGCTTATATGCACTGGCCTGTTAAATCGATGTGGTGATACTCTTAAATGTTCCTCTGGCAAGTGAATTTGTTAGCGATCCTTGAATTGCACGTCACATGCCATTTCTTGGAACTCACTTCAAAGATGGAGAACAGTCCCCCCCCCCCTTCTATTTTGTTTGCTACTAATGATGGCGTGTTTTTAAACTCTCATGTTCCCAGAGACAGAAGTTTTAACCTTTTATTTATTAATATCTAATAATCTGAAATCTGTAGTTCTGGTATATGTAAAGCCACTGCAAGCTTGATTGCCGTAGCACCTCTATAATTTGATTGGATTCTAATACATTTATGTTTCTGAATTTTTTATGACAAGAATAAAACTTCGTATAATTCCCAAACTTTTTAATTGCTCAGGCAAATTTCTTTTCTGACCATTTGTATGAATACTTTTCCAGGCACTCTGTGAGGAGTTAACCAGAAAAGCTGCCAATTTGGCGCTGGAGAATGAAAGCCTGAAAAAGGTATAGAACTATCATTTATCTGTCATCTTGTTAAACAGCCAATTATGTCTTCCTGTCGATCTGCCATCTTAATCCTTCTCATAATTGGATGAGGCGGTGACCTTAGATATTTTTGTTTGATTAGATCTGAATGTATTTTCCTCTTTGATGTTTATTTAACCATCAAGCCTTTCACGTTTGGCATCATTTCTGGCAAAAAGGAGAAGGAGTTGGCTTTGAAAGAGTACCAATCTTTGGAGAACACAAATAAGCACTTGAAGGCACAAGTAAGAGATTTTTACACGATACTTACCTGTATAGACATTCAATAACTCTTTTGCTCATAGAATGAAAAGGATAAAAATAAAGTGATGAAATTTTCTTTCACGTGCAGATAGCCAAGTCAGTGAATACCATGGCGGATAAAACTCCAGATGAGCATGACTTGCCTGCATCTGAGATTACGTCTTCATCCACGAGTAGTGGTCCATGGTTCCTTTGTAGCCATTTCCCAGTAACACAGTTATTTTGGCCTTCTGTCATCCAGTCTTCCAATCCTGTTCAATCTCAGCATACGCCTCATGGTTCCGCACCCATACCATCAAATATTTCTTTACCGTTTTCTTCTGAGTCTGACTTATGCCACAAAGAAAATAACCTTATACAGGACAATGAAATACAAAATCCATTATACCTGTTTCCGTATCCTTGGTTCTTCCCACCTCCAGAGTCTGGACATGGACAGGCGCCACTCTCTGTTGGCCTTAAAAATAAACAAGATGGGTATCCTGTAGGTAAACCATGTAGTATTAATTCAACTCCAAATACAGTGACAAATAATGACAATCAGGCTACTTTACCTTTCAAAATTAAAACAGAAGCTTCTGGCTGGACAGAAGTCAGACCTATTGATGACCCAAATCACGCCACTCCTAATTTTTCTTTGGATGGAGATGAGCAGCAAAGAGGATGTCACATTATGGAAAGATATCATCCTGCTGTTGTCAAGGAAGAACATGGCTTTAAGATACATCCTGCACCCGATACTGAGGTATCTTCAACAGTTTCTCATACTGCAAATTCTTTGCTGGAAAAGAAACAAGAACAAGTCATATACTCAGGTAAAAATCTAGTGGATGCAATTGCTGCAGCTGAGGCAAGGAAGAGGAGAAAGGAGCTTACAAAGCTGAAAAGCATCCACAGTCGCCAATGTCGGTTGCAATGTTGACTTATAAGTCAACATAATTAAAAAATTTAAGGGGAATATCCGTTACCAGCGCTTCTGGAGTTTCTTATCTCTTGATAAAAAGAAATGATTGGAAATCGAGCAGGACGCCTGACCATAAATAGTGGAGGCCAATGAAGGAAGAGAGGCAAAGTTCAGAACGCTCTCTGACAGCGTTGAAGGTTTGAGATTATCTCCTTCCATTTTGTTTTCCTATTTCCTTATTGTAGGAAGGTTGCCAAAAGTTTCGGTGACCATTTTTTCGACTTTAGGTAGTTATTTTGATAATGGTTTGAGGATAATTCAGGGTTTCCGACAAGCACACAAAAACGTGCAGGAGGATGGACAGGATACAGTACTTTTTATCCCGTCATTGAGATTTCTTTCAGCGGCAGACAGATTCTTAAGAACCTTGAGCTCGAAATACACTAGTTCAGTTAGCCAGGTCTCCTAATGTATATACAAATTATTTGTTCTGCAAAATAATTTATGTGAATATTCTATTATGCTTCGTAGCATGGATATCTACCTGGATAGCCGTTTGATTCGCAATGCTGTGTTTTTTTTTTTTGGGTGCTTTGAAGGATATTAGTTTCACAGAACTGCTGTTCATTAACTTGAAATTTTATTTTAAATATTTTTTTTCAAAATTTCTTTTTAATAAGCATATAATCTAAAATAAATATAATCTCTTAACTAAAAGTTGTTTCTAAAATAATTTTTTATTTGAAAAATTATTAGTTAAAATTTTAAATTTAATATATTTCAATGGTATTAATTTTACTGTAGCGATTATGGTGCTTGACACTTACTCGAGCAGAAATCATGTGATAGGAGTGGGCATTCCACATCCCAATATTGGGCCCCAGCCTATGTTCGAGTTGCTTGGATCGTTTCGGTTTCATTTTTTCATGTAATGCTATGATGGCTTGAAAAACAATGGCGGGATCATCACGCAACGCCCCCTCGCACTTAAGACGCCCAAGAAAAAAAAGGCAAGTTAAGGTGAAGTTTGAACGTCAATGGATCCAAATGAAAATGGAAAACGAAAATCTTTAAAAGTTAGTTTTTGAAGTTATGAAGTAGGGGTACTGCTACTAGACCTAGAAGCTTAAGTTGTAGTAGGTGGAAAAGGAGGCCTATATACAATAATGGGACTTCTAACATTGTGTTTAGAGTCATTCCACTCAAGCAATGCAGACAATATCAGCTTCTCGTTTGGCATTGGAGACCCCTTGAGCATAACCTTGAATATCTTTGTTTGGTGCAACTGGGTAAACTGCAACTTATTTGGTATAACTCGTACCGACAAGCCCCTGGGTGCTGTGACTTTAGCCTTGTACGTCGAAGTCCCATATCCCACATTCGTCACCGTTCGATGAAACACTGCCGAAATGCTAGAATTATGGGTCGCCAGGGAGATATGCATGGTGGGGTAATTGATTCCATCAATGCCTTGTGGAGGTTTAACGGTGGAGCAATTGACCCTTTTGCTTCCAACTAGTAGACCAATGACGGTGTTGTTGTAACCGCGCTTGCATAGGAAAGCAACATAAGAGTCGATTTTAATGTCGTACACTAGCCCAGGATGCAGTGCTCCTGTTGGATTAATCTGTCCAGACCCTGATCCCAACTCTGCCAGCTTGTCTCGGCCAATTTTCAAGGGAGTGGCTGAATCGTAGAGATGAAAATAGAAGGTTAATCAGTGAAGAAGTGGATTAGTGTGATACAAGAGGGATTCTCACCGGTGGTCATGAGAGCAGATTTGACAGCAGCAGGAGTCCAGTCTGGGTGGAAGGACTTGACATAAGCCGCAGCTGCAGTGACATGTGGGCACGACATAGATGTTCCAGATAGTATATTGAAGAGGGCGTGCCTCATGTCTTCAGGGTACCCTGTTATGGTTGTCAGTTTGGAATAAGAAGCCAGGATGTCCACTCCCGGAGCAGCTAAGTCGGGCTGTCCACAAAACGTAGAAACTTACACTTCTCAAACCAGAGGGAGAAAAGAAAGATAACAAGAGAGAGATATAGGGGGATCACCTTGAGGATGTTGGGGCTGAGAATATGAGGACCCTTGGATGAGAAGGAAGCAAGAAATGGAGCCGGGACTCTTTTAGTTGTTGTCTTGAATATGGCAGCTCGAGGATTCCTGAATTTCTTGAATCTTATTCAAACTTGAAGTTGTAATATAATCAAGTTAGCTAATGGCCTAATAAGTGCTAGTGAAAGAAATATACTTGGTGGAATTGATGTATAGCTCAATGGCTTTGCCCGCACTAAAGGCCTCCACGAAGGTTCCTGGGATAAGCGTGGTGACGGAGACGTCTGTTGGCTCCGGTATGTCCATAATGGTCCCTACGCCTCCTAATTCTTCGATGACGTAGTCCTGGCCGCCCATTCCATCAAGGCAGTACACAATCCTCCCCTTCACTTTTTCCTTGCTCAGAGTCCCATATTCACAAGCACTGGCATTTCCAAAGCCTTCTCTGCTGTTGTTGCTGGCAAGGGCTCCACTAGTCAAAGGATACATCATCTTCCCAGGTGAAAAGGTATTAATGGACAGTCCCTGCCAACCCAATACAATAACCAATTCAATGGTTTTTTTCTTGCGTGAAGTTTAAGGATCAAGATCTGTATACGAGTTTCAATTAAACACTCAAGTGACCATTGCGTTTTCAATAGTACTTACTGTAACTTTCTTGCCGTTTCCGAGGGCAACCTCAGTAGTGAACTGCCTATCAGTAATAGAAGCAGCCACCGTGAGAATCCATGGAGCAACGTTCTCGACAGTCATGGGGCTAGGACCGTCATTCCCGGCGGAGCAAGAAGTGAGAATCCCCATTTTCATTGCATGAAATGCTCCGATGGCTATTGGGTCCTTGAAGAACTCCCTGGATGCGCCACCTACAGACACCGATATGAAGTTGACTCCATCAGCGATGGCGTCATCGAAGCCAGCCAAGATGTCCATGTCGCTGCATCCTATGCTCCAGCAAACTTTGTATACGGCAATGCGAGCGGATGGGACGCCGCCGCGTGCGGTGCCTTTCCCCAAGTCATAGAGACTAGCTCCGGCCACTGGCACGCCTGCCACTGTGGCTGCCGTGTGGGTGCCGTGGCCCTCATCATCCACTGGACTGAGATTCGCATCATAGGGACCTTCACCCAGATTGTAGTATTTTGCTCCAATCACCTTACTGGGTATCGCAAGTTAAAAAGGAATCAGCACTGTAATCAAGTCTTGTACTACTAGGAATTTGGATCTTATCATGCGGTAGAATGGTAAAAAGGTAAATTTAGAATCTTTTTTTTCCAAGCTATTTGTGATTCATAACTTGCCTATTTTCCATATGATTATCATGATATATCCCACAATCTAAATCCCATTCCCATGCACACGTTAAAGAAGGAATTAATACTTGTTGCAGCCTGTGAAGTTAACTCCCGTGACACATTTGCCCTTCCATCTGCGTGGAGGAGGTCCGTACCCTTCGTCGTTGAAACTAGGGCAATCCATCCAGATACCTGTGCACACGTTTTAAATATATACCATCTTCATTCTAACGGAATTAACTGTTACACAACTCCACTACAAAACATTCACCTGTATCCAACATGCCCACAATGATATGGCTCTCGACGTTGGAGCGTCTCTCCACTCCGAGGGGCATTCCCAGAAAATCCCATGACCTTGTTGTGTGTAGTTTTCGCACCGTGTTTGGAAACACAGACACCACACCCTCCTTCTCTGCATTAATAATCCCACAAATGCGGAATATTTGCATACTTTCAAGTTCTGTCTCAAATTAATTAGAGTGCCAGAAATTTCACTTTGTAGCCAGCTAGTAATTAAAATGGAGGAATACCTTCAAGTTTCTCTGCTTCGTGTGGCAATAGATGTGCCACGAATCCGTTGAAGCTCTTACTATAGCTGTGTATTTTGGACTCTCTGGCTAACTGATGGCTGTAGAATGTTAAGGACAACATAAATAGACTTTTATAATCAACATGTGCTTTTAAAATGAAACGTGTGTCTGGAAAGCCCGTTTAATTCTACTCGAGAACAGGGATTATTACTCTCCAATTGCAGCCTCCAGCAAGTTGTAATGTTGGGATTCTACGGCATTGGTTCTAGTAGCCTCCTCTGGCAGGTGCCCCATGTACACAATGTATGGCTGTTTTTGTTTTCCACAAATTTTGTGTTTAGTATATATTTGCACATGCTTCGCTCAAGCAAAATACGACAAACAAGTAACTTTATTCGTCACCAATATCAGTTACCATTCAATACGTAGTTTAGGTTGTCGGCCTTACCTTTCTTTCATCTTGGCTTGATGCTTGGATCAGTATGAGCAGAAAACAGAGAGCGAACAACAGTTGTGTACAATCACGTAACTTCATTGTATGGTAATAATAGAATCTACTGCGAAATAACATTGATGTTTGTTGCTGTGCACTGATGGAAAAGGGAGAGCTTGTTGGTGTGAATTTATAAATGTATTTTCATATAAATATTTTACAACGGCACTGACCGCAGATTATGCAGCGAAGAGTATAATAGAGGAGCAAACTAACACGGTCTAATACTGAGAATCTGGTGGCTTAAGTTTCGGATCTTCAAGTAGTTCAAGCATAGCCGCCTTCAGTGTTGCGTATTCCGAACCGGACATAAGCAGAAAACCGCCAGTAACGGCCATGTGTCCCATTAGCATCATGAAAATAAAGGCCATTGCAACGGTTAACGACTCTTGCCGGATGAGCCACGGTGGTTTGACCAAGCCCAACTCACCGATCTACGCCAACAGAGAGTGGGCGTAAAGGTAATTAAATTTGCCTTTTTATCTGGTCAAATGCTAAATGCCTCCGTTGTTTAATCCCTGAATTTTAGGGATGTAAGAATAAATCTGAGTAAGTGCAACTATTTAGTTGCTGGACCTTGCAAATATATACGACTGAATCTCTGATCTCTAAAATTTTTTACTTGCCAGTTACTACTCAGTCCCACAGTATATGATCCACAGATTAAAGAGTTGTCCATATAAAACTGACGGGTTAAATTGTAAACTTATTAGCGGAGTAAATAGTTAAAACGTATGTCTTTCTAAACAAAGAGTGAGAATACGACTCTAAACGTGATAAATGCCTGCATGGGAAGTATGAGATCTCAAAAGGAATCTGATTTTGGTTTGTCACAAATCATGTTGCAGTATGCTCCCACAATTATATTCTCAGTATCAAATACTCCTCCGGTTCTTAATATAAGATCCATTTAACTAATTTGATTAGATTAAGGAAGTTAGTAAGTTAGTTAATTATAAGAAATGTGACACATTTTTTCTAAAACACTATAATCATCTTTCTTAATTAATACCCCCTCTCTTCTTTTTACTTGATTATGGTTGAGAGAATATCCTAAGGTAATTTAAAAAAATTAATAAACATGAGAAATAGGTCTTATATTTAAGACAAAAACCAACTCAACAATTAGGTCCTATATTAAATACAGGGGAGTATTATGGCTCCCCGAATGTGTTCAATAGCGATTGACATATGAAACCATGGTAAAGTTAGAAAACAAGAAGGGTGGAAGACTATTGGAGCACTCTGTTTTCACGGTTCGACTTAATAAACTACGCAGAAGACATCCGAATCTGCGTCGGCAAACTTCATCGTTTTTTTCATATGACGGTGAGTTAAACTAATTCATGAAGAGTGGGGTGACGTTGGTTAAGAAATTAAAATGTTACTGCGTAAATTATATTCAACTTTTGGATCTCTCATCGATCTAATCATATTGATCGATGGCGTTACAATACAATGAAAACAGTTTTAAAAAACAAGACGATCCGATTCCTTCATGTGAAGGGAACTAATCACAGCTCTGCTTAATGGTTTTCCAAGTCCAGACGAATACTGTCGATGAACTTGCATCGCCCCCTCACATGTGCATGTCTGTAAAGTGATCTTACAGATCAGGGGAAGCTACTGATCAGAATATTTTCTCCAAATAGACTTTTATCATTGAAAAGCGAAAAGGAAAGAAACGAAAAAAAATAAATAAACAAACAGAGAATCTGGCAACAAATTTACTGATTCGTGTACTTATAAGCAGCTTAACTCTTAAGTTAATTGGAACAGTCATATATGTATTTATTGGAGGGGATGGTGGGTGCGGGTAAGACAGCTGAGTGAGAGGATAAGGAAAAGATGCATTCCAGAAAGCATATTTTCCTTTAAAAAAAAATAATAAATTCAATTCGCACATGACATATATAGAACATGAGCACCCAACAAATCGGAAAATACTTACAAATGACAAGAACAACTAATAACGTAACTGATTAAACAAATGGAAGGGGCATATTATTATTATTACAAACAAACAGAAGAACCGGTGATCAATATGACAACAGACATAGACCCCCCCCCCCCCCAAATTTATTTTGTAGGGTGAAAATGAGTTTGAGGGAAAAGATCAGAGACTAGCATTGGAGTTGTTGAAGAGCATTGGTGGCCCGCAAGTTATTATAAACGGCACGCCATCCAGCTTGCGTTGGGTGCACCAAATCCCAAAAGAAAGCCGACTCAGGATCGTCACAAACTGTGTATTTCTTGGCCATGGTCTTCTCGTCCACGCTGCCGCACGAGTACTGGCTGCTCACACCAACGCAGCAAGGCTTGAAGTGGTTCTCTATGTTATGGGTGGAGGGGTGGTTCAGTACGGACATGAAACTGTCGTAAAGGTCCAGAACGACAACGATGGAATTGTCGTTGGCTTCTTCCTTCAATTTGGCCAGACCTTGGCTTAAGAGGGTGTTGTGGAGAGTGGCGAAGCTGTTAAAGGTGGAGTTGCACCGCGAAAATGACGATGAAGCTGTCGTCTGAGGGAGGCACCCTAGGGGTTGAAGACCACTCACTGCAATTTTCTTCACTCCCAATCCATGGATTCGAGCAACATTTTTAAGCGTCTGGTTCACCACCGACGCAATAAACGCCTGCGCCCCCTATTCACGTTCATACAAATCATGCAAACGTATCAGCTATCTATATGTATATTCGACATCAATTCTGAGACTATATAAAATCTAGATATATACAATCAAGCCTGACGCGTGTCTCTTAATTAATGTATCAACTACACACACAGATATATATATATATATATATATATATAATTTTCCTATACCGACGATTTTTAGGTTTATTTGTTTGGGGCTACATGCTCGTAGCTGAGCGCCTTGTTTTCTTCCGGATGGTGGAACCCACCGATCAGTGAAATGAATCAAAAATTTGGAAAGAGCCATGTGATAATGAAATTTGAATAAAATATGGCTGAACAGTGGACGCATACGTCTTCTAGCAACGATATAACAAGTCCAATATGTATGTAATTGGCATTTTTTCTGCAGAGAACGGAAATTAAGATTCGCTGAAAGTAATTAAATATTCGTGACATGGAAATTTACCTCAGCGGTGCCGTTTGTGGCGAGATAAAAACTGTAATCGTTGCCGGCGACGGAGACGAGAGCGACGGAGTTGTCGAGGTCAGCGGAGGCGAACACTTTGTCTGTGATGAGACCTTGGAAGAAATCGATCTGGACAGTCATATTTGGGAAGTGAGCAGCGGTATTGAAAACCCCCGTGCCACCATATGCAAAGTTCATGCCGTATTTCACATATTGTGGCATCAAATTTCTCATTCTGTAAGGCAGCGGCGACCTCACACCCAAATACTTAGCTGCACGTAATCCCATTCATTATATTAATTAATCATTAATACTCTAAAATCAAAATATTGTTGAATTCTCAGACTTTTCTTTTCGTCAAGTAACTCATTGTATATATTTTCTTGCTAGCGCGGTTGTAATCAAAGCGATAAGGACGACAATGCCCAGTGCTTTTTACTAGCTACTGCAAAGGCCTAGCTGGCACCGCTGACGATAAAAGTTTACGGGGATAAACGCAAAAAAAAAAAAAAAAAAAAAAGGCCAGAGATAGAGCTGCTTTATTAGTAATGCAGATTGGATTCTAAAGCTAGTGCTAACTACTTAGTGATGTACTTTGTGTATATTAATTTTTTAGGAGGACTTGAGAGAGACTGAGAAAAGGGGGCATTTCTAATAATTTGATATGGAAAATAGAGAAAGGTGCCACTGAGCACAGAGGCATTCAGATGGATAGTTTAAAAAGAGAAAGGAAAAGTGGCGGGCCAGCAAAGAAATGAACCCCACCTTTAAAACTATACACATATATCTGTTAAAACAAATTATATGAATCGTCACTGAGTTTTCTACCAAAGCAGCCCAAACACACGACCATACTTTTCTGACAAAGGTGAAGACGCAGAAAGACGAAGAAGAAAGCAGATATGAAAGTCGAGGCATATACCAAGAAAATCACTGAGGACTCTGCCGTCGGAGAAACGGCCGGCTGGTTTTCCGGGAAAGGTGACTCCATACGGCTGTTTCCAGGAACTCCCCACATCTCTCCCAACATTGCCGGTATCTACATACGAGTCCCCAAAGACGAACAACTTTGTCGGATTCTGCAGATTACGAGCTTCTGCTTCCAATCCCAAGTGTTCTGCATGTACCGGAGTTAAAAGAATATAATCCGCTTTTTTCAGTTAGAGAATATAAGTGAAAGAGACGAACATGTCATGCACTCGTAACGGAAGTGTGAAGGAAGAATATTTACCGGAGAGGACTATGAGTAGTAGAAGAGGAAGAAGAAGGGACAGTGGACGATGAAGTGAAGCCATAAGCATGTAGGGTTTGGAGTATATAGCTAGGTGGAGGGGAGTGTAGGGACGATACAGCGGAGGCGGTTCAAGAAAAGGGAAGAGAGCTGGACAGGTAGAAGGAGAGAAGAGGATATAATGATGCACGGCACGCCCAGGACAGAGGCTTGCCTTTTATAGTTGAAAATTCATTCAACCTTACAGCCTCCGATCCTCCTAGATCGGGTCATTTCTTTTCTTTTCTTTTTTTTTTGGTCCAAATAGCTGGGCTTGTGTAAGCGTCTAGCCGTCTAGTAATGACCAATAATAAAAATTAATCTTTATTGTTTTCCCATTATTTATATTTTATGCGTTTACTCTTTACCAGATCTCCCCGCCAAAAATTCTACTTTAAATATGGAGGTCATCTGTCCCCAATTTTACATTACGTTAATGTGCGCATGCGTGCTGCTTGCGGAATTTAATTTCAACTATCAATATTTATATAAATGTTAGTTACATAACAGCTTTTTTTTTACGGAGAATTACAGTAATGTGAAGAAAAATAATTACTAAAAATTTCCAATAACAATCTAAATAGCCTGTAATGACAAGTTTCAGAATAGAGAATGACAACTTTTATGACTTATTTTGTAATTATTTTTTTTGGACTTTATTGTAATTTTTTTTTACTACTAGTTAAACAGAAGCTGGCCCATTTTAATTCTTAAAATTTGCAAAATCAATCTGCTAAAGCTTGGTTGTCAATCTTTTTGTCGAGCAATTTGATACATGCTATTAATAGAGATACATATTTTCGTATTCCGCCAAGAGAAGTGAAGTTTGATTGTCACGTCCATTTCATCCGTTTTTGTGGTTTGTATTATTATTTGGTGATTCTGATCAACTGGTATATTTCTCACATATAATCAGTATTAATTCAATTAGATTCGGGTTCTTGCGCATCGCACGAAAGAAATGCTCGTTAATGCTCGAATTAAACTACAAGAATTAGGAGGTCATCATTCTGATTGCCCTGTGATTATAATAATCAGAGTGGGGTGCAAGTTGAGGCATATGATATATATATATATATATATGCGTGAAACCGTGGAAGCCTTCTCCTTTGTTGGCCAAGACTGTGAGATTTTGCTGGTCAATTTATATGTATATTATAGTGCCATCAATTATTTAAGTACTGGAACGCCCTGAATCTTTGATCCACGTTCAAATTGGAAAATCCCGGTTTTCCAGTGAAGAACTAACAATTTCTTTTGGTCAGTCGAAGAAACAATCAATCAATTCAAATATTCAATAACGCTTTTTTTCCGCCAAGCGGTCTGTGCTACGATTTTGACGAAGAACATGAGATTCTTTCAGTGCATTTAAATTATGAAAAATTGTTCAAACGTTTCAGGTTAAAAATTAAACATAGAAATATCACAATTTTTTTTCACGAGTTTTACGCGTTTAAGTTAACGCGGCTCGATTTATAAAATGTGAAAGTTTGATATAATAAGGCGTCATTGTCACATGATTTATATTAGGGACAAACCAGAAAATAAAAATTAAGGGGCAGGTTAATGTTCGAAACTGTATTTAATATTATATATATTATTCCATGTAAACTGGCACGTGTGATTGATGGACTTCTTATTCATAATTATTCAAGAGAACTTTGCGTTTGGTAAAAAATGAGAAAAGAAAAGAACAAGGAGGCCGAAACAGAGCACTCTCCAAAATACAAATTTTCTTATGTCAGCGCGGACAGATTATATATTGGTAACAGCTTAATGAAAGAATGGAGAGAAAGGTGAGCGGAGAATGATAGGCGGCACCTGATCATTGACTCGCTGGCGAACCAAATCAAAATATAGAGTAGGAAATGAAAGAAAATGGCCAATTAATATTAGTATGACAAATCTCAAGGTCGTTCTTTTTGTCATGCCTAAACATAATATAATCCAAATCCGCCCAATAGGGTCTTGTCATCGGGGCTGCGTTCACAGGCTGCCAGGTGAGGACGCGTAGATTCGTCATCCCTCATTAATTCCACGGTCATGGCCTGTCTCTTCCACGAATGCGAGAGGTGGGTTGAGTCGGGATGACTTGGGCCGAGTTTATTTTTGGGCCTCAGAAACACCATCACCCGAAAACAACATGGTTTGTTTCAGGCCCAAAGAATGGTCTGTCCCTATTTTGTAGGTTACGTGCGGCCTCATCTACAGACTTTAGTGCATAAATAGTCCATGGAAATTCATCCCATTATTCTGTTTTGGTTTTTAAGGGCAGGAGCCCTCATTTGTACCACCACCAACAAAAAATTAAAAAAAAAAGAAAAAGAAGGCAGGGTTACATCATTTATAAACTATAATCAACACAATTTTTCTTAAAATGCAGATATCATTTTATTAGAGATAATTCTGTTCAAATACCGTTCGGCACTAAATGAGAACACATTTTCTAACTAAAATTCAAACCTTACTTCATCAAGTCATGAGGAACTAACTCATTCTGTTGAACCTAACTGCTACCAGTGGAATAGCATCATTTTTAATTCATTAGGTTTTGTTAAAATGAGGTCCACAGCCTTTTCCTACCTTAGATTAGGGCGCCATCCCCTCAGTCTAAATTTCTCATGTAATAAAACAAAAAACAAAAAAACAAACTCCACATTTAATTAACAAAAAGTGGAAGAAATAATAGCCAGTGCCATGAATAAGCATATCGCAGACAAACTGCAGCACAGAAAAGAAGTCTTATTCTAATTGAGACATAGATTATTATCAATAAAAAAGAAAAAGGAAAGATTAGAATGTGATCCCAACATCAAAAACCAACTGTTATCAAAATTTAGCATCTCCTTCGCCATGAGAATATCTTCATTCTTGTAGCTGGGCAGCCCGTCAAAGTTCTTAATATGACGCCACCCAAGTTACATACTGAAGATTCAAAGCTTACAATTCGTAGCGCACTCTTTAACCTGCAAAACGACACTTTCTTCATCTGCCTAAAGACTCATTTCTACTTTCTGCGCTCTCATCATTAAGCACCTGGTATTCTGCTTCCACATTCCCATTCTCAATAGTTGATGCAGCAACAGGCTCCTTCTCTCTGCACAGATGCCATCAGGGGTTCACAACAACGATACATATACACAAACAATAACAAAGATAAGCACACGCAACAAGTACCGGTTGCAGTTGGGTCAAGGTCAAAATCAAATACTATCTCCGATCCTTAATATAAGAGTTAGTTAACTAATTTGACTTGATTAAAGAAGTTTGTTGAGTTAGTTATCTGTAATAATTAAGTTGTTGTCTTCCTTAAAATATCATTACTAATCATGTACTACTTTTGATCCTTAATATAAAACCATGTTTGACTTTTATTTTGATCATAAATATAAGATCTCAATCCACTTTGTCTCTCATATTTATATATTTTTTTCAAAGTGGCCCTTCTAACAATAATAGTTCTAATCAATATACTTGATTAGTAAGGATATTTTAGGAAAGACAACACCTATTCAGGACAAATAACTAACTCAATTTACTTCCTTAATCTCCTCAAATTAGTCAACTAGCTTTTATAATTAGGACCGGAGGTAGTATTAGCTAAAACTACCATTTGATTAAACTTCTAATATATACAACTACTACAAAAATTATTTTGAAAAAAAAAAGATAAATATGAGAGGCAGAGTAGATTGAGATTTTATATTTATAACCAAAATAAAAGTCAAACAAACTGTCAAACAAACTCTTATATTAAGGATCGGAGGTATGGTACATGCCAAATAGCAGAATCTAAAATAGCCAAGTAACCCATGACTTACGTTGTCGAATAAATGACAAGTCCTATAACAACGATTGCGAAGGAGAGGAAGTACAACCAGTCCACCTGCACGTGAATTCAGGACATGGTACTTGTAAGTGGTGATTGAATGTAAAACTGCACTCACAATGCGTTAATTGCTCTGTGTGGACAATAATACCTCTTGGTGATATAAGTAGATTTTAAAAACTACTGCCCACATGTCAGATGTGAGAAGAGATAGATTGAACAGTGCAGCTCCACTCAACTGTATCGGACAGAAGCTTTTTCAGAATTAGACAATCTGTGCGATACTGCTATTAAGCGAAAAAAACATTGAATGATATGATTAATCTGAACGTCCAGACTTTTGCAAGTACACAACAAATTAGATTGTTTGATAGCTATGATATTGTAATTAATCATCTTCGAGCAACTATCTCTGTTTCTGCAGAAAAGGAATTGCACCATGTAAGTCCTGGAGAAGGAAACTAACCTTTAAAACAAAAGGAGCCAGTGTGTAAAACAAGAAGCTCGATGCGGTATAGCCCACCAGAGAAAGTACCTAAGAACGATACAATTTACGAGGGTGGTTAAAATCAAAAGTACCATATGCCAAACAATAATACAGTGATATGGTTCTGGTTTATGTTTACTAAGAACTGGAACTCACTTCTGTCTCGGGCACACAGATAAACTTGTGTAAGCAGAAATCTGATTCATGTTTTGTTCAACTTTTAACTTTCCCACCAAACATTAAGAAGCATTATCACTGTTTATCACAACTTATGCTGTGCGTACTGTCAATATAAAAAATCTTGCAATAGTGATTGAAATTGGAATTTTTTCTGTTTTTCATCTTAAATGGAATATCAGTTAGCTTCCGGGGGCATATATGCAGAGAACAAGAATATAAGTTGCAACAAAATTATTACTAGGATCTTCAATTATACGAGAAATTCATATTACTTACTAAGTCAGTAGACCATTTGATTGATTCCACAGTCTTCAATTCAGTAATGGATCTGAAAGACCATAGAATGAAGGAATACTTTGCGTGCACAAGTTAGAATATATGACAGATATATAAACACACTTCATATATAGGCAAGTTACAAACTGTATATGAGCTGTGACCGAGATGAACAAGAAGGATACCCTTCAACAACGGTGACTAAGAATCCATAAACACCAATCATGGCAACTACTTCAACACGATCTTTTTTCTTGACACAAAATTCCTACATTTTGTAAGAAGAAATCCAAGTGAGTCCATAAAAAATTATAATATGTGATTACAGACTATGTGCAAAGGCCAACTTTATCAAGTTCTAAGACACTGGAATCCATATTGATGCAGACAACTGAACTGATGTAGTCGACATATATATGTACCTCACCAACATTACTCATTGCATAGAAAAAGGTCCCTCCGATAACAAGTATATCGCCCAAGATGGGTTTCGTGCCACCTGAAAGACAAATAATGAGTGGCACTTGATGTGATAAACTATTTGATAGGTAAAGTGAAAAGCAAAGAGAGAAACTAATATTCAATTTAATGTAAGAGAAGGCAACCTCCTCCAGCAATGCCAGCGTCAGAAAGCAGGACTAAGCCAAGACCTATCACGCATAGGACCGCACCGACATACTGCCCTATGGAATATCGAGTGCCAATGATGAACCAAGTTAGGATCATGGCCCAAGGTATCGTCCAACAGTCCAGTAAAGTCACACTGGTAATGGATGAATACTGGTATGCTTCATTAACTGCGCACACAGTAATAGCAAGTCATTAACGAGCTCTAAATTTCTTTCGGCTTCATAGTTCGCGAGCTGAATGCTGGTTTTGCAGCAACGGGAGGTAGGTCAAAGAAACTTACCCAAATAATTCCCTTGAACATCAACAAAGCCTAATAGTAAGTACCAATACCAAGGAATCTGCAAAGCCCAGAAGATGAGGCACAACTTTAGAATCCCCACATTTTCTTGAGATTAATGAGTGAGCACAGAGATAACAGGGAGATGAACATAAGTATACCAGAGGTTTCTGACGCCTGCAAATCAAAATGCTTCCATAAACCAAGCCTAGGGACAAGTAATTGAACATACTCTGAAAAAGAGGAGCATTAACACCTACATAAAAGAATACAAGATTAGGTTTCAGAGTCATAAAAAGTAGCCAAAAACCTTATAAGCAGCTTATTGCAAGATTACCCAGATCAGCTATGAGAGAGGAAGTGAGGCTCATAATTGCCATGACGGCAGAAACAGCTTGAGCCAGCAAGAGTAAGCCGAACACTCGTAAGGTGACATGGGTTCTCCACCACCTTGCAAAGCCAAGCCAAAGCATTTTCATTAAGTTAGTTCGCTCCAATTTTTCAGGACAGCCTCGCCTCGACTTTCTTAATGGACACTGAATCGATGAAGCCGTTCCGTTATATTTCCATCATCCGCGACATGAATTGACTTTGGAGACCGGTAGTCTGTAACTATCATGAGGCTGAAATTGATTTTTTTTTTTTTAAAGTAAATGCTGAAGCTGAATTTTAACGCTTCTAATTTTATGGTAGCTGCACCTTCTAATTGAAACACTCATAGTGATGTCATTATGCTGTATATAAAATGTTCGGAGCTATTTTTGCTGGCCAGATAAAATGATCCAGCCTTGACACTGGTCATTTCTTACGAAGCTAAGGCTACTTAACAATTCAAGGTTAAAAAAAAAAAACACCTTAAACACTAATTTATTTGCTTGATAGTTCTGATTCTCAAATAAAGAAGACTTTAACTGTTTTTAAAACCAAAAGGATCAAATTAAAAAAAAAAGTGAAACTAGAAGGATGAAAATTATGTTAATTTAAGCCCGATGATGGTGATTATAATTGTTTAGAAGCAACAAGATGCAGCTACCGTTCTTCCGCCTAGTTTGAATGGTGGGCCGCGGGAGCGCAGGGGATGACTTCACCCGCCAAGCGGTTGAGCCATGTGTCTCGGGCCTCGGCCAATCAGGAGCCCTGCTCTGCAAACCAAGAATACTTTACAAAAATGTGAATCCAAGTACAATGGTTGGTCTTAGTTTAATCTGTCCCTTTCCTTTACTAATACCCACATGCGTGTCACGCGCGCATTGAGCAATGAGAATAGAATCAGGCCCCGATCCAACTTAAAAGGGACGGTGCTTACTGGTTTGGGCCGGGGGAGCCCAGAAAGAAGGAAGAGCAGGCCCCACTGGGAATTAAACGGGCCACTCCTTGAATGGGCCTTGATGCTGACATTAAAAGGATCATTAACCAAAACCGAGTGCTTCCAGCTAAGCACGATGACTCAAAGCCGTGTTTGCGTAGACAGTATCTTGGCCTCTGCTTTTTATTGAGCTCACCTAACCCCCGCCTTTTCCTCTTCCCGTTTTCCTCCTTTCTTTCTTTCTTTCTTTTTCCCCTTCTCCTTATAAAATAACACTACTACTAAATACTAATTATCCTGCTTACCACGTCATCTGCCTTTTATTCATCGCCTAACCAACTCTGCATAATTAGCCCTTTTTTAATTCATATTCGTAGCCGCTCTTCTATCTCCGGAATTTATATTAGTATTTCTCCTCTTCTTTTTCATTCATATTTTGTAGGGGTGTTCAAGGCCGGCCCGTCCCGGTCGGCCCGTTCCGGTCCCGGTCTTATTGGAACGGGACGGATCCGTCCCGAAATTTTTCGGGACGGGACAAACCGGGACGGGACAAAAAAGGGACCGGGACGGGACGGGACACAGGACGGGGTCGTCCCGTCCCGGTCCCGTCCCGGTTCCTTTTTTTAAAAAAAAAAATTTTAATTTTTTTAATTTTTTATATAATATCATTTTTTTCATATTTTTTTAAGATTTGAGACTATTGTATGGAACTATGGATATATTTATTTAGAGTTTTTATATTTGTTAATGATTTGAGATTATTGATGATTAGAATTTTTAGCAAGTTTTTATTGTGTTAAAAGCTTTTGTTTAGAGTTTTTAATAACTATTATATGTAATATTTTGAGCTTTTGTTTAAGAGTGCCCAAACAAATAAAAAAGATGTTTTTATAAGATTTAAACTCAAAAAAATATAATTAAAAAATTAGATTTTTTTAAAAAAATTAAAAAAATTAAAAAAAATTAAAAAAATTAAAATAAAAAATAAAAAAAATTATTTCGGGACGTCCCGGTCCCGTCCCGACCGGGACCGGGACAACCCCGGGACGGGCCGGGACACGGGACAGAAAATCTGTCCCGTTACTGTTCATCGGGACGGAACCGGGACGGGCCTGTCCCGGTCCCGATCCGTCCCGTGAACACCCCTAATATTTTGTCTCTTAATTAACATTTCAATTATGACGTTAATTATTTTTGAAAATAATTATTCTTGTGCTTGTCAGGTTTCGCCGTTGTTTCCTGTCTTCTGACTCCGTCGATATTTCCCCTCTCCTTAAAGATTCTTTCTCCTCTTGTTCCCATTTCCCATCCTTATCTCCTCTTCTTCCTCCCTCAGGTACTGTTCCTCCCTTTTCTCTCCTCCCTCTTCGATTTCTGCTTTCTTAATACTTCGAAGTTTGTATTTCCTTTTCCTCTATCCTTCGTTGTCTTCCCCAGAAAACCTACGGACGTACAGTACAGATCCTTTGTCTTCTTTATTTCCCCTTTTCTTTTCTCTTTTATCTTGTCTCTGGTTTTAGCCCTCAATCCCTTATTGTCAAGATCACGCCTGCAAAGATAGATATTCACGCTTCCTTTATTTCCCTTAAATCTCTGCAGGTCAAGGTTTCTTTCAGCGTCAATTCCATAATCCCCTTCCCAAATTCTGAGACAAAGCTGGTCTGTAAGCGCAGATCCGGAACGAAGAACAATATGGCGGAAGAGCACAGATGCCAAGCTCCAGAAGGCCACCGACTCTGTGCTAATAACTGCGGCTTCTTCGGCAGCCCGGCCACCATGAATCTCTGCTCCAAGTGCTACAGGGATTTCCATTTGAAGGAGCAGCAAGAAGCCTCCACCAGATCCACCATCGAAACCGCCCTCTCCTCCCCTGCCGTGCCGTCCTCGGGGTCAACTCTGTTTCCGGGCCCGGAGCCTCCCGTTCCTGCGCCGATGTTATCATTGCCGGCAGTTGCAGTAGATGCGTCGAGCTCGGCTGCTGCATCCTCCGGGCCGGAAGTGGCGACCGCGCAACCGAACCGATGCGCTACATGCCGGAAACGGGTCGGGCTGGCGGGATTCAAGTGCAAGTGCGGTGTCACGTTTTGTGGAACCCACAGGTATCCTGAGAAACACGGGTGTGGCTTCGATTTCAAGAAGGTGGGCCGAGAGGAAATAGCTCGGGCAAACCCTCTGATCAAGGCTAAGAAGCTCGAAAGGATCTAACGGACACCGCATGATGTTGGGACCACGGCGGTTGAGGATAAGATATTTGAAGAGAATGATCGGCAACGTCCACGGGGGACCTCTGTCGTGATCGTTGGAAGCTTAATAGGAGGATGAATAATCTCCGGGGGACGAGATTTTAAGTTTCCGTCGTGTAGAGAAACTAGGAAGGATGAAAGAGTCAAAGAGTGATGGGAGAATTTATGGCTTTGCTTTGTAAGAAAAAAGAAAAATTGCCTTTTTCTTGTTTTGCTTGGAATTGAGATGTCGGGTCGACCCAATGGGTGGTTGAATTGTGAAGCACTTGAGAGTTAATCTGTCCATTGCCAATTCGGCGTGGAAAGCAGTGTTTGTTTTTCCAATTACGAAAGTGGATGTCACCTTATCGTGTTCGTTCCTTGTTTCTGCTTGTCATCATTTGAAATGGACGAGGGCGTCCACTTATGCTCTGCCAAGCAAAATAATCTACTCAGAATTCAACCCCCCCCCCCCCATATTTGCAGACGCGCATCTTAAAAAATGTGCAGGCCATGGTTTGGACCAAATGGGACGCTGCATTGCCGAGCGAGTTCGAAATCATATAATCTTCCTAACTCCCTTGTCTTCACTTCCCGTATACTATTTTCAATATTTAATATAAAATTTCGTTTGATTTTTTGCCCTCAGAGTCAACGCCACGGCACTACCCTGAATTCTAAAAATAAATCAGGCTTGAAGTCAGCCACAGGTGATGAGTGGATGAAAGAAGAGAGAGGCCATGCCCAAAGCCCCGAACTATATATCACTCTGTCTATTACATGGCACCTTTTGAAGGAGATGAATGGTTTTTGTTAGATTTTCATTGTCCCTTCTTCAACGCAGGAGATTAAGAAAATCATTTTTTGGATAACATTTAAAAATTTAACTACCCTTTTTTTTTTTGGTTTAAATCGCAAAAGGATGATTACATGATTGGAGGCATTTGATGATAAGTAGGTGAGCGAGTACATAATATGTTGCGTGGGTTGAGCTGAGCTGGCTACAGGGTGGAGGAAGAATGCGAAACAGGTATGGCCTCTGGGATTATTGTCTACGCGTCGCCATATGCCTGGATGTCCAATTAATTCTCATTAACTAAATCCAGCCAAAGGCCTAAGAGATGCGCGTGTCTTGCGTTTTGTCCCCTGAGCCGGCTTTTCCCATGCTGGACCTTTTGAGTGTTTGTGGCTTGTATTTTGTACTCCCTCGTGTGCTATATATAAATTTTAAATAATTAAATTATATTAGGTTAAAAATACATATTTTTTAAATTTATTTTTATTTATTAAGAGAGTAAATAAGAGACAATAAATAGAAAATAATTAAAAAATATATGAAAATAATAGTAATATGAGAATAAGAGAATGCTAAATACAGTCAATTAAAAATAAAAATACAAAAAAAAAGTTAATAAATACTTAAACAAACTCAAAAATAAAACCTATACATTGAAGGAGTATTAATTAAGCATGCCCACCCATTTAAATCCATCTCATCGTATTCTCTCGCACGCCAATTTTGACTGCCGATTACAGATGCGGCCAGTACACAGTAAACAGTTTTTTCCCCATTGTTTTAATATTATTTGCCACGTTATACTAATGTCAGCCTTCGTTAAAATAATAATAAGCGGAAAACGTGTTAGGGGTCACAATTTAGGGTGTGTTTGGGTGACACCCCAAACCATGGTTTGGGGAATAATCTACCCAAACAGCCCCTCCAAAAACCAAAACCATGGTTTTGGGTCAAAACCATGGTTTTGACTCCAAAACCATGGTTTTGAAAAAAGCAAAATTTTGTTGCTTTTGGAGAAAAAAGGGAGAGTGTGAGGGCCTATATGATATGTATCTTGTTATTTTTTTTATAAACATATTTTTTATAAATATATTTAATCTTATATTTTATAAATATATATACACATTAATTATTTATTAATTATATTATCTTATATATTATTAATTATGTTGGTAAAAAACATATTATTAACAATTTTATTCCTTCAAATTAAAATATATCATAAAATCTATTTTTTCTGTAATTATCATATTAACTTATGTCTTTTTTTTAGTAATTTGTATATATAAAAAGTGCTTCTGATAACAACTATCCAAACACTCTCACTTCTCAGAATCACTTTTTTACAAAATCTATTCTTCACAGAATCTATTTTCCCCAGAATCTATTCTCCAGAATCACTTTTCCAAACCACGGTTTGGTTTCATCCAAACACACCCTTAGCCACTTGTATCTCCGGTAAATACTCAGTTTGTTTCTATTTCTGCAGTTTTAAGCTTTCCAGTAAATATTATCCCAGTCCTTAATAAAAATAAATTTGATATTCATTCTAATTATAAATATAAGATCCTAATCTATTTTGTTTTCAAAATTTATTTATCCTGCCCTCAAGTAATTCCTACATTAATTGCATATATAATAAAGTTACTATCAATAGATAATTTAAACACTCGTGATTAATAAGAGCATTTTAAGAAAGATAATATTTATTTATTACAAATAAGTAGCATAACTAACTTTTTTTAATCTCTCAAAATTAGTCAATTAAATCTTATATAAATACTATTATTTTAAAAATATCATACATGAAATAATCCCTATGCAGTTTTTTTTGTTTGAGTTAAATAACTACAAAATTTTGATAACGAGACAACTTCAAACTCCGATGCTATGAAAAGAACGTGCAAAATAAAGGATGACGAGTTTATTTGCAGGTTTATAACAAATTATGCTGTTTATATTTCTATTTTCCAGCGCAAGATTATGCGCCTAAAGGGGAATCCGTCGAATCCATCCAATTGAAGTTGAGATTATTGTTTTTGGGGTATCCTGAAGTTGATATTCCTTTAGGTCCCGTTTTGTAGGGATCATTGAAAACGAGAGATAAGAATTAGGATTACAATTGAAAAAAATTGTTAGAATGGTATTTAGCATGAGTAATTATTTATTATATGAGATTAGATAAACCTATAAAGGTAGGATTGGAAAATACTACTTCCTCCCATGGTATTCCCCAATCCCACATATGTGAGTTTGACTAATCCACATAACAAGCAGTCTCTTATACTAAATGCTATTTTTAATAGATTTTCTTAATTCCGGTCCCAATCCCTATCTCTAATTTTTAATGCTTCATACCAAACACAACCTTAGTTCTTGATATAAGACCTATTTAATTTAATTAAATTAAAAAAGTTAGATATGTTAGTTAATTATAAGAAAATGATATGTTTTTCTTAAAACACCATAATCATCTTTTTTAATATCCTCTCCTCCTCTTCTATTTGATTATAATTGAGAGAGATTATATGGTTAATTTAAAAAAAATTAATAAATATGATAATAAGTTTTATTTAGAACCAAATCAACTTAATAATTAGGTTTTATATTAAATAATGGGAAGTATTAATTCAGACATGCTAGGCCCATAGGCCCACTTTGGAATGGGCTTACACTTGAACCTCAGCGCTTAGGCCCTTGATATTTATGAACGAATCCAGCGATGAGGCCCAGTTTCATGAGCTAATAATCTATCGGGGCGCATGGACAAATTCAGAAACAAAGGATGATCAGGTCAATCAGCTCGCTTTCTCCTGTCTTTTTCATTGTTCTTTTTAATTGAAAGTTTCCGGCCAGCAATAAAACAATCAATGACGATCAAAATATAAAGCGAAAATAATCCTACAGGAAATTAACAAACAAGAGACTGGTTTGAAGCTAACTAAGGCCGAGCTGACGCGCAATAATTTAATCGGTGTAGCCTGTGTTTTTAATCAGAGTTCATCACAAGTGGGGTGCCAGCATGCTTTGGAGCTGCTTAAACTGTGTATCCAAACGTTGTCAGCTTCAAATGAATCAGTGTCGTTGTTGCGGTGCCATGACCAATACGCGTGCGTCTCGTTCAGGATCCTCAACCTTCCATGCCCAAAGCTTGGCTCCCGATACAGCGACAGAGGGCTCGATGGACTCTTAAACCTATTCACCCCAAAAATAATGGACACACATATCAATCTCCAAAGTCCAAACTAAAACCACACGTACGTGAATACTAAGCTAAATGTTAAGCACAACAAGCTCACGTTAATGCAAGTCCCTCCCGGTTTCCTCCGTCCCCAATCGTCACGTACATGGGACCGCACGGATCAGCCTTGTCGTTATAAATTCGAGCCTGCAGTTGATGGCTAACATTAGAAAATGAGAAGAAAGTAAAAGAGGAAAGGAAACAGAAGGGAGGAACATGACTGACAAAGCGTTCGTATGCATGGACGTGTCCGGCAAAGACCAAGTCAACTCGGGCGTTATAAAGCAGATCTTCCATGGCCCGTCTCATGCTCTCGCCTTCACCTTGGTGCGCCGTGTTAGTGTTATACCAAGGAGCGTGAAGGAGAGCAATGAGCCAAGGAGTCTTGCGGCGATCGACACGGGCCAAGTCGGCCTGAAGCCACTTGTACTGGTCAGAGTCCACGTGGAAGTCGATGTAAGAGCCCAGCATGAGAACGTGGGCACCTGCGACCTCAAAAGAGTAGTAGAGGTTGGAGGTGGAGCCACTTTCCTTGAAAGGCATAGGCCAACGAGCATTGAAGGCCGTGAAGCTTTCAGGGTAAGTGGTGGGAAACGACTCGATCTCGTGATTGCCCTCCGTCACCATCCATGGCCGTCGGCTGGCATACGGCTCCACAAAACGACCGAAGGAATCCCATAGTGGTTGATGAGTGTCCGCATATGACAGGTCTCCCGGTAACAGAAATACGTCATAGTCTTTGCTATCGGCGTGTTTTAAGGTCGATGCAGTCCATTCTGTTTGCCCCAAGTCACCTACATATACATTCCCAGTAGATATCAATTTCATTTTATTACAGGGGCTTCTCATCTATTTTGTGGCAGGTTTTTTGTAAGATAATGCACCAAATCAGAATCCAATCAATCCAGAAATATCGATATCCTCCTTCCAAGAATAACATGTTTGTGAGCTAATCACCAGGGAAATAAATAACTGCTTCAGTCAACTGACCAATAATTAATATGGCAATTATGAAATTTCGCTGCACAGTATTGCATTCATAACTAGCCTTGTTTCTAGCGGATCCTAGCTCTATATACCCGGATCATAAGTTGTTTATAGGAACTTTGACATGGAAATCGAGTTTGATGCTACTTTTTATCCTCTCTGTGGTTCGTACAGCCAAATCATGCGTATCCATGGCCGGGGGATGTATGTGTCCTATGATTTTTGACGTATGCGTGCCTAATTTCCAACAAAAATACTAAACACATGCAGAACTACATCTTTGCGTTGCCTTCAAGCTAAGCATTATCCAAAACCCACCCTCCAAGGTTTCTATTTCTAAAACTTGTGGCCAGTGCATAATAATCACAAAAGAACGAAACCAAAAATGAAAAGATTACGACGACGTAATTGGAAAGAAATGAACGAGCGACAATTTACCAACGACCACAAATTCAATGGGGAGGTCAGCCGGAGGAGTCTTGAAGGAAAATTCAGGGCCAGCCCCACCGCAGCGATAGAAGTAAGTGGTGCTTGGCTCAAGTGGTCCGATTTTGACATGATGGATCTTGCCGGAACTGTACAAGAAATATTTGTACGACGTATGATGCCCCTTTGCCTTCTCACTGTATTCCCCAGACACTCTCCCGTACTCTACCGTCGATGGTGCGTGCTTGTCCTCTGTAATCCACGACACCTTCACGTGGTCTCGCCCCACCAGCGAAATATGCACCTGTCATCCAACACCAGTCCATCAAGAACATTCAACACAAAGATGAACGACGCAAATATTGAGTTCTTGATTGATAATTGAGGAACCTGTTGAGGATCAGAGTCGGAGCGGTCGTGATTAGTGAAGATGACTGGGCGAGGAGGCTGACGAGAGAACTCGTTCAGCTCATTCGACAGTATGGGCTGAGGAAGCAGTAAGGAGCACAGGGCATGAATCAGCAGAGGGAACACCAAAAGTGACCTGCATTTCCCCATTCTGGGGGTTTGCCTTGTTGCTTGCTTCAGTAAGCTGTGATGAATAGATTGTGTTTCGGGTTTGGGGTTTCCGAGGATAGACGAGGATCTATATAAAGGGGTGGCAGACGCCATGAAAGAAATACAATACATTATTTAATTTCGACTAGTGGAGGGGTAATTTGAAATCGATTCCGGCCGGGGGGGTTTGCAATGGCGTCAAGTAAGTCTCAGAAGAATGTTGGATAATCCTTCCGCAACAGCCACAAGAAAGTCTCCACTTTGCTTTCTCTGGATTGGTTCTCTCTTGGCTTTTCTTGGGCAAGCATGTACGCTAACCCAATTCTGTCCTTGTCAAATTTCAATATATGTCAACCATCGGCCTGAAAATATATATATCTTCCCCCTATCCATATTTATGAACATTTTGATTATATGAGCGAAGTGGAATAGATTCTTAACACTTTCATCGTATCCTTTAAAGAAAGAAGAAAATGAACCTAGCCAAGTTGCTGATGTGGTCGCCAAGCCAGTTACTTAGCCACCAGTAATGGTTGAAAGGTGGCGAGGGCCTTTTGCTAAAACCAGAAGGTTTTCAGCTTCACCTTCAATCATCTAAATTGATTACTTTTTTTTTTTAAAAAAAAAAGTTCTTACATGGTTCAAACTTTTAGATTCAGATTATTTGTATCAAAACCTTAAATTTTAGATTATATATATACACTGGTTAGGTGTAAATAAAAGTAGCACTTGGGCGGAGATTTTACTCCGACTCGTCGTAATAATAAAAAAAAGGGGCTCATGCGATGGGTTGGAGAACACCCGAAATCTGGAAATTTCAAAATTACCTCACTGGCACTAATAGGGATTGGATCTAGTGGAAGGGACTAGTCCCTCATAGTGTGGTGAACCGTTTGAATTCTTATTAGGAGAGGTATCTACATTTAGAGCCCGACAGTACCTCGAATAGGATTGCCTCTAATAGATGGATACCTATACTTTAGTGGGAAAAAAAAAATTACCTCACTGGCGTGGACGCGTAAACATCAGAATATCCCTTGGAATATGCCTATAAAGAACAACCCAGGCCGTGTCTGAAATTCTTCTACTGGTTTTCTTCTTCCAATGATGCGAAATCGCTGTATTGAATTAGAAATTCAATTCTGGAATATTATATCCAGTTCAAAATACGTACCTTCTGAAATGAAAAGAAAGAAAATTAATCTTTTGATCCTTATAATTTTGACTCATTTATAACTTGGCTCCTATGCTTTAATTCGGTGCAATTCAAGTCTTTATAGTTTTGACTTGATTGCAACTTAGTTTCTAAAATTTGACTCATTGTAACTCGATCTCTATAGTTTTATCTATTTTATAATTTAGTTCTTGTATTTTAAAAGAATGAAATTATATATCTAACAAGGAGATGAACTAAATTATAAAATAGTTAAAAGTACAAAGACCGGATTACAACAAGTCAAACTTCAGGAATTGACTTATAACCAAGTCAAAACTAGATGGACTGAATTACACTGAGTCTAGGTATAAGAATTGAATTACAGATGAGTTAAAACTATGAAGATCAAAAGATTAATTATCTTAGAGGAAAAAACTTATTCTAAACGGCCTATGCGTGCTGTAGGCTCATATATAGGGTTCAATGGACCCAAATTTAAACGGCCTATGCGTGCCGAATAATACTTTTTTGGGCCAACATCAATTAAACATACTCTTATGGCTTGACTTTTTTTTGCCCCCCATACAGCTGCAAAATTAGGTCATGGTCTAAATTTTGTTGGGCTTCAGCAATGCAAATTCGGAACCCCAAGCCCAATGGACAACAGGCGCCATCCCCCCTTTGCGGCGAAGTGTCGCGTGGTACAGTAGCCAAGAGAGGAAACTGCCGGTGGAGACCCTCCGAGCTGGGCTTCGAGTTCTCAGGCGACATTCATTCTCGTCTTCTTTTTATCGACCCTTTAACATATCTTATGCCTTGTACATATTTCTGCTTGCATGCTGAAGTGAGAAGCTATTAACTCTTGTCACATTTAGCTCCCGCATTTTCTCGGCTTCAACAAAATGAAGAGGCCACCTCTCATATCACATATCTCATCAAATCTAAACCTTCATTGATCCCGTCTAGGTATCTTCTCATTCTCCTCCTCTGATTTTGTTGGTTTCATTGAAAGTTAAACTACTCAGTTTAAACCCTCCCGTGAATATTCCATTTAGTTTCTGGTAAATTCTTCCGCGTGAAGTGCTGAGTACTTGATTTCATGATGTTGTTTTGAGTTTACGAAAATGATGTTTGAACAGATTATATTTTGTGAATTTATTGATGATCAGTTTTTTCAAAGGTGCTGGCTGATAGAATGATTGGAGAGAGAATTCTGCAATTAATTTGGTGAGAACCCTATTTTGCCAAATTTATGCGAGAACGATGGTCTATTGTCTTTAGAAGCGTAACACTTATGAACTACTAGTACCATTTGGCAGATCTCGGGCTGCATGTCACTGTTGATGTTTGGAACAGGGGCTTCCTTGGACCAAACAGGCTATCCTTACGAGTCTGTGTGGACAGGAGCGGGTCAATTTTGTACGTTTCATGTTATGAATCAGAACCCAACTCTTCATACTTGGCATGCTATGCTTGTAATTAAACAGTCTCTTTACCATTTAGGCAAAATGTGTAGCAATCAAGTGATAACATTATTGTCACAATTTTCCTTTTCTTTATATAAAAGTGAATCCAATATGTTAATTTTATGAGGGAAGAGCTTCCCTGCAACATTCCTCAGATCAAGGTTAAAAAAATAGTTCTCCTTAGCCCAGTCTAACTGATTCAAATTGTCTTCCATTGTCCCAACTGAAGAGGAGAGCCTGCTATTTTGGAAGTCAGGTTTAAACATTTTTCTTCATTGGAATGAAGAAAAGGGCCGGACAGTTTCCTCTAATTTCGGTCTTACGGCATGTGCCTAACATGTACCCACCCGATATGAAAGTTATGTTTGAGGTCAGTGCAAGTGTACAACAGTAAATTCTAAAGTTTAAAAGTGAGACGGAACTGTATGTTTTGGATTGTCTGAAATCTACTGAGGAAGAGTTTTGCAGCCCTGATCATTGCCTACAGAACTTCAATCATAGCCTATCTATTCAACTGCATTGAAGCCAATTCGCTAACCAATCGAGATAAGTACTGTTTCCAGTTGAAATCTAGTGCACAAACATAATGCCCTGCTATCTGCCATTATTTCATCCATTAATTGGCTGTAATAACTTTTCCTGTGGTTTTGAAAGGCATCTTTGCCCCTTTTTATGCATCCACAAACATGATTAATCTCCTTTTCCCTAACTTAATTATGTTTCTAAGAGAAGTTCATTTGTTGACGTTTTTGGTTGGGATAACACTTTTCTGCTGCGATTTGAAGTTAAATCTTCTGGTTGTAACAATTGAGTGGTTCTCCACGGATGATGGATAAAAGGTACATAATGCCTCTAAAGACTCCCTGAAGGAGAATGATTTTCACCTCCTCAGCCATAATGTTGAAGAATCTTTCATGATGTATTTGAACAGAAGCATTGACATTGACAACCGTTTATGTTCCAAAATCTTCAAGCTGAGATAAAGATCATGCAGTGATGTATTGTAGACCTTTCTTAGCTGTGGGTGTGTTACATCTGGCTAACACAAACAGTAATGTTATAGCGAAATACTTTCAATCAAGGGCGTAGCTTTATAAAGTTTGAAATTTGATAGCATTATTTCCCACAATTTTAATTGGATTATCAATTCTGCCGGATACGAGCATCGTGGAAATAATGTTGTGCTACAATGAAATCTTCATCGCTAGAATTAACGAACAAATAACCCGTGCTTTTGTTGGCTTGCTTTGAATATTGATTAGAGAACTAAGCTTTACAATTCCTTGTCTTAAAACTGTCCATTTGCTTTAAATTTGAACGAGAGGTAGCTTTGACATGCTAATGGAAGTGCGGTGCTATATTAGAATGCGTCTTACCTTTTTTGGCGCATACAAATCCATATATCACCATTGAGAAAGGAGTGTCGTTTCTTGGCCAACAGAAAATATCTGTAGTTCTGTGATAAAATAATATTCTGAAAAATATTGATCAAATCTGAATATGACAATTACCGCGTCTAATTTCTGGTAAAGCTAATTTTTTTACGGTTACGAGAGGATCCCCTAAGCCCTGAAGCACCCGGTGATCAGAATGCGGAAAAGTTCGACGATGAAACCAACCATCATCAGATAACTTTATGAACAGAGTTGGACTGGAGGATAGCGTTACCCTGCTGCGGCAGTTAGTATCAAGCCCTAAGAAATTGATCAGAGCCTAAGCTCACGTGTAGAGTCGGAAGCACTTGACGCAGCGTAATAATGGAAGCAAAAAAACCATCATTAACACTGCACGAATCGGTATTATGGGGAATCATTAAACATGACCTCAGAAAAAGAAGTGATGGGGGGAGACTTTAAAGGCCTACTCCAATACTGATGAAGTCATGAATGACCTTGGTGTGGTTAAAAATACCTCCATGCCTCTTCGCTGTTCTTCTTTTTACTCAACTCATTACCAGTGGGTCACTCGCAGATCTTTGTATTGCCAATGGAATCACACGCCCACCCCCATGATGAAGAGATACTACTTGAACAGGATTGAAATTTCAAAGCCCTTCACGTGTGCTGGTCCTTGATCACGTCCTTTACTTCTCACTGGGTGATGCAATCATCTCCTTTCCTCTCTTTCTTTCCGTCTCTCTCCTTATTTTTTGGCTCGTTGAAGAATAAAAGATGGGTCGTCATTACCACACTGCATAATTGTAATTATAGGCTTGGTATATGATGATGGGTATTCATGAGTGCCAGTCTTGCAAAGCCTCTCGAGCACTGTCATGCACATTTATGACCAGATTTAAACTCCTTAAGTGCCATGGCTCGTGAAAGCTCAGATTTTTCATTAAAATATTCAATGGGGGTGACTCGTAAATGCAGGGGGAAAAAAGTAAAAAAATGGTTGTGGGCTGCCAAAGGGAGGGAAGGGAACCATTATTGTTGGGGCTCGCCATCATTGTTTTGGTCTGAACAGACTTATTCATTTCATTCACGCATTTACGCCATTTACTGCGAATCTTGTGTATATGCTCGTGCCACACAACCTTTTGCCTCCCTACGCTTCTCTACTTCCTTTGACCGCATCTTCATCATGTGTTGACCAACCAGATCTTATGTTGGGGGCACTGACCCAGTTTCAACATCGGACGACACCCTCGTTCCTATACAACTTTTCTTGACCTTGCCCTTCTCGCATCACTCTGTCACAGTCATCTGGAGTTAACCATCCTGTTACTCCCTCTCACTGTTAATATAAAACCTTCTTAATTAGCTAACAAGCTCAACTGGGAGAACCTTCACATCAAGTTCTATCACAATAAAATAGTTTCAAGGCAAGCTCAATTGGAATTCTATATTTAACAGGTATGGTTCTTTACAGAGATTAAGTGACACGTGAGGTGGTGGTTGAGCTCTACTTGGTAAGTGAACTCCATCTCACATCATATGTTACTCTCTTTTTCTTCCTGTCTGTACAAAGCATTATACTTGTCAAGCAAAGAATCCTGATCTAAGACAAACTTGCCATTTCCACATCTCATACACAATCTCCTTTTTTCTTAATGCTTTAGTTTAGTTTATCGCTTTTTGCGGGAACCCTTGAAGTGATTTCACACTTGGCTTGCCAAAAAAGCACCCTCGTTAAATCGCGTGGGGGGTGATATCTTTGAATTGTTGGATATTAATTTGGTGTAAAACGAAAACTTGTGAGCATGTGGAAAGAATATATGAGAGCGAAGGTGGTCTAGTTGCAGTGTGAAGTAAAGACAATCTCAAGGGAATCAAAGTTCGATGGCACATAGGGAGAGACGAGTCCAGAAATAAGTGGCAGTTTGAGATATCCTCCCAAGGAAAGGTAAGAATAAGATTAGGGCAAAGGAGAATGAATGATTACGGGCAGCAGTTCCCAACACATGAAAAATAGAATTTAAAAGAAAAAGAAAACAAAAGAGGAGTAATCGATGGTAAGGTGGGGGTGGTTCGGCTTAGGACCCAATCCAAACCATCATTGCAAATCTTGGGGACGACCAAGCCCACCATCATTTTACAAGCTCCTAGCTGAACAATCCCCCCATTATTGTCCCTCTCTCCTCGCCCGCTTTTCCCATTCTGCCCCTCCCTCTCTTCTCCCTCCATCGTCTCTACTCTGTACAGTACCAGCGGACACCCTCTGCAACAACAAGAAGCATAACAGATACAAAAAACCTATCATCATTCACATGACGCCATAACCATAACCATAATCATACAACCGAACACATGAAATCTTTTAGGCTCTTACCCGGCCGCCTTCCTTGCTTACCCATGCATGATTGTTTTGTCAGACGAGGAGAGAACCACGTCTTCTTTTGTCTCTCCCTTTCTCTCTCCTCTCTCTCTTTCCCTCCCTCCCTCCCTCCCTTTTCCTCTATAAATTAACACCTCAACGTTCCCTTTGTCCCTCACTTTTTGCTTCAACAAACTTCTCCTAATTCAAGAATCCATATTGCTTCAATTCCTCCACCAGCTTCTCGCTCGACTTCATTCAAAAGGTCTTCTTTTTCAAAAAGTTCTGTTGAGAAAGGCAGAGCCTCCCCCCCTCTCTGTTTGTCTCTTGCATGCTTTCTTATACCTGCTTGCTTCCACGAAAGACGCACTTTGTGTTGTACATTGAGACTTATTTCAGACTTCGCAAGTGGAATTTGGTTTAACTTTTGTTCAGATATCTGAGGTGCAATCATCTTTAATTCCCTCTGTCCGGCTTCTTCTAACTTTTGTGTGAGAATCGCATATTGGGGTTCTCCTACTTGGGTGTCTCGGTTTACTCCACTTGATTCTCTGCAGGAAACTTTTGCCTTTTTAATATTTTCTTGGTGGATTCTTTTCCCTTTTGTTTGAGCATTATTGCGTCTATTTTATTTAGTTTAAAATCCACAGTCAATTGTTTTTTTGTCTTTTGTAGCTCCACTGTAACCTCCTATACTTTATTGTCTTCCATTTTATTAAATGGGATCACATTAAAAAATTTTGAGTGCTTCTTGTGAGCGTGGAAGACAAAGTGAACAATAGCTCCTTTTAAACACAGACATAGAAACGCATCGAAGATCTACCTCTGAAGCTTGTCTCTTTCATTGATGACCTTTATCCTTTTCTTCCCTCTTGGGACAGCCGAAAGAAACTGTATTTTTTTTTTTTTTGGTACTTTCAAGTGATTGCAGGGTTGGACAACTGTGATTTTCACCACATTCTTTAGTTTCTCAGACAACCCATATGACACTATTTATTCGATAGTGTGGTCCAAACTAAAAGACTCACTTATTCTGGCTTCCACCCCATATACTTTTCCTTCTTGCCATTGGCTTCTTCGTTTAACCGTGATAATTATATCTACCAGAGCAATCTCACAAAGCAATACATTCTCGAGCAAGCCTGACCTATTTTCTTTTCTTTTCCACATATCACCTGCAAGGTGGTTCTCTTCCTTTCTTGTCTTCTAGATATATACACTTTTCTATCACTAATCATTCTCTGTGTTTGTCTCGATGAAGGTGGATATTTATAAATAGTTAAATACATTATCTACATCATGTTTCTGGGGACTGAATTATATTTATATACAATGGAAAGATCCCATCTGTTCTGAAGCCATTTGTTTTGTGTTTCAGGGGCACTCGTGAGAATTACTTGATAGAGAATGGACAGGCTTAACTCGAAGCTGTACCTGCAGAACTGCTACATAATGAAAGAGAATGAGAGGCTGAGGAAGAAAGCCCAGCTTCTTAATCAAGAGAACCAGGTTCTTCTGTCTGAGCTCAAACAGAAGCTGTCCAAGCAGGCCAATTCGAAAACTAGTGCTCCCAACACCATTCTTGACCTGTCCCTCAGCTCAAGCTCCTCCCAAAATGCTTCCAGTTCCAGCAACTGATGATCTGTTGGGATGGGGAAAAAACAGAGTATCGTGACCCCACTAGCACTATTTGTTTGTTTTGTTTCTGTGTAAAATCTGAGTCAACAGTAGCAGTCCTAGTTTCTGTTCCATAGGATAATATCAGCATCGTGTATCTGATCACTAGTGCGTTGCTTTCCATTCTGATGACATCTGTATTTTGGAAGGGGGGGGTTTAGATATTAATTGACGAACCAAAAGTTATGATATGTATGGGGCTATCTGCTAATATGAATGAATGTAAAAGCAATTACTAAGCTTAGCTCTCTGCCTCTGCACGTGACTGACAATTATTCTGAATGAAATTTGCTATATTTTGCTAAAAGATTTCTTGTGCTCTTATCCTATGATGTGATCAGTTGATCACAAGAGATAAAACGTCTTTCCGTTTTTAAGTCTAAGAAATCAAGGGCTCATGACTATACTAAGGTTTCAAGGTTGATCCAACTGAGCAAGTTTTGCAATGATGAGTGATTGGCTTATCGTTCCTATACGATGTGCCCGTATTCCCGGAGCACGGGCTATCGTGTCCGCATTTATCGACTCCCACGATTTAAGATCAGTATTCCAGTTGATGATTAACGAGAAGAAAAGGATATCACATTTGGATTTTAAATACTCCTATGCTCCTATAACTAGGACCAGAGTTAGCGTAACCTATAATTAATTAATTTAAATAAATTAAAAAATAATTAAATTAATTATTTGTTAAAAATTATATGTTGAGTATCTTTTGATGTAAACTTTCTTAACATATACAATCAATATGGTTAGTTTGGATAACTAAGAAAGACAGGATGGATTGGCCTGGGCTAATATTTAGAGCCAAATTTTACCTCTCTGCTGATTTTTATATTAAGGAGTGAAAGTAATATATAAAAAAAAACACTTTTTAATTAATATAAGCCATTTCATTAAATTTAGCACACAAATACATAACTTTACTCCTAACTTATTTTATTGTTATCTAAAACTTTATGCATGTAATAAACAAGGATAAAATAAAAAAGTTGTTAAATTTTAAGATAAAATTAATGATGAATCCTTATACCACAAATCAAAAGTAAGTAGTAAATAAGATTGGATGAGTATCTCATAACTTATAATTAAATTTAATTAATTGTGCAAAGTAGTACTTCAAAAATTTCACTATTACTTAACTAAACTAAGTAAATTGAGTGGGTTTTGTCAGGGATACGTTTATGAGTGCGTGCCCAGAAAAATTGTAATATCCCTAAAACAATATATATCAAATAAAGAAGAATTTATGATATTCAAATTATTCTGAGCAATCTAAATATCTGATATTTCAGATGTAAGTAGGTTACAACCTCTCTACAGGCAAACGCATTTCATTTTTTTAAATTGAATTATTTGTTGTAAGTTTTCTGCAATTTAGGACTTTATAAAAATACAGGTTACAGTTTTATTAAAAAGATTGAGTTTTTAAATTTTAAAATCGATAGCAATAACCTCAGCATTGTTACGGAGCTTTAAGAATATAATTTATAACTTAAACTTGATTTAAAATATCTTCATATATTAGTATCAAAACTCAATTTCTGTAGGCATCAATGCAAGTTTCCGAAAGTTATTGGTTGTAACTGTAGCTGCTTGAAGTAATTTTGCCTAATGATGATCAGAATCTGGCCTACGACAGGGTTTGACCATTCAAGATTATGAGAAAAAGTGTGAAGGATGTCTAATCAGTTATGAGAATGCGATTAACAAAATCTTTCATAGCTGTTGGTAGCCCTGCTCCTCCTCACCCAAACCCCAAACCAAACCACGTCAACACATCTCTCATCAATCTCTCTCTTTTCATTCTGATTCCACCACTCTTCCCGCCATCCTCATCCGACAAAACACTCCATTCTCGACCAAAATATTCACAAACTACACCCCTGCGTTAGATTTAACCTCAAGTATCTAGACAGTAAAAAAAAAAAAGAGAGAGAGTGAGAAATGATATATTCATTTTTAACATGGTGATGGTGACACGGGGGAATAATGAAATTGTGGGTGGTATTAAATGTTTGTAGGCCTGTGTCACAGAGTATTTTGCAGCCTGCGGATTTGGACATCATAACCATATCTAAGGCTATATTATTGATGTAAGGCTGTCGTCTTGATCACGCATGTGAAACAAACACCAGAGATGCATACCTTGAACATCACAGGACAAGAAACTTGACATTTTCAATCACTTGATAAATAAAAAGACGAGAAATATGAGAATTTCAGATGTCTAAGAATATATATATATATATATCTATTATATAGATAGATAAACTGTGGTTTAATAAATTGAGGGGCATCGCTTTCAGAAGCTCTGAAAGGCTCTCATAATTCTGTGCCAAGTGGTGGTGGGGTGTAATACTTGTAGTCCTGGAGAGGAGCAGAGGCACGTGGAGCAGAGGCATCATCCCCTGCTTCTGCCTCCTGCTGCTGCATTATAACGCTACTTCACAAGCACTTGGTGTGGCAAGAGACTTGCTTGGACACCAACCAAATGAAGCATTTAAAAGGTTCGTTCTTTGTGAGGTGGGGCAGCCAGATACAATTATACTCCAGTGACTGGTTATATTGGATATGAACTTGAAATGGTAATGTTCGCGAATGAATATTCTTATCTTTTACTGGAAGCCTTATGTAAGAGTAATCAGCCTCTGTGTGCGCGTGTGTCCCTGTTTGAAAAGTTAAAAGCACAGGACAGAAATCGTATAGCTTGCTCAGCTGCATGGTATCAAAGGAAAAGATTTCAATTGTCTGTATAGCGGAAAGGTTTTGTGGGTCCAAAACAAAAGGGCCGGTTAGCCTGCAAATACACCAGACCACCACGAAGGGACGTCCCTAACGCCATCTTGCCAAACACACTACAGTACTTTTTTATAAGTGCTTGGCCCCTCTGCATTTATAGCTGTCTAGTTATAAGTTGTGTACGTGTCTTTAAATAAAAATTATAATAGAAAAGGATAAGGACAATGAAATAAAGTAAATTGTTATGTCATCTCCCTTTGTTCACAAATCACAACACACTGCTGAATCATTTCGAGTATTAGCCTGGCATTTAACTTTCCAAATCATCTCTTTAACGAATCATGTTACTTCATTTATACATGAATTAAATAAATTATTAACAGATAAAAATGTTAAAATTAACTTCTTTTTTAAGTCATGAGAATGTTTTATTGGTGGCAATCCCGTGGAGCACCGAAGGTGGAATAAAGTTTAAAACAAATACTGTCTCTGGCCCATTGGACCAACAAGGTGCATCCCAACACATCACATTCCGCCTCCGGCCCAGTGGCCCAATGGGTTTCTGCCGGTTCAGTCATCATGGCATGATCCGTCCGCCGTACGCGCAACATATGGATGTGAATTTTCAACTGTACCCTTCATTGCTCGGCTTCGGTGGCAGGCTCGCAGCACATCCACGGGCCACCACCCAGCCACACCGCTCTTGCTCTCCAAGGAACAATTTTGCGCGTTCCTCTTGCTTCCGTTTCATTCCCCACAAATAATCTTTACCATCCTTCCCTGTTGATTGTGGCTCTCGCTTTACTGTTAGCGCACAGCAAACCCCCAAATTTTCTTCCTTTGCCTTCTCCAAAACCTAATTTCCTCAAGCCTCTGGTAGATTTCCTGCCTTTCCGACTGATCTCATGGCCAATAAAGAGTTTCAAGTCCCGCCGGTGGTCTTTAAATCGGGCGTGAATCCCATGAACGGCGGGGCTGGTTTCCAGCAGCGGCGGGTTCCTACGGCGCCGTTTCAACCTCCTCGACCTTCCAGTTCCAGTATACCCTTCATGTCCTTTGACGTAGGATCTGCAGCGGCATCCACCTCGTCCGGTCCAATTTACGGTGGACCCATGGGGGGCGGTGGTTCTGCTAACTTCGATGATGAGGAACCTCTGCTCGACGAGCTTGGGATCCACCCGGACCAAATCTGGAAGAAAATCAGGTCGATACTCATTCCTTATCGGATAAATTACGTGGTTCACAAGGATTCCGACTTATCTGGCCCCATTCTTCTATACATGTCCTTCTGCCTCTTTCAGTTACTCGCTGGAAAAATCCAATTCGGTGTCATCTTAGGTTGGATCGTGGTATCATCTATTTTCTTATACGTGGTTTTCAACATGTTGGCGGGTCGGTCCGGCAATTTGGACCTGCATACTTGCACGAGCGTGGTGGGATATTGTATCTTGCCGCTAGTGATTTTATCCGCTCTGTCGCTGTTCTTGCCGCAGGCTGGGATGGCGGGCTTTGTATTTGCCGCGATTTTTGTATTGTGGGCGACGAGGGCCTCCACGAGTCTCCTTGTCTCGCTTGCTGATGGTGGGGATGAACATCGCGGGCTGATAGCGTATCCCTGTTTCTTGATTTACACTCTATTTTCACTTCTTATTGTGTTCTAGTGATTGGATTGGCGCTGAAATTTTGGACGGCCGTGCATATGTTATTAGAGTTGTTGGATCTTTTATTGCATCTCAAACGCGTTGATCAATATTTAGCCATACTATATGATACATGATGAGAGGGAATTTTGAGATGTAGAAAATGGTATTGCTCTTCATTGAAAGTTCTTATGGAAAAGCTACCGGGCGTGACCTGTATTGTAGTATTTGTGCCGTGGAAGTATGTATTATGCTTCTGTTTTATTTTCTTATCTAGCCTTTTTAATTGATTTCTTATGGCTTATTCTTGATCTTCCAACTGTTTCAAGATTAAATCTCGAAGACATGACAAATTCTGGTCCATTTGAGAAGGTGTCAAATAAATAGCTATGTTGTGCAGTCATAAATATTCTGGATTGAACATTGTGGGCTGACAAATTTTGTCATTAGAATGGAATGAAATCACCATTTTTGGTATTTGCTTAACGAAACACACTTGTCGGCTTAAACTAGAGGATTTGAACAATATGAGAACCTTTATCTTGCCCACAAGGTTTCAGTGAATTTAACGCTACTATGTTAAGAAATAAAGAAATTCATTTAGGGTGCACCATAGTTCATGAGTGCATTCTAGATGTTTGAGACGTAGATTTACTTGGTGTTGGTCTTGTCGCTATCAAATTCTCCTATTTGCAAATTGAATTGCGGGTTGAAACTTGCATGATTAGCATCTTGAAAAACCAAGGAGCACCATAGTCATTAAATTCTCTGATATGCAAATTGACCGTGATATATAAATGTCAAGTTCATTTGTGTTGTCAGCTGTTGCATGTGGAAACTTACAACAGGAAAGGCTGAAACCTATTCTTTCTTGATTGTGATTTCAGAGAAAGTACCAATAGAGGCTATACACTCATAATTTTCAAAGATAAAACGTCTTTGAAAATTATGAGTTTGTGGTGTATATTTGACCTTTTACCGGGAGTAGATTAAAATGATGATTAGAACATTCTTTTTTATATGTAAAAAATAGTATGAAGGTGATCCGGACCCCAAAAAGAACATGAAGCAAATCATGAATGGCAATTGTTACTTCGAGATGGTGATAATTATGCTGCTTGTAAGACTTAGTTAGCCTTGCGCTTGTTTTACACCAAAAAAAAAAAAAGTGTTACTTCGAGATGATTTTGATGACTTGGTGCTTAGGATGGACAGGTCACAGGTTACTTGTATGCCTACTTGATGCTCTATTGATTTGAGATTTTGCCTCTGTTTTCTTACAAGGTTGTTTTGTTGGATATATTATGCACATCATATCAGAAAGAGTACATAAATAATAGTGAAATAAGGTCAGATACCCAATCTGAATGCCGAGGGCCCATACCCAATTAGAAATCGAAGTGCTCTTGCTCTGCTTATTGTTGTGGAAGGGAACCTCGCGTCATTCATTAGACTTTATCGATACCTTTTGTTCTCCCACTTGTGGGAATTCATTTACTATACCTTCGAATTAAAGTAACTTTGCTGGTAAGTTATTCCTTTTTAGTTTTTGGGGAATTGCTTACGAAATAGATGCATTTGTGATGTTCCTTGTGGGTAGGGGTTGGGATCATGAAGACTATGGTATGCTTAGCGGAAAAGGATTCCCTTTATGTGCCCCTAGAATCTAGAATCCATGCTAGTGCATGCGTATAATCTAACTCCGCCCCACCCAAAAAAAAAATAAAAATAAAAATAAGAAAACTTTGTAGCTACTTGTTTCTTCTTCTTCTTCTTTTTTTAATTTATTTATAGGGACAAAAGGTATATTTTATCCTTCAAATCACTTTTTTTTTTTTAATTTCCTTTAATTCTATGAACTCAATGAGAGAAATGAGACCTGGGCCGTGTGCTGAAAGTTTTTTTAAAGGTTTTTAAAGGAAGTAAAACGAAGACAAAAAAGTAATGGTTGTGAAAATTGACTTGGTTACTGCTCAAATTTCTTCCCCCAAGCCCAGCCCTCCCCAAAATACCAAACTTTTGTTCACTCTTTGGGCTGGAGGTATATTTAATCCGCATTATTCAGGCCGGAAAGAAATCTGCATTAAGACGCAATTCGGCTAAGCTGCTTTAACCTGCATGTATGTATATATTACTAATGTCATCTTTTTATTAAAAAGCAACCTCAGAATTTAATTCTGAAAATGATAATGAAAAAAAGGTAGTGAAAGAGACGGCATGTTTCCGGAAATAAAAATACTACAAATTAAGAATCAAATAAGGAATTCATGAACTGTGTTGTTTGCTCCTTTAGAATGGACACTCGAAGACAAATAGGCAGGCATATGGCTGGTGCAGGCGTTGAATTTGGTGGGGCAGCTACAAGGAGCTGATGCTGCCGCTGCAGTTGATGGGTGCATATTTGTTCGACATGGCTCTGCTTACTCCCTACCTGAACATTCCAATCCCCCCACTATATATATATGTCTTGCATTACTCCGTTCCCTCCCACAAACAATAAAAGTCATGCCTCGTCCAGTCGACAGCGGCAGGGAATGCACCCCAGGGATAGATGCGGACGAGGAATATGATCTGTTTGAAATTGATCTGGAAGTTGTGAATTGTGTCCCACCATCTGATTACTGGGAAAGTTATTGCACTTGTTCCGGCAGGAATAATGCACTTCTCGCCAATTGCTTGTTGCCCATTTCTGACCTCTCTAGCGCTGTTCCTATATCTCTGGAGGCCACAGCCAGCATTTTTCTGATCCACAGAACCCTTTTCTATGGGAAAATGTCTTAAGCTGCCTTTCGCTGGGGGCTTTGTGAACTTCCATGCGAGGCCATGAAAGCACACTAAGTTCAGCATTACTGCATACGTTGCTGTTTTGCAACAACATACTAGTCTTGCGTTTTAATATCGTCATATTTTCTCTCTCTTAGGCTCAGTATCCGCAGTACCAACATGCTCGGGTTGACCATTCGTTTGCCCTTTCGGCTTCGTTCCGTTTTATTACGATAAACGGTTGTCTGTAAAATCCTATAAATGCGTATGCTGTGCGGTTGTAGTTGCGGTTGTGGTCTTCACAAGTTTGTCCTTGTTTTTGATAAATATTATCCCGATATTTAATATAAAAATTTATTTGATTTTTATTTTGATTCTAAATATAATATCCTGATCAATTTTGTTTTTTATATTTATTCATTTTTTCAAGGTGGTTCTTATAATAATAACAGTTCTAGCTAGTATACTTGACTAGTAAAAATATTTTAGAAAGTGACAACTCATTTTTCTAACGTACTCAAATTAGTCAACAGGTTCTTATATTAAGGACCAAAAGGAGCATTATATAATACTATCTTTGGTCCTTAATATAAAACTTTGTTTGACTTTTATTTTGATCATAAATATAAGATTTCAATCCATCTTGTCTCTTATATTTATACATTTTTTAAGGATAGTCCTTCTAATAATAGTAATTCTAGCCAATACACTTGATTAGTAAGAATATTTTAGGAAAGATAACACCTATTTATCATAAATAACTTAACTTATTTTCTTAATTGAGTAATTTGGGAAGATTGAAGAAACTAACAAATTATTTAAAATGTTTATATTTATTATTTTTTTAAAAACTAATTTGCTTAACTAATATATAATCTAATAATATATGTGAGTATTTTATATATATTATAATTAAGTAATTTGCAGTTTTGCATATAAAAAATAAAATTGAAGAGGATGTATGTTCCATAATGTTATATTCTGCTGGTAAAATAATAAAACAATGAACAACGAGGAAACAGCTTTTCTTTTTGCTAAAAAAAAAAAAGGAAGGGCTTTTAGGGTAAAATTTAAATGTCCTTTTAGCCTTTTTTGGGGCCGTGGGTCCTTTTGGTTAACTTTTCTTGCCGTGGCAACCTTTAGAAAGGGCTCATTTCACTTTGTTTCCCCTTTTATTTTCTTCAAAAGGTTAGTCAAACATTTCATTGAACCAAAACAGAGATTCCCCACAATATTATGGCCAACCTTAAACCGAAAGGCAAACAACTACAAGGTGACGTGGCATTGCTTGCCCTTGTATACACAATGAGACGCGGTACTATACCGATGGAACATAAACCATACAATACAGCGAACCAGACGCAGATACGAGGATGAAATTAAACCAACTTATTCATCAAATACAGGATTCCCCTTAGCACACAGCGATGGATCTAGCGCCTTCTGGAAGCAGTTTCCCTCTGTGCGTTGAAGTAAACAGCAGCAACGGGTAGGCCAAGGTCGTTTTGTGCAGCAAAATCGCGAGTATTGAAGTGATCCCTTGAAGAAGACGAAGACACGGAAGGTGCTCTCACACACTGCCTTCGATTCTGCTTGAACAGCACAAACACATACCTGTGTATCCCTATGTTTGGCTTTGGCATCTCATAGCTCACCACCTCTTTTCCTGAATTAATTTTTTAGAAAGCAAAAAAGAAAGATGAGTCACGTTTGTTTGTGTTGGTCAGGTGCATCTTTTGGAGGAAAACAGCAAGGGAGTGACTGTCTACCAAATGTGGCATCTGTTGTGCCTGGAATATCCGTCACCATCCTGCATAAAAATCACAGATACATGTTGCGATCAAATTCCAAGTTAGAATCCTCCCAAAATCGTCCCTTTACCACTTACTGTACTGACTAGTTGTCTACTTTTCCTGTCTTTTCCCCTCAATTGCGTTGGTCTGGGCGGTTCTGTCTATCCCATTTCAGAGGTCTATTCATGTCGTACAGGGCTTGATGCCAAGAATCCATATAGGGATACCTAGCTACTTATGTGGCATCTGCAAACGTTGATGTGTGTGTGTATCTGCGGGAACAAAAAGGCACATGCTCCCACGCTTGCTTGCTTCCATACACGTATATATACATATACTCACACACACTAGCTAAATATTCCGAATAGTTATAGGGAGATAAATATTATCCCAGGTCTTATTTAATATTCGAATCGTTACTATGAACATCACTTTTCACTTATATCTAAGAAATAATCATTGGAAAAATATTCCAATACGGATTTGTAAAGTTAAATGTGCGCAAGAGTTTTGAAAACGGCTCCCTAGCTATCCTGTGTTATCTTTCGGTTTGAAAGGGTTTGAATTTTTCCCAGAGTTTTAGCGGCTTGGTTTGAAGATACATAAATCTGTAATAAATGGAACCAAACAGCCATATCAATTGATATTGTTTTTATCCTATGGTTAGCACGTAGTAAATCCCAATATATACCAATACCGATATAAAACTATTTAATTCTAAACCAGCATTCATACGTTTTTGCTATTCATGTATATATGATCTTTTTAATCTAACAGGCCTTAAGATTTTTGCTGGCCGAAATTATAGGTCAACAAATTAAGCTTAAGCTGCTCAAACTAAAACATAACACAGCATGTCGCCAATTAATCAGCTTTGTATGTAAATTTATTCCCCGGACTGAATGATTAGTCTTTTTGTTCTGACGATTTGATTTGATTTGATTGTGCCTAAAATATCAACCACGGCAAATTGTTCAACACCCCCAAAAATGGCCCTTTAGATATATGTCATTTAGCTTTACGAAGAGTAGTTGCAAAATGAAGTTCTGCATATTGTCAGGCTTATTCTCATAAACACATGTATTAGGCTAAGAATGTGTACTGTGACATAGTTGTTAGGGGATAAATAATGACAAATATATCAAACTTAAAAACTTTAAATTTAACGCCTTTCATGAAAAAGACCGGCGATAGATGCATGAGATAAAGCTGCGATTCTGCTATATACACGACAGGCCAACCTTACTGTGTATACTATAATAAAGAATTTACTCGATAGAGGCATTGAGTAAAAAAGTTAAACAGTAAAACGCTGAGCTTACGTTGTACTTAGGACTATTAGTCAAATGTAAAAGCTTTTAGTTTGAGTTTCACGAAAAAGGAATTACCAGTGCAAGTGTTCTCTGAGATAAGGATCACTGGGGCCAGGGACGTCCGGGTCAGTCATCACCTGCAGTGATAATGGGAGAAAATTAACAGCTCAAGCTTTACATATACCAGTAGAGACCATCCCAAGGCGGCATGAGAATAATAATCAGAAATTACTAATCATATCTATATGCACACACATGAAAAAGAAAAGAGTTTGAATAATCTGGTGTTGATGAGAAGAAGAGAAAGGACTTACGAGGGTGTAGAAGGACCTCATATCGAGTCCACCAATCAGAACCCTGGGCCTGTCGGTGACAGCAGAAGGGAAGAGCTCATAACCATTAAAGATTTGCTTCTTATTGTAAGAGACAGTCATGTTCACACTGGGGCTGAAGGAATCAAGGACATCTCCAATCACTCTCCCAACTATCAGAGGTTCTCTTGCCATTGTATTGTATATTCTGCAGAGAAGAGTAATGATGGGAACGAGGTTGAATGAATATGACTGAAGAAAATCTTAGTTGCTGGGTACTATGAGCTGCAAGATGAGTTGCGTGTATTTATAGTGCTTTTCAAGTAACTGGAGGAGCAAGTGAAGTTAACCAGATCTAGAAACGTATGAGGATGGACCCCCACTTCAGAGGAATAACAAAATTGCCCGCCCCACTCTAATGTGGGCTCTCCTGAACCTTTCAACCAGATGTTTCTGCTTCTATCATCTCTCTCCCACCCACTCTATGCGATAATCAGAGCCTAGATTCCCTGCGTGTCTATATCTCTGTAAAAAGTGTGTGTGATATATCTGTCCTTCGACTTAGATTTTAGTATTAGTTTGGATTGTATTAATTTTAATTGAAATTTGTTCTTTTAAAAAAGAAGTTTTGATTAAGAATTATATATATGTTATGTTAGTTTTGTTGAATCAGAAAAACATAATAAAATTTAGACCATCTAAATTTTATTTTTGACCCTCCAATGGACGATTGAAAAGTACATCTTAGCCATAGTGTACATTTGAAGCAAATATATTTAAGGCCTTCAATATATCTATTCTTTTATATTTGGTTTTTCAAGGAAATTTTGTAATTTGCTTAGTATTATATCGTAACTGGATTCTTCGTTTTAAGGAATTAATTATACTCAGTTTCCTACGTATTTGAATTTCATTCTATAATGAAATGCCCGGTTAGAAAGTAACAAGGAAAGTTAAAAGAAGAGATTTCGCTCTCCTTCCTTCGTAATGAAATTGAACGGCTTCGCTCCGGGGGTTTTAGTATGGGGGAATTTCACTGTAGGACCGCAGAAGGCAAATAATTTCAAAGAGCCCCCAAAACTTTCTGAAACCTCACTGCAGGACCAAGGGACCAATCTGATATTAATTTTTAGAGTGAGATTACAATAATACCCCTCCCTTTTTATTTTATTAAAAAATAAATATTTACCGGAATTACTGTTCCGGCCACCGGAGGTCGGAGGTCCGGCCACCGGCGCTCAGGTGGCCGCCGTCGGGGTCCAGTCACCGGTGGCCGGAACAGTAACTCCGGCGGGACCTCCGGTGGCCGGAGTTTTTTTGTTTAAAACAAAGTGGCCAAGGGAGGGTTTGAACCCAGGACCCCTTGGCACACCAAAAGAGTTATAACCACCAAGCCAAGCAACCCATTCAATCATAAAATGCAAATAAAACTACATATAACAAAATAAACGCAACAGTCCAAATGTCAGTGAACAAGTGAAATTAGACGATTTACAAGTGGAATTCAGAAATTTGCAATAAAAGTTAGGCAATTTACAAATAACATAATAGAAGTCATAACCCAAAATGCAAGTGTTTAGGTGCAAATGAGCAAGTAAAATTTGAAGATTTACAATAAAAGTTTATGGATTTACAACCCAAATTTGGCAAACACAAGAGAATTCACAACCCAAAATGTAAGTGTTTGAATGTAAGTGAACAAGTGAAATTAGACGATTTACAAGTGTAATTCAGCAATTTACAACAAAAATTAGACAATTTACAAATAACATAATAGAAGTCATAACCCCAAATACAAGTGTTTAAGTGCAAATGAGCAAGTGAAATTTGAAGATTTACAATAAAAGTTTATGGATTTACAACCCAAATTTGGCAAACACAAGAGAATTCACAACCCAAAATGTAAGTGTTTGAGTGTAAGTGAACAAGTGAAATTAGACGATTTACAAGTGTAATTCAGCAATTTACAACAAAAATTAGACAATTTACAAAAAACATAATAGAAGTCATACCCCCAAATGCAAGTGTTTAAGTGCAAATGAGCAAGTGAAATTTGAAGATTTACAATAAAATTTTATGAATTTACAACCCAAATTTGGTAAACACAAGAGAATTCACAATCCAAAATGTAAGTGTTTGAGTGTAAGTGAACAAGTGAAATTAGACGATTTACAAGTGGAATTTAGAAATTTACAACAAAAATTAGGCAATTTACAAATAACATAATAGAAGTCATAACCCCAAATGCAAGTGTTTGAGTGCAAATGAGCAAGTGAAATTTGAAGATTTACAATAAACTTTTATGAGTTTACAACCCAAATTTGGTAAACACAAGAGAATTCACAACCCAAAATGTAAGTGTTTGAGTGTAAGTGAACAAGTGAAATTAGACGATTTACAAGTGTAATTCAGCAATTTACAACAAAAATTAGACAATTTACAAAAAACATAATAGAAGTCATACCCCCAAATGCAAGTGTTTAAGTGCAAATGAGCAAGTGAAATTTGAAGATTTACAATAAAATTTTATGAATTTACAACCCAAATTTGGTAAACACAAGAGAATTCACAATCCAAAATGTAAGTGTTTGAGTGTAAGTGAACAAGTGAAATTAGACGATTTACAAGTGGAATTTAGAAATTTACAACAAAAATTAGGCAATTTACAAATAACATAATAGAAGTCATAACCCCAAATGCAAGTGTTTGAGTGCAAATGAGCAAGTGAAATTTGAAGATTTACAATAAACTTTTATGAGTTTACAACCCAAATTTGGTAAACACAAGAGAATTCACAACCCAAAATGTAAGTGTTTGAGTGTAAGTGAACAAGTGAAATTAGACGATTTACAAGTGTAATTCAGCAATTTACAACAAAAATTAGACAATTTACAAATAACATAATAGAAGTCATAACCCCAAATGCAAGTGTTTAGCAATTGAGCAAGTGAAATTGTCGAATTTCACTTGCAAATCTATAAACTTTTGTTGTAAATCTTCAAATTTTATTTGCTCATTTACACTTAAACACTTGTATTTGGGATTATGAGTTCCATTATGTTATTTGTAAATTGCCTAATTTTTGTTGTAAATTGCTGAATTCCACTTGTAAATCGTCTAATTTCACTTGTTCACTTACACTCAAACACTTACATTTTGGGTTGTGAATTCTCTTGTGTTTACCAAATTTGGGTTGTAAATCCATAAACTTTTATTGTAAATCTTCAAATTTTACTTGCTCATTTGCACCTAAACACTTGCATTTTGGGTTATGACTTCTATTATGTTATTTGTAAATTACCTAACTTTTGTTGCAAATTTCTGAATTCCACTTGTAAATCGTCTAATTTCACTTGTTCACTTACATTTGGACTGTTGCGTTTATTTTGTTATATGTAGTTTTATTTGCATTTTATGATTGAATGGGTTGCTTGGCTTGGTGGTTATAACTCTTTTGGTGTGCCAAGGGGTCCTGGGTTCAAACCCTCCCTTGGCCACTTTGTTTTAAACAAAAAAACTCCGGCCACCGGAGGTCCCACCGGAGTTACTGTTCCGGCCACCGGTGACCGGACCCCGACGGCGGCCACCTGAGCGCAGGTGGCCGGAACAGTAACTCCGGTAAATATTTATTTTTTAATAAAATAAAAAGGGAGGGGTATTATTGTAATCTCACTCTAAAAATTAATATCAGATTGGTCCCTTAGTCCTGCAGTGAGGTTTCAGAAAGTTTTGGGGGCTCTTTGATATTAATTGTCTTCTGGGGTCCTACAGTGAAATTTTCCCTTTTAGTATTCCCCTCCCTTCATTTCATGAGAGGCCAATCTCTTTCCCTCACTTCCCTTCTCTCTGTTACCCAGAACATTACACAAGTGAATTTATTTGGTATTGACTTTTGACAAAAAACTAAAAAAATATTTGGATAAGATTTAAATTATAATTTCAGAAATATTTTTACAGTATATAAAATAAATACATGGAGGAATTTATTTTAAATTAAAGTATTTTTGAAAAATAATTCTGGATATTACCAAACAAGGGTTTCCGTGGATTCCGAGAACTACACGCAAAAGGGATGGGTCCCGCGGGAATTGGTTCTGATTGGTTGAACTACTGAAATATTTGTGATGCGACAATAGCAATGAAAAAAAATTCGTGCTGGCATTTGCTGTGTATAATACTACCTCTAATACTAATTATAAGAGTTAGTTGATTAATTTGAAAAAATTAAAAAAAAATAAGTTAAATTAGTTATTTGTAATAAACGATATTGTCTTTTCCAAAATATTTTTACTAATCAAGTATATTAGTTAGAACTATCATTATTATAAAGACTATCTTAAAAAAATACATAAATATAAACAATAAAATAAATTAAGATTTTATATTTAAAATTAAAAAAAATAGTAACAGAATAGGTGTGGTCAGAAAGCTGAAAAAAGCATCATTTTACGTATGTTTTTATATATATATATATATATATCTCTCTCTCAAAGTGGTGGGTCTCGTCCTCTCTTTGCAGGTTGTCACTGTCACTGGTCATCTTTCCTTTCTATGCATTTCCCTGTGCAGTAAAACCATTTGCCAAAAAGGCAAGACATTTAGGATTTGCTTCCTCGCCATTTACATCTCGCTCAGTAATGGCCACATGGAGGTAGCTTCTTCGTTTCTAGAGAACCTTCCCTAATTACACTCACTTATCACTTTCAAACTTTTGAAAATTGCTATTCTCGACCGTGCGATTCCCCTCTCTCTCTCTCTCTCTCTCTCTCTTCCTGTAACCTATCTTACTCTCTGGAGATTCTTTGAGCTAGCTAGGGCATAAAGGGACTCCACCATGGGTGCTCTGGGGTGACGATGCTGTGAGTAGTGAAGGTCATTTTAGAATAAACTTGACTCTCAGATTCAAACAAGTTCCGAGACTGGAAACAGCACCCAGGTGGAGCTACCCCTAATGGAAAACGTAACGTTTGTATTTTTCCCATTTGCTTTTTCTCTGAGGTTTGGAAGATTGACTTGTGTGCGTCGGGTGCGCTTCAAAACATCCAGATTACATATTCAATTCATTGCGAGATGCTTGAAAAGATCGCAAATACCCCAGAAATAATAGTGATTATTTATTATAGACCGGATGAGAATAAACTTTGTAGCTTTTTATATCTCACTCTGCGCATTATTCTTGAAACCATTGGTTCTTCGGTGGTATAATAAAAAATGTTAGTTTTTATTATTATAAAATATTTCACCCATTAATTTCTAAAAGCATCCATTTAAAATTAACTTTAGCTGTGTGTTCAGTATCAAAGATATTTTACGGACCCTAGGCCACCCCCCCGGGGGGTATTTATATATATTTCTGAATATACGTGCAATAATTTGACAACGTTTTTATTTTAACTTAACGTGTATAACGGGGATTATTTATTAAACTTGATTCTAAACCCTTACGTTTTTATTACATTTCATCAAATTTAAGTTCAAGATTCAATCATTCTAATCTAGATAAATAAATATATACTCCTCTAGTTCTAAATATAAAACCTATATTATAGTGTAAATTATACTACAAAGTGAGTCTACACTACAAAATGGACCTATACTATAAAATGAGTTTTATATTTAGAACTAGAGAAGTATTATCGTAAAATTTTACATGCAGTGGCATTATTAATCTGTCTGTTGTGTCTGTGTGTGAAAAGATCGTGATTGCTTGCCCGAATTAATAAAAAATTCGATTCTTCTCAAAATATTTTCAGCTGATTAATTAGTTGTTATCGGCAAATATCAGCCAACTGTATGGTTATATTAGAAAAAGTCCCATGATCGCGCAGAAGATAAGAGTGGAATATGTCCTCTGTCGTGTTTTATGTATATATGGAATAGAGGCAACATTCCCCGGAGCAAGCATACATAATTGCAATTATAATTATATTTAGAATATCATTAAATTAACAGCTATGTGCATGCGTGACCTTTCTCCGGAAACAAAGAGCGTAATCATTAAAAAAAAAAAAAGAAAAGAAAAAGAAAAATCTGTGGTTCAAATCCTGGATTCAATTCATACAGAAAAATGAAAATTAAAATGACACTGCAGAAATGTTCAGGTCTCTGATCAATCCGCGGATTCTATTTCCATGCCAAATGCTAATAATCTCACACAAAATAATTACGCAAAGTTGTGAGTTGTCATGCATTGTATGCAACAGGTACCGCTCTTTCAGCATATTTGTCTACGCACTACGTACCTCCTCTTCTTAGTGGAATAAAAAACCTAGTTAATAAATTTAAACAGATTAAAAAAATTATTAAATTATTAAATTATAATATATATCACGTTATCACTTTAAAATATTTATATGATTCATTATGTTGTATATTAATTTCTAAATGGGGCAAATTTAGTTTAAAAAAATCAAATAAAAGTAATTTAATAACTCTCTTGTTTATTTAAATTAGTTAATTGAATCTTATATTAAAAACAGCAAGCAGCATGTAATTATCCAATTAATCAATCTATTGGACATCCAAATCGGAGAGGTTAGGATAGACAGCTCAAACGCGGTAATATATTTGCAGTGAATACTCACGAAATAGTATGAATAGGTTAAAGAGTCCATAAACCAAAATTTCGATGGAATGCCATCCGGACTATCACTCTTCTTGGGAATCACAGAGGACATAAATTATAGTTCCATAATCAAGTCTGTGGATGGCAGTAAGTTCCTAGCATTTTAGATTTGAGCACGCCAAACATACAATTTTCAGGTCTCTCCTTTTTCACCCCCACATCCCTAATCACCGTATGAGACTATATTATAGCCGGTTCCAAATTCGAATAAGGAAGTAAAATTATGTTAGGCTCTCAACAGTTAACATAAAACTCGACGTTGTTTATATGTGCATATATGGCCTCACTTGGAAAAGTCAGTTTATATTTTGAGAAAATTCTAAAAAAGTTACTGTTAAATTTCAAAATAACAAATCAGAAATTACTACAAAAATATATTGTTATTTGCTTTGTAAGTGTAGTCATTTTCTTTATAAATATAATAACCAATACTGATTTGTTATTTTAAAATTTAACCGTCATTTTTTTAGAATTTTTCCTTATATTTTGCTTGTGAAACACATTGAAGTAAGCATTATCTTCCGATAACCCCAGAGACCTACGGTGGATGCATGACCTGGAGTTTGATTCGACCATTGAATTTTGTGGACGTCCTTTTAATCTCTATCTGTTTCTGGGGCTAAATGTTCAATCACATGCTTTATAGTTATGATTGCACTCTGTTTTGCTAGCGAAGCATCGATTTGACAGGTTCATATTATTATTAATTGGTTCGTGTGTATTCCACAATGTCATGTAACAAGAAACTAATAATAAAATACCCCATCATGATTTTGACTTGGGTATGTTCAATTCAATACCTGGCTTTGCCCATCTAGTAATTTTATTAATTATTATCTCAGGCAAAAAAAATATTGTCATTATTTAAAAAAATCCATTTGACAATACTTTTTTTTGTGATTGTATTTATAAACAACTTTTAATATATTTATACAGGTCAATAAAAATTTTAAATTTTATTAGCTCTCGTTTAAAATTTATTAAATTTTTAATTTTATTTGTATTTAATATATGATACATCTCATGAGTATAAAATCAACACAATAATAAATAAATAATAAGATTATATATTTAAATAAAATTTGTTTACCTCTTTCCTGTAAATAGGATTAATAATTTTCCTCCTCCCTTGCCCTATAAACAGGGCAAAGGAGTATGTCATGATGTACGTGCGCAGGAAATGGAATCAAATCATGGTCAGCTAGCTAAGTGGAGATGAAACTTTTTATGGGAAGGAAAAGGAAAAGAAAGAAAAAGAAAAACTGGTGAAGGGACAAACGATGCAGGGATGTCAAATGAGGAGCATCAGAATTCAGAGGCAAAGGCTCCAGCTTTCTAATTGTCATTGGCCAGCTCCATTCCCCACCTCACTTCATGTCATTCTCCTTTTCATGTCCCCATCAAATGCCGTATACACTTGTTTCTTTAACATGAAACACGATAATCCACTTAAGTTCGCAAAATGCAATGAACCTGCGTTTGAATATGGAGATATGAATAATAACGGGGGTAAAAATAGATTTTGACAGTGATAATAGAAGGATAGTGCAATTAAGTCAAAATGAATCAATCAGTGTAAACCCGCATCCTATACTTACTGTATATTAGTATACAATTCTTGGAAGATCAGCTTTTACTCAGTGGAATATAGCATAGATATTTGATTTTTCTTTTTTCTTTTTTAAAGGCGAATTGCAGTCACAGAAGATGAAATTGGACGAAGTGGATATTATGAAGGGCCCTCGCCTTACGTGTGGTGGATCGGTCAGGTGGAAGGAAGTGCGTGGGCTCAAGTGCAATTGCTTAAGTTTACTGTGTTAGATTTATTAGATGGCTCGAGCTCCCAGCGGCAAAGTTTGGATTTTTAATCAGTCTGATAAAACATGAAACGCTTTATGCCTAGTTTTTTCTCCTTTGAGACAAATTTCCGTCGAAGAGTGTTAAAATTAAAGTTTTCTCGATACGTTCCTAAAAAATCCACCTTGTATTCTCTTTTTTATTAAAATAAAATCGCTTACCATTGAAATGAGAGGTTGTTAGCCGCTTCATGTTTAGTTACCTGAACATTAATCACCTTTTTTCTGGAGCCTGCAAGGCCGAAACCAATTTCAATACTGGTTATCTTGATAAGCATTCTAAACTCATCAGATTTGTTCCGTTTATATCTAATTTTAATAGTTCAGATTTAAAATTTTTAATTAACTATTTTTAAATAAAAAATTATTTTTTGAAAGAATAATAGTTAAAAGATTATCTCTATTTTAAATTTTATAAATATTAAAATAATTATTTTAAATAAATAAAAAATAAAAAATTAAATTTAAACTATCCAAATAAAATATGAATATAAGGTAGTTATCAAGATGAGAAGTATCAAAACTGGTTCCTTGAAGGCCTTGGTCTGTCCCTCTACTAATGACTAGTTGCGTCTCTCACCCAAAATATACAACGGGCTCTGTACCGAAAAATGACGGGCCTAAAATTTTGCAGCCCAAGTCAGATTCTATTTAGTACATTCTATCTGCATGCAATCGAAATTTTCACAACACTGGAGTCTGGAGAAATGTAATCCTTCTCTTATTACATGATCTAATTTTTCAAATTAATTTGCCTCTATTTATAAAATTTTTTTTGGATTTGTCTAGATAATAAACATATTTTTATTCACTTTACTCTTAATCAACATACTCTTTCTCATCATCTTTTTCCTATACATTCGTTCTCATTTTTTTCTCCCTCACAGTTATTCACTTATAAATAAGAACATATTTAAAAATATATTTCTAAAATATTTATTATTTTTAATTAATTCTAATAATTTTTTAAAACTACGTAATATAGTTATATGGATTTTATAATAAGAAACGAAACCGGTGGAGTATCTTTCTTTCCTCCCTAAAGAAGCATAAGACCATGTAAGCTGGTGACTGTCGACTCGGGAGACTCGGAATTAATGAGACAAAATTGATAAGTTTTCATTTAATTTTAAATAAAAAATTTAATACCCCATTAAATGTGTATTTAAGAATGCGCCTCATTATTTACATTACTCCGATATTTTGGATACGCATCCCACCCGCAGGCTACCAGCGCCTTCGTTTGCATCATTATGACCATTATTATCGAGCTGTATCTGACTATCTATCCCTCTTATACGTCTCTGATATCTGTTCTCCTTTTTAATTGATAAAATTCAGTCGGTCCTGTGGCCGAGCATTGTCTGCTAAAGGCGGGTTGAGAGGCGCGAACGCGAAGAGCATGGCGACAGGAGTTAGCAGGAAAATTTCTGCTGCATCAGCCAGGGCTCACACTAGGAGACCTAAGAAAAGCGCTTCAGTTCATCTTCCTTCAGGTGGTTCTTGTGCCATCATGCTGAAAGCTTTGTTTGCCATGCTTTAAATTGTAATACTTGACCACCAATATTCTTCACTCTGTTTGTTGAATTTCTATCGTGGTGCTGCCATTTGCTTCGAGTAATTAAATGCAATGTACTAATTTCTGGAGCGAAGCACGCATTGAACCCCTTGTGCGTCAGAAAGATATAAATGTAGTTGTTATTTTTTTTTCCTATTGAGTGACTAACAAGAAGCAATTCGCGGGAAATAGGAGGAAAGTGATGATACTGGAGAGGTTTAATTATCCCGACTATTTTCTATTAGCAGTGGAAGTTTTATTTTGTTTGTGATAGAAGTGGAAAGCCTGGAAATGGATTGTACCAGGTTCTTATTTTGCTTGTGATAGAAGTGGAAAGCCTGGAAATGGATTGTACCAGGTTCATTCTTTTGCCCTGTTGTCTCTCGCGCCGTCATTTGGTGATGATTGTTATTTTCCGCTGTTTGCATGCAATTATCTTGGCTCTGATGGGAGTTCCTCACTTCTTGTTTTGTACGTCCGAATTTCTTAGTTGGTGGGAGACTTGGTGCTGGTAATGCGAGTAATAATTTCTTGACAGATTAGCTTTTTAATTTCTCAGGATTGCTTAGGACAGCATTAGCAATATTGTTTGGGGGGTTTCTAGCATGGGCTTTTCTGGCTATTCGCCCTCCACCTCCCAATATATGTGGCTCTCCTGATGGGCCGCCTATAACAGCACCCAGAATAAAACTAAGAGATGAAAGACATTTGGCATACAAAGAGCATGGTGTCCCAAAAGATGAAGCAAAATATAAAATCATTTATGTCCACGGTTTTGATTCCTGCAGGCTGGATGCTGTGGTTGCCAAAACCCTATCTCCAGTGAGAGTTTACATTAACATTTGTATTTTATCCTTGATTTCTTATCATTTTTTATATGTATGAGTTTTTCCTATTTGAATTCATGGTGAATTTGTGCAGGAAATCACTGAAAGCCTGCGAGTCTACATTGTATCTTTTGACAGACCTGGTTATGGGGAGAGTGATCCTGATCCAAATCGAACAGTAAAGAGCTTGGCCCTAGATATTGAGCAGCTTGCTGATAAGCTGCAATTAGGGCCTCGATTCTATGTGATTGGTTTCTCTATGGGTGGACAGGTTATTTGGAGCTGCCTTAAGTATATACCTCAAAGGTATTTTAATCATTCAGGTTATTTGAAATTCTGTTGACATGAATAAGCACTAAACATGGTTTCTGTGTCTTTTATTTCTTTTAGCATGTTCCAATCCTCGTACTTGGTGGTTTGAGAGAGAGTTGTCAGCTACTATTTATCTGTCCCTTACATTAAGGAAAATGTTCAACCCTGACAGGCTAGCCGGTGCAGCACTCTTAGCCCCAGTTATCAACTACTGGTGGGCTGGTCTTCCTGCTAACCTAACTAAAGAAGCCTATAGCCAACAAAAACTACAAGACCAATGGACACTCCGTGTCTCTCATTACTTGCCGTGGCTCACTTACTGGTGGAACACTCAAAGATGGTTCCCTGCCTCTAGTGTAATTGCTCATAGTCCAGATAATCTCTCACGCCAAGACCGAGAGCTTATTTCCAAGAGGGCTGATAGAAAGAGTCATGCGGTATGTAACTGGCCTTCAGTTTATTAGTTGTAGTTCTGTTCCGAATGCAATAGAATAAAAGGAACTGGTTGAAATCTAAGCGATCCATTGCTAATTTGACATTGGCTGTATCTATTTAATTCAGTTTTTGTAATTTACCAGTGCAAGGTTTCTCAAAGATCCGTGTTGGCGACAACTGAATAAAAGTTGATGTTTGGATTCTGTTTTGGGAGTTTTGTTAAGCAATTGTGGTGTGATGATAGTTAAATGCACTTAATTTTGAACTAAACCTACCCCTCTGAACATCGGCTTGGTTTACAATTTTCTTAATTTCTCTTCTGATGTGGCTTCCCTAGGCAGAAGTAAGACAGCAAGGAGATTACGAATCCCTTCACCGTGACATCATAATTGGAATGGGTAAGTGGGAATTTAGTCCTACAGATCTGGAAAACCCATTTCCAAATATTGAAGGTTCTGTCCATCTGTGGCATGGAGATGATGATTTGCTAGTGCCTGCTAAACTTCAACGATACATCGCACAAAGGCTTCCATGGATTCAGTATCACGAGATTCCAGGTGCCGGTCACTTGTTTCCTTACGCTGACGGTATGGGTGATGCAATTGTTAAGTCACTTGTAAGCGGGAACGAGGCCTCCGTATAGAAGATAACTGGCTGTCACTCATCAACTTCACTGCATCTTGTATTGATCAATATGAGATGCATGGCCCGGTTAATTTTGTAGTTTGTACGGCGTGTATTCTAATGAACCCGTGAGACCCCAGTTGCTGCTTTATGACCGAATTCTAAACTTCTGTTCTCGAATGCCCGAGTCCTTTGCCCCTCTTTTTATGTTTCTAAATTTGGTTTGAAAGGAGATAAAAGTGATGGTCGAAGAAATAATAAATCGTTCAAAAGGAGGGACGTGTGAGGTACATTTGTTTTGAAGACGATTCAACTAGTGCCGTGGTGTTTCTTCGTATCTGTACCCAATTAAGCATATGGGTACATATAAAGGTAGAAAAAGAAAGTACATGTAACTAGACCTATATTTTGAATTAGCGAGAATACTAACACATGATCATCTTAAAAAGAAAATCTATATATAATATATGATTTATGAGGATGTATTGTTCAAAAATCATGAACAGAATAACTCGTTTTCAAACTCCACATGATAATAGAAATATAACATGACAGAAGTGGCAGCAGGACACATGTTTGTGTCAAAACAACCTTGCCCCTGCTAATAAACGCGGGCTCCTCGTCAATTCAGCTATTCATTTTATGATTCATCATTTTGTGAGCGTGAACTTTCAAGTTCGTGGGATGGGGATTATCATGTCTTTCACTTTCTTTCTGACTACTCCTCCTCATCATCATCCCTCCGCACTGTCCATGGTTGGCTAAAAAGAATGATTGTTCATATTAAAGCAATACCACTTACGTTATTTCTTTCCTTTTTCTTTTTCTTTTTAATTCTTTTGTGGGGTTTGGGAAACGGATTACTTGCTGCTTCATAAAGTATAGAGGTGGAGATAATATATAACCAAGAAGCACTCCATTGGTCACCTACATTGGACTCACAAGAGAAGGGAACCTAAAAGAAACAGACAGACAAAACAAGCCATGAAAACATATATCTCGAGTAACAGACAACATGCCTGCTATTTGTGCTCTACCTTGCTCCTTTGGGATCAAATCTTCTTTTCATAGTTCCAATCTGCTTGGGGGTCAATCCAAAAGCTTTCTGTAAAAGCTTCTCATCAATCCCAGAACCAAATACCGCAGACGGTATCTTCTGCAAGCCAGGGTTTTGACTATTGAAACTTCCGAATAACGTTGCAGGCTTATCACCAACGTTCATCAGGAAGTGCACTAAACCTCTGGGAAACACCATGACGTCTCCTTGCTCCAACACTCTATCAAACACTTTGTTGCTGGAATCTACGAAACCTGAATAAACTTTTCCTTCCACTACATAAGCTATCTCTGTGGCTCTCGGATGAAAATGGGGCGGATTAATGCCTCCCACTTCAATGTCTGCCCTTACAAAGGACATTCCCAGAGTGTTGAGCCCAGGGAAGTTAGTAGGACTCGCGGAGACCACTGCTAGGCCAGTGTCCGAGAAGTTGCCGGCAGCTTTCATGCCGCAGAAGACAAAGTCATCGGTGGTGGCCTCGGAGGAGTTTTTGCAAGGCGGAATAGTTATCATACCATGAACAGTTGATCTGATAAAACCAGCAGATCTCGGGTTGGGTACACAAAAGTCTTGAAGGGGATCAGGGTCGGAGGCCAAGACGATAGCCAAACGAAGGGACAAAATCGCAAAGAAAAAGACTTTCATTGAAGCCATTTTATCTGCTCTTCCTTACTCTTTTAGGTGCCTACACTCTATAGCGTGTCGAGGAACGTAAGAGTGAAGCTGGTTTATATAGAAATGAAATAAATACTCTACTGAATGTAGCTTTGCTTGTTTAAGGCGAATACTACGCTCATGGAATGATTACACAGTATAAGATGCAAGACATTCCTCGGCGGGGTTTAAGGTAGTTGTTCTTCAATAGACTCGTGCGCGTGCGCGTACGCTATGATCCTAATCAGGGTCCCACTGGTGGTGGCATTGTTGGCTATATTGTATAAGCCGGAGTTTATTTTTAAACTTATCGGCGTTCGGCGGCAGTGATTGAAATCATAAGGTTTTGCCACGCCTTGTAGTAGGCTTAGCTGACAATAACCATAATTAGAATGATTAATTAGGGATCTGTTTACTGGATTATTAATTAGGTAAAGCATTTTGTCTGGCCACCGAGTTGAGTTCTGAGTTCTGATTTTCTGGGAAACCATTTCATTTCGAAGTCCGATTGGCATGTGCTTTTACCGTGCGTGTGCAGTTGCTTTCATTCATTTGCTTGATTGTGAAGGCACGCCAGTTGGCTGCATCAGGATCATGGATTTTATCCCACGCAACGCTGACGCCATTATTCCTGGGCACAAATGGGGGGGAAAATGGACTCAAGCCTAACACATTTCACTTAAATATCATAAAAAAAAAACAGGCATTTTATAAATGGGCCATCTTATTCAATATGCACTTAACCCGCTTTTTTCTCATGGATAAAAAGGCAACAAATGAGGCCTGAGGTCCTCCAGAGTGGGGCGGTAAGTAGTGACGCTCCTGAAGCATCATCGTCCATCAAAATCTGCATACTCTTACTTTTTTAGCAAGAGTTTTTGCTATTTTAAAATGAAGAGAAATCTGGAATAGCTTTTCTTTTTGGGCCGCAAAGTCAACAATGGTGGATGATGGGCCTCAGCCCAAGATGGATCAAATGCTCGTACTTTTGGTTTGGGCTTTTAAGCCCAATAGTTAAAACACCGCTTGGGCGGATCAATGCTTTTGTCTGCAGAGCGTGCATGTACATCATTCCACCAGGACGCGACGCGTGGGGATCGCCTCGGGACAAGTACCAAGGTATTGTTTATTGCTCGCCGTAAATCCTGACGTCCTTTGTCGTGGGATCTGATACCCAAAGGCTCGCCAAAAGCGTTAGGAAATAGGAATAATCAGAATGCTCAAAACGGAAAATTCAAAAACAAAGCAAGCCCCCGACCCACCCGAAAAATAAAAAATAAAAGAAGGGAACAAAGATACGTGTTGAGCCCAAACGCACGGACGACCCCGAAACAACGTTGTGCATGCGACACCTGTCGCCAACGTGTCGAGCGGCCCTGTTCCCACCCACGCCAACTTTCGCGTTTTGATATTTTTCTTCGCCTTGGTTTCTAAATGCGAATTTCATTAAGCTCAGCGAATGATGTTAACACTGTTTTGTGGGGTCCCCTGCCACGGATTCGTGGGGCAATAGCAAAGAGCAACCGGCTGTGTGTTTTAGCATATAGGTTGACGGATAAGTGTAGTCGGGTATTGTAGTACTGCACTGCGGCCTCTCCCTCGTCCTTTGGCACTCACAAACCCACTTCTGGTTCGTGATGGTGTCTGTGAGTTGACATACACATAGCATTCCAGGTGAGTTCTTCTCGTTCTTCCTCGTGCCATTTAATTATTTACTACTAATTGTCATTTGTCAAGTCTATGTTTCTGCTTGCGCTGTTACCTTTGAGACGTTTGCTTTTTTTTTTTTTTTGCCTTTTCTCTTTTGGTGGCGGATGAGATTCCAGCAGCTAGGTGCAGAGATGGCGTTCTGTACCATGGTCCTTCATGTATGCCTCATAAAGTCGATCTGATTTTCATTATTTTGAATGTGTTAGTGCGCTGGCCAAGCGACCTGGTGAGCCACTATTCTAGATGTGCTTCCCAAACATGGAAAGATTCCTTTTTCTGCCATATCCTGCTCTCCCCAACTGTTGGTTTCCTTTTTAGGAAATGCCTATGCCCTACTGCCCCCTCATTTTCAGGATAAGATCCCTTTTTAATTTTTTCCCCCTCTCCAACTTTACTACAGCTCTTAACGGGTGTTTGGCAACTTCCAAATCATGGTTTCAGAAGCACTTTTTCATAAAATGAGACAAATTCTTTCACATATTTACTTCGTAAACCGTTAAAACACTTCTGAAACCATGGTTTGGTTTCTATCCAAATATCCTCTAAGTCTTGATCTCTCTTCCCGTTTAACCTTAGAAAATAACCCTCTCTCTATCTAGTTATATATGTATGTACTCCTCCGGTTTAAAATTACATCACAAGATGAATGTTATATTTAGAATCAAAACAGTAGTTAATTGTTACACTTGAAAATTTATGGCGCATACTCACATACGTAAATAAAGAATAGTGTTATCAGAACCCTGGCAATGGGGGTTTTGTATAGAGCTCAGGAGCTGCAAACTTGCAGCCGCGCTATTATTATTCACTGGAAAGCAAAAGCAACCATTACTTTACTTAGATCATCAAGCACATCCAGACGCTGCCTTTTTAACCTTTTTGGTTCTCTCTGATTCTAAATAATTATCGTTTTATTAATTGTTATCGGAGCTTTTTTTTTTTCCATCTGAGTTTTTATCGGAGCTTGGATAATGACCTAGCTTATATTGTAGTATTTGTTAACATAAATAATAACTGTCAATATAAATAATATTTGGTAATATAAATAATATTTCTTATTAAAATATTATTTATTTTGTATTTTGCACTGACGACCCAAAACAAATCAAATCTAGCTAAAAATTATAAAGCACAACCAAAGATTTGCAAGTGAGAAAATACCGAACGATGAATTATATTTTTTATGGGTAAATTCTACCTTTTTTTTTTTTTGGGACCAGCATGAGTAAATTCCACCCTTTGTACACACACACAGGTCCTCTCTAATGTAATTGTGATTCAAGCTAATGTATTAGTTAGTATCCGGTTACTCATTTTTACGATGAAAGCAAATTGGCTGAGCCGAAGAGAATAGACGTACGGTTCCTTGATATCTGTCTGGTGAGCAGAAGGCAAATGATGACGGGAGGACGCCACCGGTGCATGCATGTTTATCGTTTTGTTTCTCAATCATTTTCTATAATCAAAGTCGTATTAACAAATCTGGCAAAGAATTTATTCTTTATCCGTCACACCACTTGAACTTAATTAAACCCACTCTCCCAAATTTGTACCTTTATATATTTATCTAAAATGCACAAAGCAATTTGCTAATACTTTGTTGTTGTCAGGCTTAGCTTCTTTCCATCGACAAATACCCCATCCGAGATTTGACAATTTCAGCAACGTAGAGTTTTGCGGCGGCAGCAGCAGAAGAAGAAAATGGGGGTGGGGGAAGGTGAGGCGACGAATTCGCAAGGCGAAGTGGAATCAGGGCACAAGAACAGCCACCCGTTCTCGTCGCTGGGACGACAATCGTCGATATACTCGCTCACGCTCGACGAGTTCCAGCACACGCTATGCGAGAGTGGCAAGAATTTTGGGTCCATGAACATGGACGAATTTCTCAGCAGCATCTGGAACGCCGAGGAGAGCCAAGCCATTAACTCTAACCATAATATTAACGCTAACAACAGCAGCAACAACAACACAGGCTTGCCTCTGAATGAAACAAACGCTGAAAAAGGAGTGATCAGGAAGCAGCCAAGCCTTCCTCATCAGGGTTCTCTGACGCTCCCGGCGCCGCTCTGTAGGAAGACGGTGGATGAAGTTTGGTCTGAGATACGCAGAGGACAGCAGGGTCATCAGAGCAATAGCGGTAGCGCCAATGGCAATGCGCAGAATACCGAATCTGCCCCTCGCCAGCCCACTTTTGGGGAGATGACTCTCGAGGATTTCTTGATCAAAGCAGGCGTGGTTCGGGAATCCTGTGCTCCGGCAATGCCCGCCCAAGTCCAAGGCCCAGCCTCGACGCAGCAGCAGCCGCCCCCGCCGCCGTATGGGATGTACCCGAGCAACAACTCTACAATGGGTCCCTCCTTTGTTGGTAGGCCCGTATTGGCGGGCAATGTGGTTCCGCCGTACCAGGCGGTGGCTCAGGGAGAGCCTTCTTCTGGGTACGCCGGGAATGGGAAGAGGGATAATGGGTATCCGCCACCGCCGCCGCCGTCGGGGGTTTGCTATGGAGGGAGGGTGCTGAATGGAGGCGGTGGGTATGGGGCGACGGCGCCGACTATGGGAATAGGGGCACCGTTGAGCCCGGTTTCGCCGGATGGGCTGGGAGCAAATGAGAACTGTGGTGGTCAGTTTGGGGTAGAGATGGGGATGTTGAGAGGAAGGAAGAGGATCATCGATGGTCCGGTGGAGAAGGTGGTGGAGAGAAGGCAGAGGAGGATGATCAAGAACAGAGAGTCGGCTGCGAGATCCAGAGCCAGAAAACAGGTACGTGCCATTGCCCTTTTTTCATTAACAAATGCATTGACTACATGCATTTAGTTTTCCCATAACAGTTCAGATTTTTGAATGACGTTATTGATAATTTGTCTCATCAAACTTGCAGTTATGAGGAAAAATAAATTTGTTTTCCTGGTATAGACTTGTTTTTGTTTAAATTGTGAATGGAGGTAAATCTATTTTTCTGGTTTCGGTGGCTGTTGTCTGCGCTGCCTAGAACTCTATACATGTATGTATGTTTGTGTGATGGGGGAGTACTTGGTTTAAAACTAAGAAAGGCTTTCAAAAGCAAATCTGGTTGGGGTCATGTTAACAAATTTTGTCATATTGCATAACTAACCTTTCCCCCCTTCTTCTTCTGACTTGGCAGGCATACACGGTTGAATTAGAAGCAGAACTGAACCAATTAAGAGAAGAGAACGCCCATCTGAAACTGGCGCTGGTATATATTGACATGACATATACATCAAGAATGTGAAAATTCCTACTTTTCCGCACTTGCGTTTAAGTAATTATAAACACTGATGAGTTCATGCTTTAATTTTATTCTTCAGGCCGAGCTTGAGAGGAGAAGAAAGCTACAGGTTAGTTCTTATATCGTCATGCACATGTTAATGATTCGAAGTACTGTCAAACTTTTCATGCATGGACAATTAGCACATTCATGTTTTAGGTATGATATATGTGCAACTTGATTCCCCCGCCCCCGCCCCCCACACTAGGATTTATGGTCAACTTATAGAAAAACACTCTTATGCATGTTACTTTATCCAACATTCTTGCGGCAGAGTCTTGAGGAAGCAAACATGAGAGTTCCTACCAAAGCTCAGAAGGCTAGAGAGAAATTGAGGTCTTTGACAAGGAATGTGAGCTGTCCTTTGTGAAGAACATGCGTGCATGAAGTATGGTAGCCAGTGACCTCTGTAGATTTCGTATTTTAGTAATTAGAGTTGTAACTTGGTATAATCAAAGAGCGAAAACATCGTGAAGCAAATATAGTGGGAAGAAGGAAAAATAGAGAGAACTCAGAATGAAACCAGAACTAGGTAGAGGATCTTGAGATCAAGCTAAATTACTGAAATGCTTAAGACGGAGCTGTCTGTATTATTAATGGCATTCAAAAATTCACCTGTGTGTGTGGGCGGGGACGTACCTGATGTGTATATGTTCATCTCGATCTCAGCTAGTTTGAATCCATTTAACGTTCTATATTGAAAATCCTCCCGGTAAACCTTCAGTAGGCTGCCTGCGTCTGAGTTTTTTTTTCCCCCCCTGGGTCCCCTTGTGAATTATTATATCGTTGTCTTACATATTCAGGCCTGGCGAAAGTTACCAGTAAATTATTTTCATTTAATTATTAGAGCACAGTTGCATCGCTTAGTGGGTCACAGAGTGATGAAAAGAGACAGAGCTTTCCAATTTGTCAGAGTGGGAGTGAGATGAATTGATGGGTGTATAGTGTGGAGGGAGTGTTGTTGACACAGTCACGTTGTTTTGTAGTGGAACTTGCAAGTGGCGTAACGTCAAACATTTTTGTCTTGTTTTGCGCATCATTTTGCCGACCTATTCTACCGTATTCCCTTCATAAGGAACAGAAAGTAATTAGATGGTTGAAGGAAACAAACGGAGGCTTCGTCTTACATCATTTTCTGTCTTAAAATATTTTCACCGTCCACTTGCATATTTCAGAAAATGGAAGCACATCACGGTGTGACTCTCTGACTGCACCTTTGGGTAATAGCATGCATAAGACAAAAGCTTTATCTTCCAACGTGAGGCTTTAGACGACGTGGAGTGCACGCACTGCTGGTGTTTCGACCCTGGCCTCTGGCCGGTATGCCCAACACCTGGTTAAAGCGTACGCGCGCACTTTTTTACGACGTTGAAATATTAAGAAAATTTCCGGATTATGATCTTAATAAGAAGGGTTAATATAAATTTTGATCTCTCAAATTGGATCTATTTGGGCATTGGTTTCTGAAATTTAAAACTTATAGTACTGATCTCTCAAATTGTATCTGTTTTTGGCCGTTGGTCTCTTGTAACTTTAGGCCATCAAAATCATATAAGTTGGCACTAACTCCATTATATTGATGATGTGTACATAGAAGTTGGTATGTGCATAGATCTTATATGAAAAAAAGAAAAAAATAATATATAAATAGATGTTTTAAAACATAGTGCAGATGTAAGAGAAATAAGTTATCTAAAGAAATTGACGCACTAGCGGTTGAGAAAGAAAAGGGGAAGGGGTTAGGGACTTAGGGTTGAAGGGAAGGCCGTCAGTGACGAGAAGAAAGATCCGACACCCACAGATAAGGTGATTGAGGAGAAAGATCCGGCAAAGGAATTTAAGAATGGATGAAGGCAATGAAGATTCGACAATTGTAGGGAAGCACGATTGGTATTTGGTAAGTTGTTGGTATAAGTTTTTAATTTTCTGCAACATCTCTTCAATCCCATCTTCTACTTATCTTCAACATCTCTCCATTAAAATTACTTTTCTCTTAACTGTTTTTCTTGAATATGTATTAGAGAACTAGTCTTCTTGAACACATATTTGAGAACTAGTTTTTGGTCTTCTCAAATATGTATTCCAAAACTGGTCCTCTTTGCTGTTCTCAAGACCCTAAGTTTGTTTTACTCCCTCCCTCTCCACTACTTTCACAACTCTCACTTCTCTCTTCCTCCCCATTTATATTTAACATGTATAGCAAAATAATAATCTAAAACAAAACACATGAACCAGAGCAACACAACACATAAAGAATCAACGCCATGCCAGTTAATTATGCATAAAACATTGTCAACAAAGCAAAAAACCCATCCACATTGATCCACAATAGCACAGTCAAAGTTCAAAGCAATGGGTGAATGCTCTAAAATACAACCAAATGAAATAAAAATTCATCTAATCATCATACTGATGTCTTCCTATTTAAGAAATGAGAACAGAGCATACTTGAACACATAGCACGTAAGAACGACAACATCGAATGACTTAATAGGTAAGGATCAAATGCACCACACCTCTCAAATATACAGCAATCGAACAAAAAATTAACAAAAACAAACATGCGAAGCTCACTGAAACACTATCACAACTTTAACAAGCATAACTTGGTGAAAATTAACCTTTGTTTTCTCACATTGCATGAGTTATTACCAGAACGCATTAACATATATGATAGATTCTCACCTTTCAACCAGCAAAACTCGTCAAAATTACTGTTACTATTTCTTCCCTCGACTGCAATTGATAAATCACGTTCCTCTTGCGACGGACACGTCATAGTTCTTCGACAAGTGTGGGTCTGCTTCACTATTGACCTAAACCCTTTTCCCTTTTCTTTTTTTGTATTCTTGGTCTTTTTTATTGTTCTGTCCGTGTGTTTTCTTTTCAAGTTAGTGCTCTTTTTTCCCTGCATTTTTTATATGTACATGTCAGCAAGCCACATTATCAAACTGGTGTCCACCTCCTTCTTTTAAGTCAGATGCCATATCATAGGTTAACAGAGTTAGTGCCAACTCAGACGATTTTGACAACCTAAAGCTACCAAGGACCAACAGTCAAAAACGGATACAATTTGAGAGACCAATACTATGGATTTTAAATTTCAGAGATCAATGCCAAAATAGGCCCAAATTTGAGAGACCAAAATTTATATTAACCCTAATTAAAAAATAAAATCAGCATGTATACTATATATTGACAAATATTTAAGTATGTTAAATTCTAATTAAATAAATTTTATTTGTGCTTTAGTATAATGTCATAAAAGAATTTGAAAATTTTGTTGATGTGAATTTTTATTATTAAGAAAAGTTAATGTGCTAAAATTTTTATTAGAAAAAATCGAACCTAATGAATATAATTAAATGGACCCGAGTTTTATCCTTCTAAATATTTACTTTCTATTATGATTTTTTTATAATAAACAATGTTATGAAAAAATATAATTAAATAATTATTTAGCCTTAAGCTAATAATTCGAGTTGGTGATTCAAGGATCTGCGGGAATAAGAAATTCCTCACGTACCAAATATAAACCTGAAAACAAAAATTCTAGTAGCATCTATGAGTATTCCCATGCTTTCGTTCTAAAAAGGACTTAAACAACATAGCTGATAATATGCTGTCCTCAGTTCACGACAAAGATGTTTTACTTCATGTTATTTAGCCAAAACATAACAAGTGAAAAATATATTTTAAAAATTCAACAATATATCTTTTTCCGAACCCATTATCTGCTGCTCATCCGGATAGAACGTTTACATATCATTGAAGAATTTGATAACCATCACCTAAAAATCCTACCCAACTTTGTCAAATGTCAAATAAAAAATAAATCCTCAACATACCTGATAGAAACAGGGACAAAATCCGGCAAGAGGAGAAGGCCTGTATTTTCTATAATTCGAAATCAGTGTTCATTATTGAATATGGGTTAGCAAGGGGAGTGATCCAGACTCGTGAAATATACACAGCCTTGTGAAAGAAAAAGGAGCCATTCAATCATTCAAGACAAAGGATAGGGCCTTTAAAAGCACGATGTTCAGCAAGTGAAGATTGCGCAGGGCAATGTTAGCAATCCTCTTTCAGATCTTCCAGAAGGAATCCAGAGACACCAAAATAAATACAATGTAGGAAATCTCAAGTACGAAAGAGCTAACACTAATCAAATCTAGGATACGTAAGATGGTGGGGCAGCAGAGCAGAAGAACCAATTATTCATACAAAACCACCTCCCAACAGGGGAAAAAGAAAAAAAAAAGGAAACATAAGCAGATGAAGGAAATCAGCAAAGTGATCTTCATGGTACAGGCTTAAGAGCCACGGGCAGAAATAAATATATGTGGAAAATTTAGAATTATCTCATTTAGTCATTTACAAAAAGAATCTGCAACTTCACATTTGATGAACTGTTTTGTTTGGCACTTGATGAAACACCACGAAGCATGGAAACTCATGGGATAAACACCTTCTGAGTTCTAACAGAATTATAATAAACTGAAACTTTGACAGAGATGCATGATACTGCATCACTGCATTACTCACTATTCATATTCAAACTCGACCTTTACACGCATATATTTTCGTCCAAGTTGCAGAATCGATTCAGTAAATTTGGCAAAGATTTGACACTCTTCATGGCTTTTGACCTCTGAAACAACCCCATAAATGATCAACTTCTTCAAATTGGGACATCTTTCCAACAGCCCGGCTACCCAAACCGAGAAGAGGTCATTAATTGCCGTCCATCCCAGCTCTAGCACAAGCACATTCACTAAAAGAGACAAACCCTGCAAGCCATAATGAAGTACTCCTTCTCTTAAATCATAACTTAAGGATAAGTGTGTCAAAAGAGGAAAACAAACAGAAATTGACTCTATATCCACAACTTCATCCTCATCATCAAATACAACACCCCACAGCCGGAGCCTGTGTAGCTTTGATGCTTTTGAGATCATATGATAAAATTTCGGCCAGGTGATTGTGAAGTTACTGACATCTACAATCTCAAGATTCTCTGTAGTCTCACCAATATCGAGATGGATAACACTCACATCATCAATCTTCAGCACTTTCAAGTTTCCCTTGCTGACCAATTCAAAAACCTCAAAAGTACAATCTTTCAAATGCAAATTCTCAAGCAAATCTGCCTCCAATATAAACTTGTCCAAACCGAATGACTCAACATAAAAATGCTTCAAAGACGAGCTGCTAAGCTCCATGGAAGTTTGTGCGTCTGACATGGCAATTTCTGGACTAACAATAGACAAGGTTTCAAGTCTTGGACAAGCACTAAGTAGAAGGCTCAGATCCAATGCTGAGATGCTAACAAAACTCAGGGAGAGGGATTTCAGGCAAGGAAATTTCTGATAAGAGGGCTCAACACCTGTAATGGAGTTATGAGCTAATGCCAACGTTTCCAGCTTTTGCCTGCCACATTTTTCGATCATGTTGAAATTTGGGGTTGTCCTTACATTATAACGTAACTGTCGCAAGGAATCCTTGGTATACATAAGCCATGCAATGACTGGGGCAGCAGAGAACTCATCAACATCATCCATGTAAATGGTTAGGCATTTCAGTGCTCTGGTTTGGAAGATTGTTTGAGTAATAAGTATTTCCAATCTACAAGGAGTTAATTCATGATAGATGGGCCAATCACTAGAATTGAATGAAAGAGTGTGGAGATGATTGCGCCAAGCTTCTCTCCATTTCTTGCAAGTTGCCGATGCAATTACAACATCCCGAGCGGACCCAAGATGGGATAGTATGTTACCAATCACTTCAACAGGAAGGTGCTCCATCGTAAAAAACAATCACTAAGAAATGAAGCAGCAATTGTTTATAGGATCGAACACAATTGAGAGAGAGATTTATGTTAGCCCGTAGAAGGTGTCAGGGCTTCATAATTTAGACACAATACGAATACGGATACATATTTTGTTTAGGAAAAAAATAAATAAAGAACACCTAAAGCCTTAAAAGAAAATGGTATCAAGAACAAAGAAAAGACCATAAAAGAAAATTGAAAAACTCACTGGTTAAAATTATATGTGATATTGAGACACATGAACATCAGTATAAACTAAAAGGTGAACGAATTTGCAATGTTCCCCACAATATGAACTAAGTTAGAACTAGAACAAACGCAGGAGCGGAAGACTAGAACAGGATTAATCAAATAAGGTTAACTTAGAGCAAGAAATAAGATTATAGCAAGTCGTCGCCAAGCAAGTTATTCAATCGGCAGGTAAGACCCAAAAAACAAAAAAATTGACAGAGAAACAATCAAGGGAAATATTGAAGAGAGAAAGAGAGGTGTATTAAAGTGCAGGTCAGAAAGCGGCTCACCAGGAGAATGTAACGATCAGGTTCTGGAGGAGAAATCGGGACAGATAATCGGAACAGCGAAAAGTCGTACTAGAGGAAGAAAAAGATAGAAGTTAGAAACGGTGAGGTTGTTTATATGGAATTGGATTCGAAGAACAACAGAAAGAAGGAAAGCGAATGAAGTCTGGAGCTGCGAATCAGGGAAGATGGCTATCTCTCTCCGTCCAGGGGAATTTTTAGCAGCGCAACGGAAAATGGAAAAAATGGAAATTGAGTGGGTATTCAAACTCGTGTGCCACGGCTTTTGCACGTGTTACCACAAATACAGCCAAGCACCCCAGCATTCCGCTGCAATCGGGCTCTGCTGGCACATTTTGGCATTTTTTATTTTTATGAGTGTCCCCCCCCCCAAAAAAAACCAACTTAGTTCTTACCATGGAAAAAAATTAGAAAGAATTACAATTAAATTTTTAAAAAAATTACTAAATTTTTTTAATAATAATCTAAATAACATGTAACGACGAGTTTCATATAATTTTTGGCACTTGTTTTGAATTTTTTTTCCTTTTTTGAGACATAATTTTCCTAAAAAATTCTCTGTTTTTTTTTGGTGTTTTTAAGAATACTTTAATCTCTAAAATTTTATCTTCATAACTCTTTGTATATATATAACCTCAGACTTCTATCAGTACGAAAATGCTTGAATTCAACTCAAACCTAGAGCACACCGTGTTACATACAGACAGAACAAAATTGATAAGGCCATGGTTTTTTTCCTTTAAAAAAAAAAAGAAGAAGATTTTTTTTTGGGGGGGGGGATAAAAGCATACGAGCAACGTTGAAGTCTTGGTCAAATTTGAGTTTTTCGATAGCTTTTTCACTGAATCGGGGGATCGCGTCTGCTTCATGCTGTTAGTATAATTACTGGATACTTGTGTTCGGGAAAAATGAAGTATTACATACTGTTTGAAGAAGTTATATTAGAAACAAATGTTTATAATTAAGATTTCTTTTAAATACTTCTATTTTTGCCGCCAGACCTAAAAGTTAGGATTTTCGATTTGGCCACGACTTCCACCCTTGGGGACTCTGATAACGCAACTTATCAATCAACCTTAAGATGCGAATCTGGAGGTCGACTTTTGAGTGAAAAATGGAGTGAGGGAGGCCTGTAGCAAACACAACAGGCCACCAAAGAATTATCAGCAACACCGAAATACGGCTACCGTGGCTGTATTTCTTAGTTGACGGGTTAATGTTAGAGTAGGTAAGCATTAGATATCTTTAAACAAAACAACCCCAAGTAATATTTCACCAGCGGTGTGCTTTTCAATCACCGAGTGTCATTTCTACGCACACACAAGAAACCCTTCCCCGTGACAGGTTGAATAACTTCCTTTTATCTACACAGTACACCCTAATCAAATAACGCTACTTGCAACCGAAGCGCCTGAATCTCGCGGTTAAAGTACTTACAATAAGTCAATAACACAATTTTCAATCAGTCGCGGGAAGCCATTATAGCATCATTTATCACGTAAAATAAAATATAATCTAAAATTGGAGTGTCAGGGTCCGCTGATAGTTAGAATGAATGAACATGAAAATCATTTAAATTATTTTCATAACTGGCTACATATTATACAGTGTTTCATAAACCAAAAAAGCTTTACATCAACACCCAGAATCACCTAGCAAATTATACGATAGTACAGACTGCTGTGGTAAGCCTTATCAGCACAATGTTCGAAGGATTCTGTATGCTGAAACAATGATGCCATGTCAGCGTCCTGTTGTTCAGTGCATAAGCCTCCAGTTTCCTTTATTCTCTGACAAAATTACAGAAAGCAATCAGCTTTTTTCTTTGATGGGAAAAAAGCAATTAGCTTTAAGTTCAACAAAACTGTCATGAAAGAGTGGCTTCGTAAGCGTGGATCAACCCTAAAGTTAAATAGCAGTTTCAACTATTTCCCGGTTTAGAAGCTCCAGAACTGGCTGTCGTCATGAAAGATTCACCACAACCACACTGGCCTTTAGAGTTCGGATTTATAAAAATGAACTCAGATCTGTCAGAAGAAGCAAAAGAAAATTATTAAATAGGGCACCCGAAAACAAAGCAAAGTAACACGCAAAGGAAAATTAGTTGATGCGGGGAGCTGAATCAAGCACGACATTCATAACATTCTCCCGGGTTCAGACATTTTTCCCTTGATGAAATCTGGGTCTGGATAGGTGGCGGCTACCCTCAAAAGCAATCATAACAAACAGCATGGGTAATGACAATATTCATGCCTTTAGGGATTCTATAATCAGCCACAAGTCATAACTAGCATTGGAAAATCACTGACCATCCTGAAAATTACATGTTAATCCAAGGTCTGGGCGGAAAATCACAAGTCACTCACTGCCAAAATATTCTGTGCCCACATGACAGAATGAAATCTGCCAGCATATCGGCACGGCAATACTAGTTCACTCACGCTACACATGCACAATGCAAATTAAAAAAGAGATGAATGAATATAAGTACCAAACACAAAGGGGAACAAAATTTGATCACGGTTGCAATGATAACATGTTTGGCATTCTATGTTCATCTCAAAATCAGACACAATTTGAAGAATATGAATGTTTTTCGATCTCCAAGCATCCAATTCCAAGGGGCATTAGAGTCAAGGAGGTGAAGAAAATTAATAACTGATAAGAAGTCAATTTCCAGTTATTTGCAATTGCATATGAAGTTCATAAATCAAGCATAAAGAACCTACCTCTTGCAGACTTCCACACCCAAGCACAACACAACAATTCCAATAACATAATGCAGTATTGAAGAAAACAGTTACCTTAGTTTGTCATCTACAAAATCCATCTTCGTCCCAATAACATGCATGAGAGCCTTTGGATCAATCAATATCTTCACACCCTTATCCTCAACCAACTCATCAAATTTCCCCTTGTCATCTGTCAAAACAACAGGAATTGCACGGCAAAAAGTTATAATGCATCCATCTCCAGCTCCCCTCAATTGAAAGGCATATTTGGCATAATATACGAAGGCAAACGCCCAGGAGGCTAAATTTTCATTATCTCAGTTATCTTCAAGGTATGCAAAATTCTTTATCTTATTTGAGAACAAAATCATGTCTGATCCATCGGAAACTCCACTAATATATGCTACTTGTTTAATTTATTTCTCCATAGACACACATCAAAGTGCAATCACTTTCATAATCTCAAATGAGTGTCTCCTTAAAAAATGACTTTCTTCAAACAGCCAAAATTCTCCTCTCAGAAGTCAGAATTAGAAACCTAGTTAACCACTTTCGGACTACATCAGTCAATGCATTATGTGTGCAACCAAAGATATAAAAAGAGCAAGCAAGGCCTGTCCCGAAAAATATGGAAACATCACCCTAATATGTAATAAATGCAGTTTCTCATATAAAAAAATTCACAATCCAGATCCAGATACTGCAGCACAGTAATCCGTGCCCCTCCGAACAGGAGAAAGTGTAAGCGTCATGGGAAACAAATCTTAAACATTTTTGGCAGGAGACAGCTAAAAACCAAACTCGTTAATCAATTCACCTAGTTTCAGAACATAATGAAGGTATGGTCAGAAAAACCAACATAAGATAGACCCAAGGTTAATCCATCGATGATGTGATATTTACGAATGACTATTACACCACAGGAGCAAAAGGAACAATTCCTAATTGATTCAGCCAGCTTAAGAAGAGAACAAATTCCTGATTATCGTGCATAGAATTGAGCCGAATTAGTTCCTGCTAAATAGTCATCACTTTCCTATTCCATTAAAAAAAATAAAAAGGCATGAACCGTAAAGAAATTCGCTAAGCATAACAAACTTGATAAAAAAAGAGGACATCGAGATCTCGAAAACAACAGGCATAACCGGAAATCATGAGAAATACCTGCATAATTCAGGGTGTATGTCAAGCCATTACAACCGCGAGCCTTGACACCAAGCTTCAGGAATGGCCTCTGACGCTGCTGTAGCAAGGAGCGTATTCGCGACGCAGCAGCATCGGTTAGGGTCACGGCTTGGCGTCGGACCGCCGTTCCAAATTTTTCTGCTGCAACCGCCATTGCCTTGGAAGCCATTAATCCTTTACAAAGGTGCCTCAGCCCTCCAATTAAAGCCCCTTTCTCTTGCGAAAAAGAAAGAAAGAAAGAAAAAATGCCGACCCTCAGCTCTAATTCGTAAGGTTGATTCCTTCGTCGATTAAATGACAGAAAGGTCCCCTTGATCTATTTCCCCGTTGGGCCCACGGCCCCCACGTTTTGCCTCGACAGTAGATTCTAGAACAATATTCCTTGTTTTGTTTTAAATTAGCACCAGATTTCGCATGGTTGCTTTCATTTTGAACGGTCTTGTAAATTCATCAACTCCGGATTAAAAACGTTAAGAGTGGCAAATACTGCATTCTGTCTTTGATGTAAAAATTCATTTAATTTTTATTTTAATCCTAAATATAAAATCTTAATTTATTTTATTTTTCAAACTTATTTATTTATTTTTAAAGTAGTTCTTGTAATAATAGTAGTTTTAGCCAATATATTTAATTAGTAAAAATATTTTAAAAAAGACAACACTTATTTATTACAAATAACTAATTTAACTAATTTTTTTAATTTACTCAAATTAGTTAATTAACTCTTATATTAAGGATCGGAAATAGTAATTAACTTCCATTATTGATAATTTGTTTAATTATTAAAAAAAATTAATGAATTGAGTTGTTTATATTAAATTATGTATTACCACTTAATCTTTTAAAAAGCATCTATATGGAGCTCTCCTTTAATATGTGTAATCAGTACTAATAGTTTTTAAAGGAATATAATTTTTAGAGACAAAATAAATTGAGATGATTAAAATAAATTCTTCAATTAGCTCATATATTTAGAATTAAGGGATATATTATTTATAATTTTTATTAATATTTTATATTGTAAAATTTAAATAATCTAAGAACATGAAAATAGTTTTAAATAATTTATTATTTAAAACTTTCTTCAACTACAGACTGAAATTTCAATTTCTATTTTTTAAAGTCATTTTTGAACGAATGGATGGGTTTAATAGTCCTTTGATTTAAAATTATAAAACGATTTTTTTTCTTTTTACAGTTTCAACATGCTAGTCAATACGCTATAACATTACAAATTATTTTACATTTATTCTTTTTTAATTGGATATCTCACTGAAAAAATAATTAATTCCAGTCCTAGTTAAAGATATTTTTGGAAGAACTATTAATTATGTCTTTTAAAACTAAAAATACAAGCGCCCTATGTTGGAGCAGTCCCGATGTTGGGAGCCCACACATGCTGCATTCCCCAATTGTTAAAAAAAAAAAAAAAAAAGGACGCCGAACTGGTTGGCCTCGCCTCTCAAGTTTTTCAGCGTTGCGGCCGAATTATCAACAAAGCGGACAGTGAAGGACAGAGCTGCCTACTCTGAAATACTGAGGGAGACTCAGTTTCCACAATTGGAGTTGAGCATTCAAGTGCTATTTCCGTTCTAGTGCTCTTCTACATTTTCAGGTCTTCATCTCTACAGCATTTCTTCTTGTTCCTAGCTGTAAAGATTTCTAGTTTGTTTATTGTTTCCCATAGAGTTTAGTTTGTTTTCTCCTCAAGTAGACTTTTGAACAGTTGTAGCTACATTTGCCCTTCGGATCTTTGCAGTTGATCCAGACCGAACATTTTTGAGCTTTGGCAGTCTTTAGATTTGCATGATGAGCTTTATTATGTGACCCTTTGTTGTAATCCTTTTTACTTGTGCCATTTCCCCTCTGGATGGTAAATTACTCGACTCGTATTTGATATATGAGTTTTTTGGTAGGCAGGAATTGGAAGGAAGAATTCTGGGCAAATCAAAGTTTGAATCCTCGGGCCTCTAGAGTTTTTAATCTACTGACGTGGTTATCAAAAGTTGGCCACCGAATATGGCAATTTGCGCGTCAACAAACTCTGCACCTATTAATACTCGAAGTTCATCTGGAATGCTAACTGTTCTTGGACGAAGGACATTGAATGAAATTTACCCGGCGAGAGCATGTTGCATGAAATTGTATGACAAACGAAAGTCAGTTTATATTCAGATTAAGTGCTCTGCTAATTCTCGTAGTGTCAGTCCTTATTATAGTCAAGAACCTTTCCTTGATCTACATCCTGAGGTGTCACTGCTTAGGGGGGAAGGAAACAGTGTAGGGAACAACCCAAGAAAGGATAATTCAAGTGAAGACGTCTCTGAGAGCTTAGGTGTTACATCTAGTCCAACTAGTTACAATGAAGCAAAGATCAAAGTTATTGGTGTGGGAGGTGGAGGGTCAAATGCAGTCAATCGCATGTTAGAGAGTTCAATGAAAGGCATAGAATTCTGGATTGTTAATACTGATGTTCAGGCCATTAGAACGTCTTCTGTCTTTCCTGAGAACCGTTTACAAATTGGTCAAGAGCTTACTCGGGGTCTTGGAGCTGGTGGTAACCCTGACATTGGGATGAACGCTGCCAAAGAAAGCAAAGAATCAATAGAAGAGGCACTTTACGGAGCTGATATGGTGTTCGTTACAGTAAGCTCAACTAATTCTTTCCAATTATAGCTTCTGCCAAGTGAATTACAGATTTAAATTATAAAATTTTCCTTTTAGTAGTTAGTCTTTACACCGTGATTTTTCTTTTCAACTGGCAACAAGTGTTTTAGCAGTTCCTAATTAACTGCTCATTATTAGAATACTTTCCTAGCCTTGGAAATTAAAGTTCACTCATGCAGGCTGGTATGGGTGGAGGTACTGGAACTGGAGGAGCTCCAGTTATTGCTGGTTTGGCAAAGTCAATGGGTATACTGACTGTGGGTATTGTCACAACTCCTTTTTCTTTCGAAGGAAGAAGGAGGGCAGTTCAAGCACAAGAAGGAATTGCGGCCTTAAGAGACCATGTTGACACTCTCATAGTCATTCCTAACGACAAGCTACTGAATGCAGTTTCTCAATCTACCCCTGTAACTGAAGCATTCAATCTAGCTGACGATATTCTTCGACAAGGTGTTCGCGGCATCTCTGATATCATAACGGTATGGAACCAGCCCCTTTCATTCTGACTTTCCCATGATCTCGGAATGTGATCAAGTGCCTTCCTATTGTTGCTGTATTAGTTTTGCTCCTTGAAAAATGGTGATTGGTGAATAAAAAGGGAATCACGTATATCATGTCCTTATTTGTTTTGGCATTAGTCCCTATCCAATCATTTTTAAGACCTGCATGAAGTTCTGTTAGTATTGCTGGTGCACGCAACAAATAAGATACGTTGGTAACTTAATAATTATGTTTCTGTAACAACTAACGCATATTCGTATATGCTTGTTGGCATAAAGTAGATTGATTTGTTGGCTCAATAATGTTGGAAGCAAGTTGATAATTTGAATGAACTTTTCACGTCTTTTATCAGTGGTGGATGCTTGTTGATAATTTGATGATCACACTGTTCTATTGTTTGGAAGTCCTGATTATCTACTGCCTATGATTTGAAGTCAATGATTCCTTCGTCCAACTCATTCATTCTCATTATTTATCCGGTTAATTCAATGCAGATACCGGGGTTGGTAAATGTAGACTTTGCTGATGTTCGAGCAATAATGGCCAATGCAGGTTCTTCACTGATGGGAATCGGAACTGCAACTGGTACGTACGGAAACTGGAAATGGGGCTACACTTAAGTCCTGAATTCCCAATCTTTTACGGGGCTTAAAGCATAATGCAATGATTGGAATCAGAACGAGCTGTTACTCCTGGGGGTTGCTCACTTAAAATTGTAGAATTTGTGTAGGGGGTTAGGGAGATGCTCAAACTGTACAAGAAATTTATGGTTTGCAAGCCCAATAGAGAAGGATTGTATAACCAGAGTGACAGTGGAAAGCATAGCCAGCTTTGTACAAAAGCTAATCATTAATATCAAACAAAATAATTTGAAGGGTTACAAAAATAACGATAGTCATGAATCATGCCAAATGGTTCTTGGAAATGTAACTTTCATGCCTTTCTGCATCACTTTCTTCTCATACTTTCTGAAGTACAATATGCAATTAAGGTGGTTTTTTTTCCTCGTTTTTTGGCTCATTATTGGCCAGCTCATTGTTATTAATGAATTGTCTGGCTCAATGAATCTATCTTCTTGTTCCTTTGTGTATTATAGGGAAAACAAGAGCAAGAGACGCTGCATTAAATGCTATCCAGTCTCCCTTACTGGATATTGGTATAGAGAGGGCTACTGGAATTGTATGGAACATAACTGGCGGAAATGATCTGACTTTGTTTGAGGTAGCCACCAAACCCACTGGTTCTTGCAGCATTATCTTTGCCATGCGTTTGTGTCATCAGTTACAATTCTGCATCCATGTTGTTTTCCCCTATCCTTCTCGATTTCTCTTTTCCTGTGTTCCTTTGGAATTTAGATCACCCAAGGGCTAGTAGATTTAGAGGCTTTAGGAACTGTATGTTGGTTATGAAAATTTTAAATCATTCAGCGCCATATGTGAATGACATTGAAAGTCATATTTGTTTTTCCTTTTATATGATATTTAAGTGAGCAAGAAAAATCTACAAGGTGGATAGAAACTTTTTAAGAGGACAATTTTCCTCCGTTCATTATTTTAATTCTAGTGTCTTCCATCATCATTAAGCCGGCATGTAGTTTGTGCAAACTTTGAATCAAGAATTGAGTGAGTTGGCAAACACTTGTTTGAGGCATGGTTGGCGTTCATGTCTTGGGTTGCTCTTAATAATAGCTCTGTACTTCCTGAACTGCCGTCTTGTGTTCATCATCTTCTTGCTATAAAAAGATCGACCTTTCATATGCTACAGCTGTTAATATTGTTATTTACAGGTAAATGCTGCTGCAGAGGTCATATATGACCTTGTGGACCCTGCTGCTAATTTAATTTTTGGAGCAGTAATAGATCCATCGCTAAGTGGTCAAGTAAGTAATGTAATTTGTATCTTACAGTAATGTTGTCGACTTCAAAACATGGGACCTTTCAAAGAAAAGAACCAAAACTAGTAGTGGGTGCATAGGTTTAAATTGCCGTAACTAGCATTTTGTTGCATGCATTAAAAATGAATGTTGGGTCAAGACCTTATGTTTATATTTTCACAATTACTCAGACTGCTCCTGATGTAATTTTTTTTTTTTTTAAAAAAATGAAACTGAGATCAAGGAGATAGAGATAAATAAAATGGTACTGTTCAAGATGTAACTGCTAGAATTTAAAGAAGATTCATGATGTAGGAGAGGTTGTTCTTTATAATTTGATTCATCAGTCTTGATGGTGCAGACATGTAGAGAATTTTATGCAAATTACTTCTTATATAATCTACCATCTATGGTTGTTATTGTTCCTCTAGTCCTGTAAACTTGCCCAATCATGAGTTTGTTGCCGCTGCTTATATTTGTGGCTTAATGCTTTCTTAACTTGCCTTTCTGAAACCGGAGTTTATGAATTTGTTATGATATAGGTAAGCATCACATTAATTGCAACTGGATTCAAGCGTCAAGAGGAAAGTGAAGGGAGACCCTTGCAGGTATGGCTCAACTCGTCCTCCTTATTTATGCTTACCAGTCATTCAGTTATCACTGACTCTGTTTTCTGTTCTAATCACAGGCAAGTCAGGTATCACAGGGAGATACAACTGCTGGTATCAACAGGCGACCCTCCTCTTTCAATGATGGTGGTTTGGTTGAGATCCCTGAATTTTTACGGAAGAAAGGACGCTCGCGCTATCCTAGAGCTTAATACAACTGCATCAAAGGAATACGAGCAATTTGCTTCAGGAATCAGGTCCCCGTTTTGCCTTTTGACGCCACATTTTAGGTCAGAGTTGTGCAATATGCATACAGTTTATTCATGAAAGCTTAGATTAGTGCTTTGGAGAGTTTGTTGTGCGCTTAAGCAGCGACATTGCAACGTTAGTGCTTGTTTAGTTGGCATATTCGAACAAGTAGTGTGAATGTAGAGAAAATGTTTCATAAATGATCAGAATTTGTGTGTTATAGTGCTCCAACATATTTTAAAATGATTAAAGTGCGATCGCTTGAATTATCAGTTCAGCAATTACTCTTGGAATTTATCCACTCAAGGTTATCTATGACATCGCCAATTTTTTTAAAAACGTTTTTATTGACGTCCGAGAAAAAAGAGAGAGAGCCAATTACAGGAGGCAGCTCACGCCTCACAGTTGTGCTTCTGTGAGCTTTCCGTCTCGTCCAAGTAAATCAGTTTACATAACTAAAGGCACTGCCTCAAAACAGGTCCAATGAATAAAAGTAAGCCTTTGGTCAACTATTTTGGTGTTACCGCATTCAACTAGCAGACAGACAAGTTAATGTTGAGGCTAAGTACTTATCATGAGATTATTTTTCACCATAACATTTTTAAGCATTTAGAATCTCTTGCTCTATTCTACCTATGAACTATGAAGTGGCGGAGAAGAAACATAATTGTTCTCTATCAAAGAGTCAAGATTGAAACGGACAGCTCGGCTGTGGGAGTGCATCAAATCAAGGTTCCCCTTGACCCTTGCAAGTCACAGTTCTTGAATTTATCTTCCCCCAATTAATGTCTGTCCACGCTTCTCATTTCCTACCCATGACCCTCGTGTTTCAGAACTCGCGTAGTTATCAGCATTTAAAGGTTTTAAACCAGATTAAAAAAAGAAACCAACTTGTATGTACTTTGAAAAAAAAAAAAAAAAGACTTTATATAGATGCATATGTAGTTTTTCTTTCCGGTGACATGAAGCATTACTGTTACTACAACCGGAAACTCTGAGCCTCTCAGTCTAAAGGAAGTATTAGATTCTTTTGCGTGTGATGATTCCGGTAATCTTGACAAAATCAAGATGTAAGTGCCAGTTTTTACAGAATCAATAAGAAAACTGGGGGAAAATGGCATGGAGGAGGAAAGAATCAGAGGGAGGGATCGAGAACCGACCGTGCAGTCCAAATTTTGGAAAAGGTGTGTTGCTTGTTGGAGCGAACACGCCCATGTGGACTCACTGGTCCACACTCACTTTCCTTTATTTATTGCTGACAACTGACCTCTACGTCACTCTCTTTCTCCAGCCATCTCTTCCGTTGTCTTCTCTAACCCTTCCATTATTCATTCAAACGCTTTCTTAATTACCTTATCTTCACAACTACTCACTTATTAGTTACTTCTCTTCACATTTTCAAGCTTTCAACCATAATTAATTAATGTGCAACTACAACGGTCAATTTTGTTTTCCACTAAATTCACTTTTTCTATTTTTATCCCAGTTAATTACATACTTTTTTCATTTTTCTCTTATTCTCTTTCACTCTCACATTCTTCATAAATAAAAATATAGTTAAAAAAAACACTATATTTCTCACGTGTTTATCCTGTTTAGCAAATTTAAGACAACTTCTTTACTTGCTATATATAAAATCAAATTAAGAAATATAAACACTCAATTCTTGCTGATAATTGTCCCGTTTACTTCACAAGGAAAGTTAACAAAAATAAGAATAAATAATTAACGTTGTTTTAACTTTTAAAATCGTGAATAAATAGAAATAAAAAGTTTTTGAAAGGATAGAATAGCAGGTTAGTGAAGTGATTTTATAATATGTTTAAACGAGAGTCAACGAAATATCTATGAGAAAAATCAAATCCGCGAACCCCATTCGTCTAAATCCACGAATCATAAATACTCAGGCAGATCAACGTCAACCTCGCAATGCTACAAAAGTCCATCCAAGGAATCCCTCACTATCCTTTTTTCCTTTTTGAAAAATAATAAAATTTCTTTTTCAATTTTTTTCCGCGGAGAACTTGCGAGTTATAAATAATCAGCCACACATTTCAGAATAATCCCAACCAAAAAGAGACACGTACCTTTGTCATTTACCATTCAAAGCGCAAAACCTCATTGTGGGTGACGTGCAAACTAATTTCCCACCCATTCCTCTTTGCTTTATTCCCCACACATACATTCCCACCGCTCCAGCTTGCCATATCTCTTCTCTTCCGCGTCATTTCATTATCCAACACCGCTCACACATGAAGGAGAAAACCCATTTCATGGCTCATCAACCTTCTGTTTCTGCAAAACCTGATGACGAGGTGCCGTCTCAGATTCGGCCACCCTGCCAATCTCAAGATAGTGAGAGTGATCATAAGGATGAAACAGAGTCTCAGGCTCAGAACCTATGGGCTTCAGAAACGTGTGTCTGCGATCGGGAGAAAATGGCATTGCCGGCGATGGGTTCTGACTCTGCGGAGGAAAGTGGGAGAGAGAAGCTGAAGAGGCATAGAGGGGAAGTGGCGGGAAGGGTATGGATTCCTGAGATATGGGGCCAGGAGGAGCTGTTGAAGGATTGGATTGATTGTTCGGCTTTTGATGCTCCTTTGGTTCCGAGCAGGATCATGACGGCGCGAGCAGCTTTGGTTCGAGAGGGTACGAGAGCCAATGCCGAAGGATTTAGAATAGAGAACAGGTGTTGAATTTTCATTTCTCTGTAATTCAGTTTTAGCAATGAGCGTATATAGACAATGATGCTTTATCAGTCCCTCACTTCTGTCGTAATTCTTTTTGTTATTTTATGCATACTCCTTTTAGCTGTTTATTGGATAATTCACCAAAACAAAGCTTCACGATTTAGCCAAACTTTCAAACTTCAGATTACTGAACATAATGCAATTAATCAGCTCCTGCACTTTCAGCAACGTTGTTGTTTGAAATTTAACAAAATTTTCATGTAGAAAATTGTCTGCATCGGATTTTGTTTTTATTTCAATACAGTTGCAGAATTTCAAAGAATGAATAGCTGAAACTTAGAACTAAAATCACGTTAGTCTGAAACCCAGTGGTATCACCAGAAGAGATTGCGTAGCGGAATCGGCTGAGCTTTTTCTTTTTAAAACCAAAAAAAAAAAAAAGTTACTTATACTTATTATATTCATTATGTCAAATTTTCTGATTATTAGCATTTAATTATAAATTTATTGAAATAAAAAAAGGAACATGACTATGTGTAATTGAAAATTTTGACATATATAAATAACTTGATCTAAGTTTTTTTTTCCCACTAAATAAGTTCCGTCCTCTAATAGCATTCCTTCTCCCGAAAGCAAAGAAGGTTTTTCCATTACTAGGAAAATGAAACTATAATTATTATAAATAACGAGGGGGCTTCCTCACTTCTCGCATGAAATTCTTTATTTTGACAGCAGCCTCTTCTAGGCACAGGGATTGTGGAAGCGATCACTTTTATCCCTTTTAGGAAGTAATTTTGCTAAAACAAAAAAAAAAAAAACGAAGTAATTTTGCGGCAATAAATTAAATCAAGCCTTGGCCAAAATGAAAAAGTCAGACCAACTCTATTAGATGTGCTTGAACCAAAACCATCTAATTTTAATAGTAATAGTACTAGTAATTTACAGTCAGACCTGAATGAATACAATTCTTGCTTATTGAGAAATACTTAACAGGCAGAAACAAAACTACGAAAACGCCTGCTAATTTCTACTATCACGCTTCAGCAGTATGAATATTTTTCTTCTACTGATACAGAATATGTGCAAAACTTGAATCAGCGAAGTCACAGTGATAGCAGCTCCCACACTTTGATAGTCCCATCATCGCTTGCAGAGGCTAGCAGCCGCTTCTCCTAATAAGCACCAGAATACAAGAGACTTCCATGAGGGAGGAGACTGTAAAAGGATGCCTAGACTGATAGATACAGCGGAAGTAACTCATCATTGTTTGCAAGTTCAAACGAGTCAACTTTAATCCCGCCGATTTCTCCAGTGCACCTGGGGCACTGATACCATGCATTTCGGAAGCTCTATTAGCCATAAGATGTGCGTTAACCTTTTGATATTTGATTCAATGGTCAATAAAGCTCCCAACAAGGTAGGGTACCAGTGCCTTAGGAACATAGAGAATCAGCCCGTACTTGGAGAAACCACTTAATCCTTGCAGGTTTAGCATAATTGTAACAATAAATTGTATGCTTTATTAGACAACCCTGATTATCGCCTCAAAACTAGTAATAGAAGAGCCCCAATTTATTTTTCTATATTTCATGATTTAGTACCTTAAAACTAGAGTGATCGCTTGAGAGATCATTCATCGGACCAAGACTCTATTAACTATGGTCCAATATTATCACTGGAATCCTACCACTCCGCGTACATGGAAAGAGTTATGTTCAACCTCAATGTTATACAATCAAAGCAGGGTCTGAGAATCATACCCCAGGGCTCCATTGCACCGAATTTACATCCATGTCATGGGCCTTCTCCTTCTTCAGCAGTAATTTATAAAGAGGACCGCCATCAACCTTTTACAAGCAAGTGGCAAAATAAGCAAAACTTACCAGCTACCGTGATGAATTTAATGCATTTAGAGCGCCCAGGCATACAAACTTAATAAATTTAGAGCGCCCGGGCATACAAAATTGATAAATTGAAAGAAAGGAAGAATTTGTTGCTTTTGCTCCCTGCTAATGTACAAGTTGAAAATTTTCAGGAACTCAGAAATCACCGTACATTATATGACATCATTTCTGCATAACAGCCTCCCAAAAATTCAAAACACCCTAAGATTAAAACTTCTAAGAAACAACTAAATGAGTGCACATGCAAGTCCAGAAAAGCGAGGAGAAAAATTATGGAAGATAACTATATCAAGAAGACAAGAGACATGTATGGAAATCTCCTGTTCTTGTAATTTTGATCAATATTTTTGGTAGAAAGGCATCACATGCGAATATTCAAAAAGCACAACACAGTCTAACAGAGAAACTCAACTCAGATAATTGAAGTCGCAAATACAGCATATTCATTCGGCTAATCATTTTTCTCTGCCCTAAGACTAGAATCATTCCAAATATATTTTTTAATGCTACTCTCATAAGCATATGTAAAGGAGTTAAAAGAAAGCAAATCAGGGTAAGGCAAACCAATAAATATTGATTACAAATGACATAAACAATGACTTAAGAATTTGAACCGTTAATGTTTTAGGATGACTGTGAAACCAACAAATACAGCATCCTTGCCCATCCCAAAAGAAAAGAATAAAATATTTCCATACCAGGCTTTCATTATTCTCCACAAAAAGTCGTATACAATCATCGGCTGCTCCGCTGGCAATGATGCCTTCTCTGTCATACATGCAATGCAGGACAAAGCATGACCAGAGTTATCACTAATATGCTATCTTGATATAAGATATGAAGTGCATGAGTCTCTATTCATCTTGCTTTCAATTATTAACAAAATTAAGAAAAGAATGCGTGGTTTTAAACTGAATTAGCAGAATGTCACAAAATTGTCCTTTTATTTTTCCCGCATGCAGAATTGTCAGCAAGCAATCCAAACGTGGGCACTGGCAGAACTACCCTATAATGAAAGTGGTTGTCTTGACCCCGCCATTCATCTAATCTAAATTTAAGCCCTTACTAATTGGGACGCCTGCCTTTTCAAAATGCAAACTATACCAAATAAAATTATCAGTGTTGAACAGTTCTGTGCAAATAAAAGAAAATTTATACATGCCAAAACAAGGGATACAAGTTTCATCCTGGTTAAATAAGATGCAACTACCTTGACCAATGAACTGAGAAAATTGTCCGATCATGATATCCTGTAAGAGTGCAAAGATGTCTCCTGAAATTCCCCAAAAAAGAGTTATTATCGTCCAGCTGTTATACTGACAGGCTGCTCTTATTGTCAGTTTGCAAATCTCAGGAAATGCCAACTTCCTATGAAATACACTCACATGTGTACAGTTACATCACACAGCTTCACACTGAGTAACCCAAACAATAATGTGGTTAACTAAAAGCAATTATTGTGATACTTAAATAGCATGATTTTCCCTCTTACAAGCCAATTTTTAAGGGTGAGTTTCCTGTACTGGCTTAGATGTCTGTTAATTGGTACTAAAGCTTGATCGACCTCCAAAGGAAGGGCTAAATGTGAAGGATGCGATCAAGAGGGCCAAGTGAGTGCCATAATATGCAAATATTGAGATCAAGAGGGCCAAGTGAGTGCCATAATATGCAAATATTGAGATAGTCAACTCCAAGGGGCAATGATATGATGGAGTCCCATATTGGGTAGCCACAAGTAATTTTTGTGGTACTTAAGAGGCGTGGTTCTTTCCCTTTAAGAGCCTGAATCTTTAAGGATAGGTTCTCCATGCTTGCTCGAGCCTTGATCACATTACAACATCTAAAATATATGAATTATCAAATACGTATTCTGTGATTCTTTCCCAGAGGGGATAAATTGGTGAAAAGAATGCATGTTTCTTACCAAGGAGCAAATTCATTTCCGGATTGCATTCTTATACTGTCTGTTTCCCACAACTTCAGGGTAAGATCATCACTGCCACAAGCAGCAAGGATCAGAATGCTATAGAAAGTCCAGAAAAAGGCCAAAATGATTCCCGGAAATGAATGAGAGGCAAATTATACATACCTACACGTAACCATTTTGTCTCCACTAGCATTGAAGGAGAGAGCCCAGACCGTAGAAGTATGACCGCTAACAAACAACACAATTATATAAGAACAAGCTTTGTTTAGGAAAGCAGCCAACCTATGAATAGCATAAAAGATAAATGCAAGCAACAAAGACACGGAAAACTATATCAGGTTTAAAAGAGAATTTAAAAATAAAAAATAAAAAAAAATAAAAAGCTATAAAAGTGAAGCGAACAACAAGATGGGTAAAGATATGTTACTTATTAGGTTCTCCTAGAGTCTGGACACACTGCCAGTCATCACTGTCACCTTCATCTGCCCAAACCTGGAAGCAACATTAATTAGCTCATAATGTAATCACACTATAATGAAAAGAATGGTAAAAGTATATCAACAAAGCGCTTTTTGGCATATTCATTACCTTAATATTATTATCATAGCTACACGAAAACAAAATATCCATTGTTGGATGCCACTGCACCATCTTCACATCCTGTGCATGTCCTTGCAGCACTGACACACACTCAAACTCATTACCTGGCTGCACTTCCCATATCCAAACAGATTTATCTCTGCCACATGTTGCAAGCAGAGATCCAGAAGCATTCCAACATACGCTCTTCACTTCATTTTCATGACCCTGCATACAAAATAAAAAGCAAACAGAGCAGACAATTTTAGGGTTCAAGAGAAGAGCAATTATTGATAAATAAATACATTAAAAGGAAAACATAACGATGATGTCCATAGAGAATGAATTCTTCACAGTAAACCGATACCTCCAGAGTAGAGACACACTCAAAATCACCCCCCACGTTTTCCCAGATAGCAATGGTAGCATCAAAACTGGCAGTAGCCAAGAGTTTTCCAGATGGTGACCAAGCACACGATCGAACTGTTCTAGTGTGAGTTTCTTCCAAAACTGCCTGCATTTTAATCAGACTCTTAAAATTTAGAAAGTTCCACAAATCAAAAAAGAGAATTACACTTAACATAAGATATACTCCAGCCTTACTAAAAACGAGATTTCTTTTATGTATATTCTCAGTGATTCACATGGAAAGGCCATGTCTTGACCACGTTATCTCGCCCGCGTGGTTTTCCTTCGCCAGGGCGAGTAAGACTAGACCAAAAGGCCTTTACCGGATAGTTAAACAGGAAGGCAGTCCAAATTCCTAGTTTTTAGCAATGATCAATGGCGAATTAATATTATAGCCGAAGCAATAAAAAATGATACACTTGGTCAACGAGGAATCAGTGGGAAAATAGAAAGTCGCTAGCTAATGGATAGTAGCTCGTCCAAGTTGATCATGCTGACTGTTTAGCTCTACACAGCAAGCTCGCCTCTTTTTTCCCCGTTGACACTCATTTTAGACGATATCAGACCAACAACTCTTTAGTTTTCTATGTTCCCAGGTTAGTAAATGCTTTTTCTCCTCGATTAACCCAAGATTTTGGGACAAAGCATTAAAGCGGATCCTCCAATTCACACAGGACAGGAAGAATTCAGAAAGAGCAATAAAAAAGAACCTTGCAGGCCCAAAGACCAGTGGAGAGATTCTGCTCCCAGATTCGAACGGTTTTGTCCCCACTACAGGAGGCGAAGACATATGGAATTCCAGAATGCCCAGTAGCAGGGTTCCATGCCAAGCTCCAAACCCTATCGGAATGACCTTCTAGTGTCTGAAACTCCTTCAGTTCAAAACGTCCATTGAAGCTCTCCATCGAAACCAAAGAATAATCACGGAAAGAGGTTCGAACTGGGCCTTTAGTAATCCCTCCCCGCTTTCGCCGTTCTTTTTCTCTGCTTTTTGAGGGATTAACTATTATTTTAGAGTAAACTGCTACTTGCTTGAGGAACCAGCAATTTGTTTATTGTCCGCACAACACGCGCGGGAGCGTGGAAATTAGGAGGCCGGAACAACGGAAGTCGAAACTCTGAAAGCACGGAATGGTGAATAACCGGCGCCGCTGATGGAGGAATATGATTTTATATTGTTCAGTTTTTATTTAGGAAAAATCGTTAAAAAAAAAATTGTAAATAGCAACCCCTTATAAGATAGTATTGGCTTTGATAATAAATAAATGATAACAATGTTGTAAAAAGTCTCTGTAATTTTTAATTTTTTTGCGATTTTTCCTTCTATCTACCCATATCATGATTTTTGAATATTTTATTATTAGCAAAAAATTGGATGGATACGCAAATTATGTTTTGAAGATTATAAGGGGTTCACAGAAAAGGGCAAAAAACCTGATATGATAACAGTATCGGATAGAGTCCGCGTAACAAAACACCGTATAACCGTGATCTCCAGTGGAAAATGTTATCTTTTTATATATCTAGGACTTAGCAATTTATAAAAGGTTAAGGTGCACCCAACACCCCGAACTATTTACCCAGGTGCGTCCAGTGGCCTAAAGTAATTTTGGGTGCATCCAATGTCCTAAACTAATTAAAATGGTGCGTCCATATCCCAGGCTAACAGAAATGTTATGTTTAACTGTTACTTTCCTGACTTAGCTTAAAGTTGACCCCAGATATTTTACATGATAAACACATGGGCACCCAATGTGTATTATTCTTACTCAAAAGTCAATTTATTTAGAAGAAGAGGAAGGAAATAAATTCAATTTTGAGTAAGAATAATACATATCAAATGTCCATATGTCTATCATTTCGAATATCTGGGGTCAACTTTAAGCTGAGTCGAGAAAGTAACAGTTAAACATAACATTTCTGTTAACCTGGGATATGGACGTACCATTTTAATTAGTTTAGGATACTGAATACACCCAAAACTACTTTAGGCCACTGGACACACCTGAATAAATAGTTCAGGATGCTGGGCGCACCTTAACCCATTTATAAATTGTGGCTGTGGGGATATATGTCAGACCTTGGTTTGAATTAACTTTTTAAAAATGATTTGACGTGAAAAGAATTTTATCCTAATTTATACAAAGATACCTTTTTAATTTATCGTGGAAGGTATCCAAACTGAGCTTCTAAATCTGGCCGCAGACAATTTCTTCCTCATCTGTGGAAGCAACCCACCAAGCTCGTCCTGCCCAGAAGTCTAGAAAAATTTATTGATGGCCGCCCGTGAGTCGGCCTCCATATGAGTAGACAAAAGAAAAGTTTTGCATAATAACGTTTGTAAGCATGAACGCAAAGAATGATACTCCTCTAGTCCTCTGAGTTAGTTTTAATCTTAAATATAAGACACATTTCTCATATTTATCAGTTTTCTTTAAATTATCCTTATGGATACTCTCTCAATCATAATCAAGTAAAAAAAGGAAAAGGATATTAAGAAAGATGATTATGGTATTTTAAGAAATATGTGTTACTTTTCTTATAACTAACTAACTTACCTAACTTCCTTAATCTAATCAAATTAGTTAAATGGGTTTTATATTAAGAATCAGAGGAGTACATCCTAGTAAAGACCCATCTAATGGGTGTATTAAAAGAACTAGCAATGTAGCAAGTCCTTACTACCTCCGTTAGTTAATACTACCTCCGGTCTTTAATATAAGACCCTATTTGATTTTTATTTTGATCATAAATATAAGACCCAATCCACTTTATTTTTTTCAAGATAGTTATTGTAATAATGTTAGTTTCAGTCAATACATTTGATTAATAAAGATATTTAAAAAACACAACACATATTTGTTACAAATAACTAATTTAACTAATTTTTTAATCTATTCAAATTAATCAACTGTTATATTAAGAATGGGAGGTACTTCTTGATAGTGCGTTAGACATAATTTTTGTTGTGTTAGGGAAGAAAACTCATCCATGTGGAGAGAAGACGTGCGATGAATCAGCGCTAATCTAGCACAGACTAGCAGTGCAAACACTTCTCTGTTTCTACCCAATTATTACTGTTATTAAATTTAAAATCCAAATTCCTTCTCTCGTTTGTTTTCAACAGATTTGTTTAATGAAATATAAACGCACATCTCTGCTAATCCAAGATAAAACCAATATTGGCCTTAACCCTGCTTCTCGCCGGTCATTTTGTGGAACAGGAGATCCGGAACCCTAGAGCACAGATCAAAAGGAAATCCAACCAAAAACAAGGTCCTCCACCATGGATTCTGCTGCTCGACGAAGCAGAGGCGGCCTTCTCGAAGGTCTATACAAGGTGATTATGCGCCGGAACTCTGTATATGTCACCTTCATTATTGCCGGCGCTTTCCTCGGAGAACGGGTGAGTTCTTATTCTTTGAATCTCCTCGCGACCCCCGCTGAAATATTTCTTGGTCGGACCACTCACTAGGAATAGGTGCTTAACGGGTGTAACGAGCTCAAATTAAAAATTGCCTTTAAAAAATTGTTCTCTCTTGCTCTGCCTGGTAATTTCCATCCTTGACCACCGACCATAGAAATGAGAGAAGTCCCGTTTGTTGGTTGCGAACGGGTTGCAGCGAAGATTACGTGTTATATTAGGAGGGAAAAAGTTGTGTAATATACCATGCTTTTGGTTTGAAATGAGTTTAGAATATAAAGCAAGGCTGGGAAGTAGGATTTGGAAGGATATACCCATGAATCCCCGGACTTAATAAAAATGTAGGAGGTTAAAGTTTACCTTGCGATTATTGGATACCTCAATTGTGGCTGCGAAATTTCGGCGGAAGTTAAACGAATGTGGTTTATGGTGTCTCTTCGTTGGGGGGAAGCACTATGATTGTCCCATTTCAATAATTGCATTCTTTTTATCATAAAGAGGGTTTAATTTTTAACGACAATCAGTTCACAATTTCTATGGAAACCCGTTCTGTAAGCTTACTTAAGTATAATCATGAATTTTATGTTATTAGGAGTTCCCTTTGTCTTCTTTTGTATTGATTTATTACCAGCTTCCTTTGGTTTCTTTGATTCTGGTTTTTGCAAGGTGAATAACTAAGAACTTGCGTTTCTTGACTGCAGGCTGTGGATTACGGAGTTCACAAGCTCTGGGAGTACAATAACGTTGGGGTACAGAATTTGTTTAACTCACTATATAATTGTCATTTGGAATTTTTGAAATTAGATGTTTGCTTTGTTACTTCAGAGGCTTCATTAAAATGCGTGTTTTATTTGCAAAAATCTGTAGAGTTGATTGAAGAACGTCTGTAAAAAAAATTTCCACCCGCAGGGACGATTAACCAAAAGAGTGGTTAATTTTTATGTCTATCCACCGATCATTAACCTAGTTAAATCACTTCCATGATTGATCGTTTAAGGTGGCTTAGATATGTGTAAAGAAGGCCACTAGAAATGCCGGTGAAGAGAGTTAAGGAAATGGCCTTTAACGTTATAAAGAGATATAGAAGGAGACTAGGAAGGGGCTTGAAGGAAGTTTTCAAACAGAATCTCTGGGTACATCATATAATTGCAGAGTTAGTTGTTGATTAAATGATAATCCCATGTAATTTATGGAACCAATCTTACAATAAGATAAGGCTTGTTATTCTACTGGTAGCCAATTTTTTTGTTTCTTCTAACTTATCTGAAGCATTGAATCGTGTGCCTGAGAATTATTAGTTTCGAGCGTCTGTTGCTTTGGTTGTTCTTTTGGTTCCTTGCCAAAAAAATGGATTCCATGTTTGGGCTTATTTTGATACTTTCCTGGAGGTGCCTGCATCTGCATTCCTGCATGTCAATGCGAATGAATGTTGTTGTCATGTTGTTGTAATCCTTGCTCATTCCTTTTGCATCTGTAACATGAAATTTCTCAAGGTGATGAAAGTCGGACACATTATTGGTGTGCTTTCACTGGATCCAACACTTTATCTATAGATCTCTTATGTTCAGTATAGATCTCTTATGTTCAGACTATGTACTGTGCTGTGGGAACCGTCCTTCGGAGGAAAAGGACCATGAAATAAAGGCATTGTAAATGATAATTTTTGCTCGAACCTAAACTGTTTATTTTGGCCGTTAACTCTAACTCCCTTTTTCTCCTGCTGCAGAAACGATACGAAGACATTCCTGTGTTGGGGCAGAGGCAATCAGAGGAGTGATTTGTTCGACCATCTTTTTGACCTTCTGTGAGTTTAATACCTTGGAAATATGGGTGTGAACATCAACAGCTCTATGGCAATTTCCATTCCTGCAATAAGGTCGTACGCTTGTTTTTGGTCTTGGCTCCCAAATCATCATCTCTGTTGTTGGATTTAGAAATATTGAAATAGTCCTTAACAGACTTTTGTGTTTCCTGAACGAATTTGTCCGTAAAATTTTGGATTATGCAATTAACCAGCTCACTTTCAGGAAGTTTGTGTTGGGCTCATTTTTGGTTGCATATAAAGCTAGATAAACCATTCGGAAGCCGGTTTTTTGTACATGACATCGGTCGGGTAACTGAATAACTAACACCAAAGCACTGAGATTCATGAGTCAGTAAGAAATGGGTGTACTGTGCGTGATTTATGCGTTGCCTTTACCTATATCCAAGTTCGGATGAGGGGGGGGGGGGAATATTTGTAACAATTTTTATCATTTTAAAAAACAATTCATTGGTATTACCGCATTTGGATTCGGGGACAGCTGAGACTAAGAGCCCCTTTGATTTCTTATTTTTAGATTAGTTTTTTAAAAGCAAAAAAATTTGTTTAAAAATGCGTTTTTGTTATGTGTTTTGGAAAACAATAATATTTTAGTAGAAAAATGAAAAATGCAGAGCATATTTTTATATCTGGTTACTATTTGTTCAATAAAATTAAAGAGCCGGAGAACATATATATGATTGTTTTAAGAATTTAATAGAATCAAACAAGTAATAAGTCGTTGGTTAAGATGGTAAGTAGTTTCATCTTCATAAAGACAGGAATACAAATTCGAACTTCAGAAGATATTGGTTTTAAGTTCAAAATGACTTAGGGAAGCTATGCACCAATAATAGAATCAAGCAAGTATTGCATATTTAGCTTTTATAGTTTTCTCTGTTTTTGAATGTGATCTGTATTTTTAAAACAACATTATTAAAATCATGCTGGTTTAAATAATTCTTAATTCGACCTCTGTTATCATATTTGTGGTAATGCAGTCTCACACTCACGCCAACAGTTAATTCATTGTTTAGCGGGAACTAGTGTGTAATTTTACTTCATTGTGTATGCACGCAAGTATAGATAGGTATTTCGAAAGAGCTGATAATCTTCGACCAAAAATATCGGAGCCCATACTTTTAAAAAATTGATTTCCCAGGATATGATTTGTTTGGTCTTTGGGGGGGGGGGGGGGGGATCAAAGTGAACGAAACTGATTGGTTTGACGTAATTATGATCGGCGCAATCCCCTGGTAAGATTTGTTTGATTGGGTTTTAGGGTTGACTTGGTTTGATTTAAATAGGTTTAGTTTGAGTCCTACTATAATAAGATTTTATAATATATATTGCATTTATATTATTTGTTAAAATTGATATTAATAATTTTTTTGCTAATGTTAAATTAGCATTAAGAATACTAAGCAATTCAATCACTTTAAGGATACTTTTTACTTACTCTCACGAGCCAATATTTTTTATCGTCTATCCCAAAAAATTATTGCTTGGAATTGTGTCAGATCAATCAAAATTGAAGGAAATAGGACGGAATTGGATTCTCTCCACTGCCTTCCCATCCTCTTCCCCTCCACTATCTTTTTTTTCTCTTCATAACCATTAGATTAAAATTTTAATGGTCCAGATTTAACATCTTATAAAAATAATGTTATTAAAAAAATAAATAAATAAATTTAAACTGTTAAAATCTGGTTTGAACAGTATACACTTGTAATAAAAAAATTAAAAAAAATTTGTTCTATAATAACAGTTTGTAGTTATGAACTGTTCATATTAGATTTTAACAGTTTAAATTTATTTATCTATTTTTTTATATATTTATTTTTATTATATAAATTTATAAAATATTAAATATGGACCATTGGAGTTTTGATCCAATAGTTGTGAGAGAAAAAAAGGATAGTGGAAGAAAGAGGATGGGAAGAGTAGTGAAGAGAATCCAATTCTGAAATGGGACAACATCAATTGATTTTAATATTGAGAAAAACTAAACCAAAATCTTTCATTTCATTTCATTTATTTTGGTTTGATTTGACTTACCTAATTCACTGAGTTGGCAAAAAAAATTATTTTATTGATGATTTTTTATACCGCAAGGATTTAATTGAATTTGCCCAGAAAAAGGTTTAATTGCAAATTTTTAAATAATTAAGTTGAAACTATACTACTCTATAATTTACCCAGGAAGAGCACTGGCCTAGGGTTGTATGAGAACAACGTTGTAACGTTGAGTTCCCGCCGAAACTCCAGCAGCGGTCTTCCTTGTCCGGCTAGGGCTCCATCTAAGGTGGGCGCTCTGACTATTCACACACACAGCTGGTCGACATTTTTGGGTCTGATTATATCAAAAAAGAGAAGAAAATGACATAGTTGCGTCTCAATGCACTAGTGCAAGTGGCCTTAAGAGATTGAATGATTTTGTTTAATAAGATTTCTGGTGTTTTCTTGTTAAAATTGCAGAATAATCCACGCACGAGCCGCTCAAGAAGGAATTATTGACCATGAGGTAGTAACCAGCTATGATTTATCTATTCTATAAGCTTATTGTCATTTTTTTTTTATAGGCAGTGCGATGTTCCACCGGAGAGTTTCATCTTTTTCGTTGAAAGTAAAATAAGGATCATCAATTGCTGAAGTTTGGCCTTTTGAAGAGTGTTTGCTCTGAACTGAAACGTGAATTACCTTAGTTGTAGGCTTTTTCTTGTGCAATCCTCTCCCATTTCCCTTTAGTCTTTGTTCTGTCATTGCAAAGTGATTTTCGTTGAACGTGCATCAATTTCAGTCCTTTTGTTTCGTTTTGTTTTTCTTTTTCACATTATCCTCCTTCGACTTTTTGCCATTTTGGATCCTTTTGATGATTTAATAGCCATTGTTTTACCTGGACTTACATCAATACAATTCTGATTTTTCTAGCTAATGTATGGAGATCACATATAAGAAGTGTGCTTCAAGAATTCTGATTGTTAGTGGTATGACTGCAAATTTACGGATTTATTGTTATTTCTTACTGTCAGTAAGCTGCAGAGTGATGGACTCAGAGAGGCCATATCCCAGGTTGTTGCCAATTCAAAGGAGAAAAATCGTAATTTCACTGAGACTATTGAGCTGCAGATTGGATTGAAGAACTATGACCCTCAGAAAGACAAGCGTTTCAGTGGCTCAGTTAAGCTCCCTCATATTCCTCGCCCTAAGATGAAGATTTGCATGCTTGGAGATGCTCAGCATGTGGAAGAGGTCAGCAACTTGTTCCATCATTTTCCCCAACTTTTATTGGGCATCCATAACACCTGACTCTTGCCAGTTCACTATGTAATATGTTTACTTTGGATGATATATATTGGAGATATTCTCAGGTTCTGTTATTTATGAGGTCTCTTTTATGATATTTACCTCAGGCGGGAAAAATAGGACTGGACTGCATGGATGTGGAAGGGCTGAAAAAACTTAATAAAAACAAGAAGCTTGTTAAGAAGCTTGCCAAGAAGTACCATGCATTTTTAGCATCTGAGGCCGTCATCAAGCAAATCCCTCGTCTTTTGGGCCCCGGCTTAAATAAGGCTGGCAAGTAGTTTCATTTTCTATGTCTTAAATACCTCTCTTTGAATACTTAAAAATGTCTCGTGTTTGTTCTACTCTGTCTCAAGTCTGCTTCTGTACGTGATTGAAAATGAGCTGTCGCCTCCTAGGAGCATGACATAGAAGTTTTTGACACAGTTTTAATGGGGAATTTTAAAAAAAGTTAGGTATTGTCTATTGTCTTCTGATGAGACGCATGTGGAAAAATTTCTTGTTGAGCATTCCCTTTATCCAGAACCAGCAGTATTTTTGCAAGAGGAATGGTTATAATTGCTTTATTGGCAACATTAGGGATTCTTCAAGTCTTATTGGCCTCCCTTTTTTCTTCAGTCAGTTAATCAAACCTGAGAAATTTCTGTCGCTTATTATGTTCTAATTGTCTTAATTTTATTTGTGAGTCAATGAATGCTGGTCGTCCTGTAATGAAACTATTGTTACTACCGTCAGGTTATCACTGGCTGTGACAGTGGGAAATTTAAACTTCATTCTTGAGGAATTTGGATCTCTATATATATTATTTGTGAATGCAGGTAAGTTTCCAACACTGGTGACTCATCAAGAATCCTTGGAGTCAAAAGTTAATGAAACAAAAGCAATGGTGAAGTTTCAACTTAAGAAAGTTCTTTGTATGGGTGTTGCTGTTGGAAACTGCACAATGGAGGAGAAGCAGATCTTCCAGAACGTACAACTTAGTGTCAATTTCCTGGTTTCCTTATTGAAGAAGAATTGGCAAAATGTAAGTTGAGAGACCTTGGACTCCATGTCTGAATATGGGATTATCATAAGTTGGGTCCACTACACTAAAATCCATAGAATTCATGGTTAACTTTGCTAGATGGAAAGAAGGCCACAAATTCAGTGCTTGTGTATTAATGTGAGCTTGTTTTTGTTTGTTACTTTACCAAAGGGAAATTAGTGAATATGTTCTTTTTCTGCTCCAAATAAAATTATATATATGTAAATGGGGGTTGTGGTCTATGCTAAACTCACTGGTTTTCTCTGCTGAATCCTGCTTTGACAACTATCTAGGCAACTGCTGGTTCAGCCTGATGGGGTTTGTCAAGATTTCAGAGGTCTAATTGAGGGCCGGATGCCCGGATTGGGAGTTTTGAAGTGGTTACAGGGAGGCAACCCTCGCTGTTGATAAAATACTTTAATGAAAAAACACAGTAACCACTCCCTCCTGTTTGCAGCAAGGAAAAAAAAACCGGACCGGACCGGCCGGTTCAACCGGAAAACCGGTGAACCGGTCACCAGTCCGGTCTGGTTCACCTAAAAAACCGGCCCACAGTTGAACCGGTGGAAAACCGGTTCAACCAGTCAAAACCGGTGCTGAACCGGTAATCACCGGTTACCCGGTTCACTTTTTTTTGACTGAAGTTGAACCCGTCGTTTTGTTAAAAAAAAAAAAACTCTCAATGAAAATCTCCTTCGGCCCTCACTCTCATCTAGCTAACCAACTTCGCCTTCGATCTTCTCATCTTCCTAAATCTGAAAATCTCCTCCCCCCAAATTGCAGAATCGCCTTGCTCCTTCTCCCAGATTCCAACCTTTCCCTCCACCGGAATCCATACCTTCACTGACGGCGGACCTCCTAGTTGGGGCCATTCACCGACAGATCTCTTGCTTCGCCTTTGCCGTTCACTAGCATCGTGCTTCCCTGTCGCAGCTCAGATCGCAAGTCGCAGCTCAGATCGCAAGTCGCAGCTCACTGGCGTTATGCTTCAAGGATGTTCTGCTTCGCCTTCGTTCACAGAAGCTTCACTTTGGTCTGTGCGTTGAGGTATATTATGATAAAATTATAAAAGATAAAAACTAGTGAATGTTCAGCTTGTGGGTGAACATCTGCTGTCTTGTTTCCATGGTAAAACTCGTGCAATTGCTGAATTGCATATTTGGTGATTAACTACAATTTCCATTTGCTTCAAAGTGTTGGTAAAGTGTTGTATTAACTATTAAGTTTGAATTGAATTGTACCAGAAAAAAGTATGAATTGAATTAATTCAAGAAAATTTTAAATTTGATATTATGATAAAATTATAAAAGATAAAAATTTAATTTTTAAGATATGTATTTTATTAATGTTCATTTGGTATAATTAAACATTTAAACTACTTCGTTAGCTTCTTATATTTTTCTCAGTGATTATTATTTGTGGATTTGTTCTATCTAATGTTGTCAATTAAATTTTATTATTTTAATATGACCGGTCCCCGGAGGTGACCCCGGTCCGACCAATAACCCTGCTGCCTGACCGGTTTAGTCCCGGTCCTCCTTGGTTTGCAGGTTAGGAAATCTTAAAAGCGCTGGAGGGATTAGGGTGAAATTCCCATCCCAAACCCTAATGTCGAGAGTTTGGAATTTGCATTATGGGTGGGTTAGGATGGATCGGACGCTCTTCCACTTTTAGCTTTTAAATATTGGATGAAGAATTAAGATTTTTACCCCATCACTCCCAACCTATCCTCCGAACCAAGCCCTTTGGTAGATTTCTCAATTGTTAGTTTTGAAACGTACTGTGCAGTGTGTTGAAAAACTAGTCAGTTTGAATGAAACCATGGCATGCAATGATAAATTCTAACTGTAAGGTTTGCTACTGTTCCATGATTATTCTTGGCTAAAACTAACCTTTGTGCCCTTTTTGTTTGCATGGAAAACAGGTGAGGTGCTTGTACCTTAAAAGTACTATGGGGAGTGCAATCCGAGTATTTTAGATCCCATTACTTCCATTCCAGCTGCAGGGTGGCGAAGCTGTGATGTGCAGCTCTAAGCTTATTCAATAACTAATTCTTCATATCAATTTTGTTTTGTTGACGGTTTTGTTAAATTTGCTGTGATTGGCGACTGAGAAAATTTTATCCGTTCGTTTCCTTATTTGGTACCTAAATGGTGTTCTGAAATTTAGTTTGCTTACATATTACTGTTTCAACTGGGCACGGATCGTCTCACAATAATTTCGAAGGTTTTGACATTCTTATTTATAAAGTATTTTGTAAAATTTATTTTGTTGCTAATATTTTTCCAAAAATATCTTTAAAAATAATTGTGTGGGGGAGTGGGAATAATCAATAGCTTATGACAGAGAAAATAAGAGAGAAATGAGTATTTAAGTGGATTTTTATGAACAAAAGATTAATTTTCTTAGTATGCGCGGGAAGAGAGGGAGTAATGGTTATTTGTCATAGCACTTTTGAAAGACCTCAATCAAGATGCTAAGTGCTAGCTTGTGCTTCTCTAGTCATCAAAACGAGAAAAAGAAAAATAGATAGATGCACGCTTAGAAATCAAGCTGTTCGAGAAATTATTCCTTTTATTTCCTTTCTTTCACCATCAGTCGTGATTTTCAAATGTGCGTCTCATAAAAATGAAAGGATATGACAAAACATTATGCAGGATGCTGTCCAGTGCTACGTCAGTATAGTGTACACGGACACGCTCCTTAAAGCGTCAGCATTACCTTGCATTCCACACATCCATTACCAACTTGATGCAGCCTATATCTTACTTGCCAGCTTGATCTTATTTTTGGCATATCCGCATCATACATTCAATAAATCAGACTAAATAAACGTGTTATTTGTTTCCCCTAGGGAGATACAAAAATGCGTCTCAGGGGACTTAATAAACAGTATACTAGGACCGATATCATCAAAACATATGAGCAGCGGGAGGAGTCAGGAGGGACTCGCAAAGTAACTAAAGTTTTACCATGAATGAACTCTTGCAACTACAACCACCAACTGCACTTGGGTTTTCCGTCACCTGCAAGTTACCAAAAACTAGCCATAACTCATCATGGATTATACATCATAAGCAAGTTTGAAACTTATATTAGGCATGCCCTAGTGAGATTGAAGACAAAACATGATTGTGGAATCACTCAAAAGTAGTTTTTACAGATTATGTATTTAAATTACAAGAACACATCTGATTATGGATAATTGTGCCGTACAAGATGCTTAACAAGCGGACTAGCTACATTAAACTGAAGTGCATGGCATGGCATAGCTAAACTATTAAAAGATAAATCAACTTTATTTAGAAAAATTTCTACAACCAACATTCTAATATCTTCAACCCGAATATGGCCATAATCCTAATTGTCTCTAATCTAAATAATTTCGCATCATTGATAAGAAGTACAGGTAAAATATCATAAAACAGCAACAACAACTACTAACAACTCCTTTGATCTTTGATGTAAAACCTAATTAATTAATTTGAGTACATTAAGATGTTAGTTAAATCAGTTAATATGATATTTTTTCTAAAACATCTTAATATTCTCCCTTCATTCCCTCACTCCTTTTCTTAGAAAAAAAATTGATAAACATGTGAAATAAGTCTTATATTAAGAACCGGAGGAGTATGATACAATAAAACACCATGTTAAACTTACGAAACAGGTTTGCAACCGAACGAATATGAAGATGACTTTAAATAAACATGATGTTCATAGCTCAAAAGTTTGTTTAACTTACTACAAAAGCTGAACGTATTAGCTCTTCAACATAGTCAACGGTTGCTCCTTTTACAAAGTCATAGGAAACATTATCAACAACTAATTTAATACCTTCTCTCTCAAAAACTCTGCCAGCATAAAAACGTTGCAAGAGACAAGTGATTAGCATATTTATATACAACCGAGAAGATTACAAATCATCATCTGTATTTTCACAATAACAAATATAGACTAACAAGCACATGTACGAATTTTCACAGGGGAAAGAAGATACCTGTCATCTGAATTTATTCTGTCATCTAGATTGAACACATATTGGAATCCAGAACACCCACCAGTTTCCACACTCAAACGAAGCATTTTCTCATCTGCTGATGATTCATTGGCTACTAATTCTTTCATTCTCTGTTAATCAATTAATAAATTACAAAAATAGGTTGGTAATCGAACTTGTAATTACATACATCTCACTTGCATTCGATAAAATCACGAGCAAGGAGAGAATGTCCATCAAACAAATTAAACATTATACAACAACACTTCAGTACCATAACGGGCATTAAAAAAAAAAAATACCGTAAAATTTAGATCATATTTATCATCTTTTAACAAGGTTTTCACAGACAATGAATCCTGCAGCAACCCTTTCAACTGGAGACTTAGGAGTACTTCAGCTTCCTCCTTTTTATTAAAAACAGACTAAGTTTTCAAGTTGAATCGGCCATGTTTAAGAAACTTCACGTGCATCTGTAAACAGAACAGCATGTTCTTATTAAAGCCCCCAGCAATAAATTTGGTGGTTTATCAGGAAAGAAATTTAATGAGTTGAGGGCACTTGCTAATGACGTAAGGAGAAATGACTAATATGGTTAGGAAGTAGCCTCCGAATTACATCTCACTAACACGGTAACAGTGATTAACATGATTATGTTTGTGTTTCTCCAAAGCAGTAAATGGTGTTGGAGACAAATAACAGCTTAGAACTTTTTCACTTGATGTTTGATCTTAAGCACTTTGATGGATGAACTTTAAATTCTTACTTCTTATGAACAAAATCAAGATAAATTGCGTAACCTTGTACCCAAAAAAAAAAAAAAAGGAAGAAGATAAATTGTGTAACCAAAGTTACCAAACAAATAACAAAGCAGGGGATTGACATCCCTTTCCAATCACACTATGAAATAACCAACTGACACAAGAATCATAAAATTGCAGAGAAGACCTGGTGAATATGACATTTTGTAAAACTGGTTATGTTTCTATCTGGAATTGCTTTCTTTCACTACAACTTTTCCGCTCTTAACCTCCTAAGCCTTACTAAACAATCCATCATAACAGAAGGAACTTTGATCTACACTTTTAACAGAAGATTTTCCCCGGGACTCAACTTGCCATGCTCTACACCCCCACCCTTGCCCCTCGCCAAGCCAAGCCAATACAACATGATACAACTGCAAAGGTACAAAGACTTACACCATTGGAGGAATATCACATGGGAAGGCAAGGAGGAATTTAGCCATGTCAGAGCAAGTTGTTGCACAGTTAAATATTTTGTGCCTTGGAATTGGGTAGCATCAACTTACAAGAGCTAAGGCAGGATACAAATGGGGGAAGGGTACTGAAAAAGGGGTGTTGAGGAAGGAAATAGTCTTGGTTATTGGAGTTTCTATCTCTTTCACGAATAAGAGATCCTAAGTTCTCTCTAGTATTGGTTTCTTTCATACTTGGATCCAATTTTGTTTTCTTTGATGGGCTCCTGTCAAACCCCGAAACTAATCCTAAGATGATTTTAACATCTTTGTCCTGGAGAAGTAATCCTTTTTCCGTTGTTTATATAATAAGGAAAAGAGGGGATATCGTCAATATTCGAATGGTAGAAGCATAAACTTATATCCTATTTTACAGTAAGCAAATTTCTGTACTTGAATTTGCCCAAGGGCAGACACACGGAAATGATTAATCCCTTTAACAAATAAATTCAATCAGATTCCCATCTTCATGATACCGGGGGAAAAAAAAAGCATATTAAACCGTAACTCTAATTAATCAAAAGTTGTGAAGTTATCAAGCAAAAACAAATATAAAGTGGCAGAGCAGTAGCATGTATTCTTGTTGATAGAGCAAGACATACTCGTATACAATTTTCAGTCATTTGAACTGGCTCACGAGAAAACGACGAAGACGGAGACGAGGGAGAGGCATGGTGAAGAACAGCAGCAGAAGACGAGCTCAGAAGCCTCTGGTTCTGTCGAATTCGAGCAGTAAAAAATGGCGTGAAGCGTCGAATTAGCGATCCTGACATGGCTATCTCCGTCTCCCCTTCCTCCTCCAACGAACAATTCGTTGTCAGATTGTATAAGCTTCTACTTGATCCCTACGGCCTACAGAGGATCCGCGGCAGTGGACCGTGGTCGGAGCGGAACGATGCGTTGCAAGACCTTTCCTGATGGGAAAAAAGGAAATATTGCAGAACAGCGCGTCCCTATGTACGAGGCAAAATCTGAACCGTCCATGAATTGAAGGCCATAAATGCTGCATCAAAATTAAAATATCAACATTCACCTAAATATATATATATATATATATATATATATATATATCAATGTCGTCGTTTTCAATCTTCAACACATTCTCACAGGTCACGGCTCCTCATCAGATGCTGAGTCTAGAAGGCGAGGTTTCGATTCCCACAAAGCCCAAGGGCTCATAGCATCTCACTCGAACTCTTTTCTCGCCCCCAAACTGCGCCTCTCGCTAACCCAATTTCAATCGCGAGTAAAACCGGTGGCATTGAGGGGCTGCATCTGTTCTCGAATCATTAATTTGATGATTGTACTATCATTTTGTGCTCAGAAGAAGGTAAGAAGGTGAAGAAAACTTTCAAATCGTTGTCCTTAATATGCGGGTAGAATTTAGGTATTGAGTAATGGACTAGGATTCGTTGAAGGTTAAAGCTGTTATTACTAGGTGCTAGTACAATGTAGCTGTTATGGGGAAAATTACTGATTGGTGCGATTTAGCTGTGATGCTGATGATATTGATCATATTTTATTCTTCTGAGCTAGCTGCTACACCAATGCTTGAGGGAGTTAGATAGACTTATGTGCATCTGTTGAGAAAATCTCTCTTCAATGATGTACAGTGTTTGTGTGTGTTGCCATTTGGGAAGAAATTATTTTGGACGACAATGTGCTAATATCATTGAGAGCTACGCTTTACCCGTAGGTTTTATAAGGGCAGTCAAAATAACTACTTCTGTACTGTAGATTATTGACTGTAGAAATTAATTGAGGTTTTTTCTTTTTTGTGCCCCCGATTTAAGGGTATAATTTAGGTTAGAGAAATGAACTCTATGGCACTCATGTGCATTACTGATCTTATTAATAAATTTAGTTTATTCTTTCTGGCTTTCTGAGGATGATTGAAAAATGCTCTTATGATATCCAATGGTTGGTTTGAATTAATGGTATGCATCGTGTCTGGATTTGTTTTTCAGAAGCGATGTAATTAAAAATAATTATGTAAAGAAAGTTTTGTCTGGACTTATGTGAGAACTTTTTTTAAGTCCAAGGTAACTTCCACAGGAACAAAAGTTGCGCTGAAGAAGATGCAGAACAGTGAATCAGCTGGCCTGGAGCAGAAGTTAAGAGCCAGAAAATTAGAAGTCTCAGACAACGGAAAAGGTTTCCTAGAGTTACTACAACAACTTAGTGTCTGTGATTCTGTTTCTGACAAGGAATTTCAGGATCGATTTCACGAGCTCAGTTCTCTTGGAGATGATCATGTTATTTGTGTCATAGAAGATGAACTTTGTGGGAAGATTATTGCTACAGGGAGTGTGTTCATCGAAAAGAAATTTCTAAGAAATTGTGGCAAAGTTGGACACATTGAAGATGTAGTTGTTGATTCCAGTGCCCGGGGAAACCAATTGGGAAGGAAAGTAATCCAGTTCCTTACAGATCATGCTCGTTCAATGGGGTGCTATAAGGTGATACTTGATTGCAGCCTTGAGAACAAAGTGTTCTATGAGAAGTGTGGCTTCAAGCAGAATTCTGTTCAGATGGCCATGTATTTCGTTTGAGGGACGGTGTTTTACCAATTGCCCTCGTTATTTTGTTGTAGTCGAATGTTCTTATAAAAGGGTATTGACATAAATCGTTGTTCGTTTTCGAGTTTTTATTGTCTGACCAGAGATGTTGTCTTAGGCTTTGTGTTATGAGCACGGAATACGGGTTCAGGAAATCTGCTCTTCATTTTGTTATCTTCTACACAGATCACTAATCACAATCGAAGGGATGCATTCTCTATAAAATAAGGCACTCGGCCTATTCAAGGTCACACCATAACTACAAAAGTCAAATCATAGGCCCATCCCAAAATTGCTTGATTATTTTTCTCTCCTCTTATAAACATGTTCACTGGAGGCACTGAGAAGCTCTTTACTCTCACTAAATTTATACGATGATTCAAATTAAGTTATAAAGTTAAGCCAAACCATTTGCTGATCACAAGCCTTGGTTTCTTGTAACTTTATCATAAATTATAAAAAAGTATATGAACATGTCTTCATACCTTGACACCTGCTGGAGAGTTTCCAGGTTTAGCAGTGGTTGTACTTCCAAAATTGAGCTTTGGAGACTCCATTCAAATTCAATTGAGTTCCCCTGTAATTAGACTAAGGGGTTCGGGACTGCATACGGATGTTATTTTATTTTATAAACAACTCCCCCCCCCCCCCTTTTTTTTTTTACCAGAACAACTTTTTCCCCTTATAATCACTTAATCAGAGTAAGTTTTATATAAACTCGTAAAATCTACGCAATTTTATAGTCTTGATGCTAATGAGTTACGCATTGCCCCAGGAGAAAAGTGGGGCGCACAGGTGCAAATAAAACAGCGGGGTTTTCTCGAATTCGCATCTCCCGGGAAAAATCATAACCTCTTGATGTGACGTATTCACTCGATTTCTGCACTCGGCGACGGAAATTCAAAAAATCCAGAACCATAACCTGTACGTTCACGGCGAGGCTACCATTCTCTCCTGAACACTGAAGGTCGTAAACGAATTCGGAAGGAAAAATGCTTCTCTTCAAACCTCTGTTGCTTGCAGAAACCCAATCGCTAGTCTTCGCCCTCTTCCAAGAACACCTGATAAAACCTCATCGATTATCACTACTTCTGCGTCCAGCAACAGAATCAGCACAGCTCCGACGCAGCGAAGAACCATGTCTGCGTTTGAAGTGCGATACTCTCTACTTTTCGCTCTTGCTTCCCAAGCCACTTCTTTGTCTCAGAGACGTAAATGTCCAATTTTTTTTCCTTATAAGCTTTTCCTATCTTTGCTTTGCTATCAATCTAATTCACTTGATTATTTTTACGGATATTCATCACAGTTCTAGCGGACGCGGCCGCTGAGACTGCTAAATACATTTTTCCTAAAAGATTTGAAAGTCGGACTCTCGAAGAGGCTCTGATGGCAGGTATTATAAATGATTGATTTTCATACTCAAATATGAAGTTGTTCTAATTGTTCCTTTTCCGGTTGTGCGAATTATTTTGGATTCTCTGTAGTTCCGGAGCTTGAGACTGTGAAGTTCAAAGTTCTGGGTACGCGGGACCGGTATGAGATCAGGGAAATTGAGGTATATCTAGGTTCCATCTGTATTTACTGGAAGTAGCTTGGCTAAGGAAAATTTTTTTGTCTAGAAAACGAGTACCTTATATATAGTGTGGAAAACTGGCTGCCCATGGCGTGCCTGTGGGTTAAAGTAAATCTTCATTGAATTTGATTTTTCCTTCCGCAGTACCCCCAACATTTTAAGGAGGGTGGTGCACGATAGAGGAAAGGGGCTAGGGAGAAGGGGGAGGGAGGGAGAAATAAAAAGAAAAGAAATGAAACTTACGTGATGCACGAAAAGGATTTGGAGTTATATGAGCTTCCTTGTAGTACTTGTACACACACACACTGGGCACAAAACTCTCCATATGCTTAGAAAAAAGAGTAATATGCTATTATGGTGAACAATCTTGTCTTGGGCTGTCGGGCATGTCTCCCCTTAATGTGATTTTATCCATGCAGCCTTACTTTGTAGCAGAGACTACGATGCCTGGGAAGAGCGGCTTTGACTTCTATGGTGCCTCCCGGTCCTTTAATGTCCTAGCCGAGTATCTTTTTGGCAAGGTTATTTTTAGTTTCAGAACTGAACTCCAATTACGTTACTTTGCTGCTTTTGGTCACTACACCTCTTTCTTCTGAGTAATGGTGCTCGCACATCACTTACACCCGTACAGTCCTTGCTCTCTTCATTGCAAATAACCAACTTTATACACATTCACTGTTAGGAAGTGAAACTATTGCACGTGTAAATGATGTATAAATTATATTTATTGTTCTTTTTCCTTCCTGTTTCAAAATGAGTAATGGAATTATGTTGCTGTTCTGACTGTAGAATACAAAAAAGGAGAAAATGGAGATGACAACGCCTGTTTTTACACGCAAGGATGAGAATGATGGGGTTAAAATGGATATGACAACACCTGTGTTGACAACAAGGGTACCATTCTTTTCCATGGAATTTGTGCAATTGCCATCTTTATCTTTACTTTTATACGTCTTATACAATGCCAATGAGGCTATCAATAATTTGAGATCTTTTGTTTAATAAATATCACCATATCTCTTTGGAGATAAAAGTGAAAATAATAACAAGGAGCTTAACATCCAAAACTGACAAACCCCTGCAGACATAGCATAAAGTCTGTGAAACGCAACTGAACATGGACGAAAGTAATCCTAACTTATTCTGGTTGTGGTAGTGAAATGATTGGATCTAACTTATTCTCAAAATGGATTATTTTTACCTCCCAATGATCAGCTTGACAGAATTCAAGCTTAATTGAATGAGAGCTTTTTTAACAATTTAATTGTGGCTATATTGTATAAAAGGGGATCATGGTTTTTCTTGTGGTTAGTTCAGAACATGCATAGGATACTGCATTTCCTTCGATATTTTTTTTTTCCAATAATGATCTGATTCAGTAATGATATTATCTTAGGTGGAAGATCAAGGAAAGTGGAACATGTCTTTTGTCATGCCGTCAAAGTATGGTGGCAACTTACCGTTGCCTAAAGATTCCTCTGTGACGATAAAAGAGGTCCCCAGAAAAATAGTTGCGGTGGTTGCCTTTTCAGGTTAGCCCTTGCCTAAAAAGAAGTTAAATGCGGAATTTTTTTCTTCTTCATCTTTGGTTACAGTTATATTAGATAGTAAAGTTGTACCGCTTTAAATTTTCAGTATTATTGAAAGTACAAAGTCCACAATTTAGATTATGAGAGTTATGGGGATGCGTGCATGTTTAAATGCACCAAACTCCATTCTTTCATAGTAGCCCTGTGAAGTTAAAAACGAGCTAATCAGCCTCATGCCATTAGTTGTGCTGAGCACGAGGGAAAAAAAGGAAAAGAAATCATTTCTATTTAAATGTTTTTCAGTCCCATTTAAATATTTTACCTTTTTTATGTTCTGAATCAGGTTACGTGGATGATGAAGAAGTCAAGCGACGAGAATTGAAACTACGAGAAGCATTGAAAAGGGACAGAGAATTTAAAATTAAAGAAGGCACTTCAGTAGAAGTTGCACAGGTGAGAGCTACAGGGGCTACTTGGCATGCAGTTTTATTAATATGTTTCCCGATGTTTGGGATTTTGAATTTCCAGGATACTAAGGATAAAAAGTCTCAATTGACTGACCTCTTTGTCCAACTTCTTGTAATGCCATTTGTTCTGTTTTTATTACAGTATAATCCCCCATTCACCCTTCCTTTTCAACGTCGCAACGAGATTGCATTGGAGGTGGAACGGAAAGATGAATAGGAAAACTGATCTGTCCTCCAAATTTATGATCAGGATTCAGGAGGTACTCTTAAATTTTCAGCAGCCCTATCATAAATAGTAAAAAAGAACTGATCCAGTACCACATGAATCAGAGACTCCAATACCAGAAGATCTTGTGTACTTAATTGTTATGCATGTCATTTGTATAGTTAGATTACAATTTTACAGTCACTTGGTGGAGCGTTCTGACATTTTCATTTAATCTGAAATGCTGTAATAAAGTTTCTATATATTGAGCTTATTATAATAATTCTTTTACTATCTCAATTATTTTGGGGCCAGTGTTTTATTATCTCAATCTAAAACCTAGGTAGCATAAGAATAAAATGTTTTTTAATGTTCAATATCTTGACTGTGATTATTTGTTTCATTCATTTACACATATATTTAATTTTCAGTAATATGGTCACATGCTCTGTAGTTCAAATAATATATCAAAATTTAATACGCATAGTTTTGAGGCATTACATGATACTAAACGCGGGTAATTTTCTTGAGAGGGATAGCTCCTTCCACTGCACCATTTGTTTTCAGGCATGTTGACATTAACTTGAAAATGTCTCTCTAAAGGGTGGTGTTAAACACTATTGCTTCCCCCTCTCGTGCCAGCGAAGATCCAAAAATAAAGTAATTCGAGCATGGCCTGCACTTGTCACCAAATCACTGATAATAATTAACATCTGAAAATTCAAAAAATATACTTGTAATAAAGGTAAATAAGATAATTATTAGCCATAGTCCAGTCAATTATACAAAAAGGTAAAAAAAAAATTTCCAAAATTTGTGTATGATTACTATTGAGATAAATCAAGAGGCCCGGGGATGAGAATTTTCTGAAGAAAACCTAACAAGGGAGTTGTCAATTTTACTCCATAAGACTTGTATATTGGGTTCTTCTTTTCATTAAGAGGTGATTTCCAAGGATGATTTACACAGTTAAAAGAAAATGAGAAGGGGGAGAATATGGAGAGGTTCAATAGATTGTCGCTGTAGTTGAAAATTTCGCACATGAAAATTCAAACGTTTTTCGATTTTCATCTGACTTTATGAGAGAGTATATTGTTGAAAAATAAAATAAAAAAATATGAAGAAAGGAAAATGATGAAGATAATAAGACATAATAAAAAATTTATTACTATTTCGGTCTTTAATATAAGATTTATTTTATTAATTAAATTAAATTAATAAAGTTAAGTAAGATAGTTAATTATAAAAAATATGACATTTTTCCTAAAATACCATAATCATTTTTCTTAATATCCTCCCTCTATATCCTATTTGATTATGGTTGAAAGAGTATCAATATGTGCAATTTAAAAAAAACTGATAAATATGATAAATAAGTCTT